ATGTTGTCCTAAAACGGTTAACGTAAATAAAAAAAATAATAATGCATACACACAATCATATATTTCACAGACTGAAATAATTATATAATTCACAGTCTAAATAATGAACTATATAAATAGCTTACATCATAATTATGCCGTGTTGTACGGAAACTACTCTCGTCAAAAACTTATGACAGATTTCAAAATAACTAATAAAACAATTGTTTGTATCTATTACATTGAAATTCATGCAATGATTATTTTTATCTCCTTACTAAAAAAAGAGTTGATAAAAGTGTCTAAAGAGCTAACCTTATCGTATTGCATACGCCACACTTTATTCCAAATTAATGACAAATAAGGTCACATAGATAACAACATAAAGATCTTGAAACCATACCGTTTGAATAGTAGTAATATTCATACAAGTAAAATATTCAAGGAGGCACTCGTTACTTCGACAATTTTAAAATGCTGGCCAAAGTTTAACAGGGTTTTAAAAATATCTCCCGTTGCTTAGACAATTTAATGAATTTGCCAAAGTTTGTCTTCTAACGAGCAACGCTGACGCAAGCATTTAGTTTTAGACATCGAAGCAGTCTACGTGGGAGTCTTTGCCCTAATGACCTCTGTATAAAACTATCCAGAACGGAGATCGTTTTTCTTTTTTTATTTTTATTCACCGCTAAATAAATCGGTGCTTTAAATTGTGACAAATGCGTTTCGGCTCGCAGTAATGTGAGCAATTGGCGGTGCGCCGCATGTTAGCAATTTCGTGGACCACGTAGCCCAGTCGTCACCGCCCATTCAATAGAGTACGCATATGGGTACACTTTATTCGGGACTGATTAAATTAAAATTCTTTCATCGAGAAGAAACAACGTGTCATGTATCACGAATCGTTCTTGCTCTAAGTTCGTACTTCATAACAAAAAGCTAAAGAAACATCATACAAAATGATCTCCTGAGCTCTGAAAAAAATCTCGATTAATTAATTGAAATCTTAAAAATGGAACACACGTGGCACTCTAAAAAAGAGACTCCTGTCGTGTAGAATGATTAATCCTATTCCAAAACTAGGCACGTGGCACATTATAAGGACTTTGTTGTCAAGAATCCATAGAATTCCGATGTGAGTTGTCATATCCTGCCTTTCTTACTTTGTGAGGCCTGACGTTTGCATCCTTTTAATAAGAATATATCCCTTCTCCCGCACTGGAGAATAATCCAGCTGCCCAAGTGGCTTCACCCACACGAAATCACAAAGTATATATAAATTCTGAACCAAGCTATGTGTGATCATATTATCATGTTTTGCCGATAAACTATTGCGCCATTTTTACAGTCGAATCGGAAATAATAGTCCAGCGAATTCAATGTTCCGTGGCCTTCTTCTCTTCCCACTCGGGTCGAATTCCTCAGTAGCTACCCAAAAACCCATTGCCTATCACCAAACAGAGATAGGGACACCCGATCTGGAAATGTCCGGGCCTAAACGGAACGTGTACCCACCGCGTCCCTTGGTGACGTCCGCGCGCGAACGCTTCCTTATCAAGCGCGCTCGATGATACATCGGCCCGTTCCAGCATTGAAAGTGACAATGGGGCGTGCGCCTCGAATGACAACGACCGACGCCGCTAACAGCGAACGATATTCGACCCCAAGGACTCCGTTCATGAAATAACAGCAATCGGACCTTTGTAGTTTCGTTTGTTTGTTTGTTGTTTGTATTGATGGAATAAATAAACGATAATTGTTCGTATTTGCTAACTTCACGGGGTGTTTGGGCGATGCTAACTTGTTTTACGTTTCACTTATCCTTTTTGTACGTTTTCAAATTGTGTTCTATTCGTTTTATTTTTGTCATCAATCGGGCAATCAACTCATAGATAGTAGACAAACTCCGGGGGATACCATGACCTCCCAGAAAACCGGCGTGAATACTTCGGCGTGTTATAATTCCAGGTTTTGTCTGGTGAGTGAAGTAACCGGGCCTACTTTATTAAAAGACTAGCGACACGCCTCGGCTTCGCACGGGTGAAATGTATTATACATATAAACCTTCCTCTTGAATCACTCTATCTAGTAAAATAACCGCATCAAGATCCGTTGCGTAGTTTTAAATATCTAAGCACACATAGGGACAGAAAGACAGCGGGATGACTTTGTTTTATACTATTTACTGGTGGCGTTAACGCATCTATAGCCCTACGGGTGTGTAACCCTGTACGTTATACCTACACGAAAAGCAATTAAAACGCCTAGCAGTTGGCACTCATGAATACGGTAGAATATGCTTCCGTATCTATATTCTTACAATTTTCATACTGTTTCTTTTTTAATTTAATCTCAAAAAGCATCCACACGCCAACATTGCGGTCTAATACGGCTGGTACAACACACTCGATTACCGACAATCGTGGAATCGATTTTCTGTCAGGGTCCGATTGCTTACATTCCCACTTCCTGCCGTTCCTAAATCTAGGTTATCCTCTGTTGGCCTTTAATTTCCAACTCGATAACGTTACGTTTAACACCGTTACAATTCTTGTTTAAACACGCACTGAAACCGTTCTTGCTTAAACTATTATCAGAAGATCGCAGGATTTTCGAATATTCAATTAATTATCATGGTTGGATTTTTTTAAATCTTTAAAAAATTACTGATTGTATTTTTTTAATTACCAATAACTATAACTTTCAGTCCCGCATTCCATCCATGCCTAAAAAAAGTAAATGCTACACAAGTCCCACTCCTGGGCAAAGGCCAGTCGTTGTGCCTTATTTAAGACATACTTATAATGGCTTCGTGTTTATAAAAATAATCAGTAATGTTGGGCGTACGCGTCGTCGAAAATTCACAAAAAATAAAGTTAAATTAGACAAACTTAAAGTGAATCATCTTTAAAAACCGCCGCCCTCGTGTTCAATGATAAAAAATAATAAACACAAACCCAAACGTGTTTATCATTTTCGCATTATACACACACACACTGTTTCTCATCATATTTCCAATTATAAATACGGTCAGACACCGCTTTTTAATGTTGTAATTTGTATAGGATATGAACTCTCTATAGAATATGAAGATATATAGGATATGCTCTGTATAGGATATGATCTCTTACTCAATTTCATTCCATTTATTTCATTAGGTACCACTCGCATGTTTTTGTACGCTACAATACGGTATGTGCGGCATTTCTCTTTCCTTGTTACCCCTTAATATAAAATGTATTAAACATAGATCAGACTACCTATATAGTCTGATCCTGATTAAAAAGATTGAATAGATTTTTTCAAAGGAATTTATTGATTTTGAGATACATTTATATTGTATTTCGTCATAACTTAGTAACAGTTTGAGTTTGGAACGATATCTCTAAAGGCCCATTTACACGATGCCATTTTCTTGAACATACAAGAGCAATAATTGAATGCAATAAATTGCGCGCAATAATTGTTTAGACCATTTGTTGTTTAGACCATACAACTCATTTATTGCTTCAATTTAATTGTATACAACAGGCAAGAAACTGGCACCATGAAAATGGGCCTTAAGGCTTACACGTTTTTCTAAATTAAAAAAATTCTAAACTACAGAGGCTTAAGTTTTTTTTTAGTCTAGTAACATTAATACTACTCTAACAGAAAACCTGCCGTCCCAAATATACGTCCGTTTGCGCATAGTTTTATTGTGCCATAAATCTCGCTCGATGTTTGGACAAACATAACACGGGCTGCCTAAAACTTCCGCATTTCCAATAATAATATGCGCAAACCTCTCTTTTTATTAGCCCAGTTCTAGGTAACTGTGTTTTACTTGCACGTTAAAAACCATATTGCGCGACCGATTTAAGAAATGCCTTGATCCGGAATGAGACATTTTTGTAGCCAGTAATAAAATTTAACTTTCCGCTTCGTTCATAATTTCATATGACGGAAATTACTAGAAAGATGGACTTCGGATTATGGTCGAAGATATGTGTGCGACACACAAGACATGTGTGCGTGACCTAAATGTCTTTTCTGTATAAATTGTAACGGTAAATTTAACAATTTACCGCTAGACGCATACAAACGGAATGGGCAATGACGTGTAGGCATACATACATTTTTAATACAAACAAACAAGGGCATGATAGTCCACCTGGCAGTAAGGTAGTCCTAACACTACTTTGACTCTTTCTTTGAAGATGATGATCTATCGAACAGAAAACGGTGCAAGCAAATTTTCCACTCCTTTGCGTATTACAAACTAACTAGAGGTCTCCGTATGGACTTATCTTATCAGCGAATAAAACGTAATTCGCGATAACAACAATACCTTTCCAAAAGCTATTTCCCTTTCAGATCATTGAAACTACACTACAATTCTGACACAAACCTAGGTCACACATTTAATTGCTCGTGTAATAGTGTCAGCCATATTGTCTTACAGGTTCATAAATACTGCACAAAAAACTTTACTATTCAAAATTACTTTACTCGAGCTTACACTGGTCTTGCAATTATTGATGTTATATAAAAAAAAGTTTTTTTGTTGAGATTTATCATTATTTTTATATAAGCTAAAAAATCAATCAACACTAAGTACACCGGGACATGGGTACTAATTATAGGTCACACAAATTGGTTTCTGCTGCGGAATTCGAACCCACGACATGATGCGCAGATGGCACACTTAGCAGGGTAACACGTAAACCATAGAGGTAACCTTGCAATTATATTAAGCTATAACTGCCTCTCATTCACCAGAGTTTAAATAACAACCGCCGCCTATTGACATTTGCAACACACGTAAGGTTGCAGATGCGTTGCCACTTTTTAATAAATTCCCGGTAATAAAGTCGGCCCCAGCTACCTCACTCAACAGACGAAACGCAAAAGTGTTATACTACTACTTCACGCCGGTCTCCCGTGAGGTCGCGGTACTTACCCGAACGGACCTGCCCATTCGTGCAACTTTGGCCCTACTGCAGTAATCCTCTATAATGTCTACGACATTTTGTTTCCAGCAAACTGGTGGCGCAATTCAGCCGCGAGGAGACGTCCCTCCTTGTCCTCCGCGTCATGGTGGGGCTGATCATACTCTACGACTGGGTGCACCCGTCTGGTGCCTTCTGCCGCTCCTCGTCTGTGGACGTGAAGGGCTGCGTGAAGTTCCTGCAGCAACAGCCGCCCGCCAAGGCGGAGCCCCTACTGAACGCCCTACGTTACACCACCAAGCACTTGAACCACCAGTCGACGCCGAAGAATATAAGGGCCCTCCTGGCGGCGTGAGGGCACCACTCCAGCCTTGCATGTTGCTGTGGGGAATGATTTGACAATAAACACAGTGGGGATTTCTCGTCGGCGTGCATTTTCTTTGCTCTAGTGTAACTGACGCGTTCGTTGTAGTGCAATCTAGGGCTCGCAAAGTTTTGGATGTATGCGTGGTTCCTCGATTATTACTTTGAATATGTCTCAGATTAAACTGTAGTAAATAATCGATATTGTTATTAGCTGGAATGTTCATAGAAATTAGCAGAGCAAATGTATTCTTCAAGTTAATCCAATCTTCAACAATAATTAAAATAGGCCAGAAAATTAGTAAACTGGAAAATTTATTGATTTAATCACAAACAAAGATGGCAAACAGATTGTTCTACAATAAATGGAGGTCAGTTAAGTAATTAAGTAGTTATTCAAGATAAAATTGTACAAGCTACGTTCTCTCGTTTTAAACGACCATCTTAAGTGAAACCAATATCCTATTATTTGCAGTTTCATAGATTTTAATATTGAAGTAAGCGTTATCTTTTGCATTATTGGTGTATTTACCAATGTGTGAGGATTTATAAAAAAAAATTCCGTGTCCGATTACATTCTACTATACTATACTTTACGCCATGAAATATTTTGGCAACAATGGGATATCCATTTCTTATTATTAAATTACAAATTTAGAATGTTGATCAACTGTTTGTATTGTTGATCAAAGTATTCATATATGAATTTGTGTTATCGGACAAACTTGTCATCACTTAGATTTACTAGTTAATTCCGTTGCAACTGTAGCATTGCATATTGGACTATTTTAAATGTTGAAATGGTTAACTTTAAGAGCATATAATGTACACGTGTTAGATAACGAGATAAAAATATATTTATGATATATTAAACGCTTCAAAAGCAATATATTTTCCGCGGACAAGTCTGTATCCGAGAAATCTTTCCCTTTACCCCACTCGAGTGCAAGGTTTGTGTAACTCCGTAAATAGGTAACGTCACAACTCACACCAGAATTTAAAAGTCGGTCGCATTAGTAAGCTAGGATATATATATTACGTGAAATATTATTGAAATAACTGTAGACGAAGGTATTATTAAATATTATAAAATTGAATGGCCGTAACTATGAAAACGTCTTAGCAATTGGGTATATTTAGCGATTAGATATATAAGGTAAAATAACAATAAATATGTTTTCAAAGTTACGGTCATTACTAAGATTTAAAATTTTCCTGGATTAATTACCTATATGTTATGTACCTAATGTTATTATTCACAACACTATTATGACTGTTATTAATTGCGTTGTATGGCTCACATAGCACATTATCTTAAACATGTTTAGTGTGAAAATTGGAATGGTCACGTTTTATAAATACGAACTTTTATCATACTATATTAAATTGTTGTGTACTATACAAGAAAAATAATTAATTAGTGTGACATAGTTTTTATACTATTATAATAAATATATATTATGTTTTCCTAGTAGAATATATTTAAAAATGCAGTTGAAAAATGTTATATGGTTATTAACAAAAATGTCAATTTTATTTGCAACGAATTGAGATTTGATTTTTCTGCACTTGACATTACTTTTTAAGGTTTTATGTTAAACGTAAATAGCTTTTGGCAAGTTTGATATTTGAATTAACTTCAGATTATATTAAGAAATAAATCACCCAGATGGAAATTTGGGTGTATAATAGTATAAAAAAGAGGTAAAAAGTATTGCATCATTCTAAATAGGAATCCTGAAAATGATGCAGATAAAAAATCAAATCTCAAGGATAAGATTAATACTTCCATAATTCCACAATAACGGCATTGAAAAGAAAACCTTTATTTACTTTATGTATTCACTAAACTTACTTATGTGTTTAAAAGAGGCTAATGGCGAAAACCAAAATTAAATGTATAAGAATTTAACTCCATATATTATAAAGAATCATTGTCCTATTAACATTTTCTTAATATGCATGTACCACTGCCTGCCTTCAAGTTATTATTGTGATTTTGACTGGAGTTTTTTATATGAAAGTTTTATTGATTACATTTTTATTAATTTAAATAATTGTAAAGATAATTAGTAATATAATTTTATCTGTGTTGTTTGAGATGTATTTACAATCAAATAACTGTATAGTGTAATAAGTATTAATTAACAATTTGTAAATTAGTACTATAAGCAGCCGCTATATGCGCTCAAATTATTATGCTAAGAATTCTGTTAAACTCATAACATTTAAATTTATATGTTATTTATTTAATTTAGTCTTCCATTCAACATGTTAAAATACCATTAGATTCATTTGCATTACAGACTAAAGATTTTGTTTTGGTTCGAAGGTATTCATTTTTTCAGAACTTTTTTTTATTATTCAACAGATCTTTATTCTCTACTACCTATTATATATTTGAATTCACTTATTGTTGTCCATCACAGAAGCACAAATAAAACTCTTTAGTGCTTAGAACACATGATTAATAATAATTTAGCAAATTCATATAGTTGGTTAGTTATATGTATTACATGCACATTTTGCACAATTTTAGTTCTTTATAGGATAGTTAATTCTAATATCTTGTTGAAATGTATTTATACTTTTAACCATGGCTGTTAACTGCATTGGAACATCATCTACATACATACACAATTCAGATTGCATTACCAGTTAAGGAATTGATCTAATTGAAGTTTTGAAATTTACTTCCGAAACAATCACTGCCCAAAGACATAATATCTATTTTTATAAACAACGTTTTATGAAGAATAATTCAATATTAAATATCCGAGTATCAATATAATAAACTCCATGGTGAGTCTAAAAATGTGTTGAAATGGATGTGAGTAGAAGTAGTGACTTCTATGATTGTAGTGATTTAGGCAATGTGCGGATAAAGTTACTCATAGTCAATATTTGTCTTAAAGCACATATTTACTGAAGTTTATAACTATTAATTATGCTCTAAATGATAATTATTAAATAATTAGGTAAAGATTTGTCTAATTGTTTTTATAGTAAAAATCAAACAGATCACTTACAAAATCTTATAAAATATTCATTTCTGCTTTATATATAGACATTGCCTGGAAAGATTTTGTCAGCAGCCTATTATAATTCCTTATAGTCATTTATTTATTGTATATAACAACACACCAAAGTTATAAATAATAAAAGTTTAATTAGTATATCTTATTAAGTGGTTTTATTTATAACAAACATAACAAGACATTTCATTTAATACTTACATAATATTTACAAAAGTTCAATATAACAAACAAAATCTTATGTGTTTGCTGGTCTTGGCTTTAATATTAACTTTCCAGTTTCGTCACAGGACATGTTGAAGTCATTTAGCACAGAGCGTGTGCGAGCTGTTATTATACTTGGTGCTATCACTTTACGATGCACTCCCATCATGAATAACAAAACTGTAAAAAGTCACTTGAAATATGAATATTTATTGAGAATACAATATATTTATAACTATATATATTAGGTTCATAGATAAACTGATGTTTTAGTTACACATGGTTAAGATATGCTTAATTATTAGAAATGCTATCTAAGATTGCATGTTTAAATCTGTTGCGCTGTTGTTGAATCTAACACTTGTTTTTTGATATGTTATAAAAATTACATATCCTGGTTATATTAAAACTCCTTATTGTCATTATAATGAAAAATGAACAATTCATTTTGTTGTAAGAATAGCTTAATGCAAAAAAAACCATTACCTAAGAATGTTGAGGTAAAAGCAAAGAATGGGTGGTTCCAGAGAGACTGCGTGAGTGATACCACTGGAGTGAGAGGATCTGTCAACCAGTGCCATGCTGCTATGGCTGTGCAAACAGAAACCACTGCCAAAAGTACTGTAAAGAAAAATACCAGAAACTGAAAAATATTATATCACAGCTAGCTCATCTGAAAGTATTTAAATGTACCAATAAATGATATGATCAATCAAATAAACAAAATTCAGTATCAAAAAACATTTGTCATATATAATAGCAGTAAATTACAAAATTGACAACTTATGTAGCTCTGACTAAATAAATATGTACACCGAAAGACATACAAACTGCATCAAAGTAGAAATGACTTCAATAAGTTTACCAAATATGCATAATATTTATACCAATCTGAATCTAAAGTTCTTCAACTTTAAAACAGGGTAGTGGCGCATATATGGGTGAATTTGGTTATTGAAAATGTCAATTTAATTTTAATAAAGCAAAACCATATATATCATTTTAATTCAAAAGTCAGCTTCTGCAATTTAAAAAAAGTGATGAGCGCTTGCTCTTAGTACTAAATCCAATGGGCTTTGAAGTGATGCTGTTTGTATTTATGCTACTGTTCTGGCTGCAGGATTTCTTGACTGCAAAGCTCTTTAAATTTTCCCACAATTGCGCAATGTCTGGGCTATGTGCTGGCCCAATTTAAAGTGCGTATCCCAATCTCTTTGAGATATTGTTAAACCTATGCAGCGGTGTACTTATTGAGCATTATCTTGTATTAGAAAAAAATGTTGTCTATGGATGCGACATAATCAATGAAGTTTTAATAAATATATTATAGATAGTATTTGCTTTGAAAAGTTAAAATTGCAAATTTGAGTTTGACAGCTGATTAGTTGACATCTATGATGATCAGTGATTCAGAAACCGGGTGTAAATATGTCCCATTGCTATACTATAGTATTTTTTATAGTTATTGCTATAATTAGTATTCAATCAAGTGTAAATTGTTTGAATATTCAGTAAGAAAAATCAATTCAAAGTGTATCTTCTTTGATGCAGTCTGGAGTCTGTCCGTACAAGATGAACAAATATCAGTTATAGTAAAGTCACCTTATAGTTTTTATTTCCCTTGATTTTTCTTAAAACAACACTCATACTGTTGTTCATATAAAATCAATTATGGATTAACACAATTAAAACTTACTTCTCCATCTCATGGTAGCTGGTTGAAGGCATGCTATAACTTCTGTTAATCGACGTTCAAAAGCCTTCAAGTCTGTAAGAGCATCTAATAGATCAATCATTTACATTAATGTACATAACGTTTAAAATAAATATTTCTTTTCCTGTTAAATAAACCGGACGAAGAAAAATACTATCAATATGTAAATAAGACTGTATACAATACACACACAAAAAGCATATACCTTTCTTATAATGCCGTTTATTAAACTATGTTTCTGACATGTGATTATTTTAGGACAAATTTGATATTTGTATTAAATTGGTAGTTAAGTCACAACTTACCATCACAAGCTGTTTGTTCCAAAGACATCTTGAAACAGTAAATATAATAAGAATGTACGTATATTTTATTTTTACAGAAATAGATTTCTAATCACAAACAATTCTGATTTACCAATTATTAGTACAACCCATGTTTGGAAGGGAAACGCCATTATTTTATTTTGTTTCATTCATTTGAAGTTTCGCTTAGAGATGCCGAAAAAATACCGATATATCGATATTTTTTTCGACTTTCGGCATCCCTACTTTCGCTTCAACACAGGGCTGAATTTAGATATGATGAAAAAGATAGTATAAAAAATTGAAAAGGATACTATTTGTAAAAAAATATAGTTCACTTTATTTGTTTGTCATGTCCTAGCCGTGTTCGGCTGTTTACTAATATACCGTCGCTGATGCGCTCTCAGGTGACTGACGTAGCCGATTTTTGCAGCAAATGTGCGGCCACACTCACCACAAGTCAGCACCCCTCCGATATAATTATAATAAATAGCCGCAGGTGGTCTGGCCTTCGACTCGTCGCGCTTAGAGTCCAGTTCCTTACAGCGACTAGTTTCAAAGTCACACACTTTGCCGCGCAACGTGTGCTTCCATTGTGTCCAGTTTGTCTTCTGCTAGAGTCTCCGACTTGGATAGTTCAATTTTGGCCCTTTTCATGTGGCGCTTCAGCACATCTTTGTACCGCAGAAACTGCCCACCTTGTTTGCGTTTACCGTTCTGCAGTTCACTGTAAAAGATGCACTTCGCCACTCTGTTGTCAACTATGCGGGAGACATGCCCGCACCATCGCAGCTGTCGCCTCATTAGATTGGCCTCTATTCCGGCAACACCAGCACGCCTAAGAACCTCCGTGTTTCTTACACGGTCGGACCAATGAATGCCCAGAATTTCACGGAGGCATCTCAGATGGAAACTATCTAAGGTGCGGATATGCTTGCGAATTAGGACCCACGTTTCTGATGCATACAGCAGATTCGGTAGAACGATTGCCATGTAAACAGCTACCTTAGTAAGTAGCTTTATATCATGCGACCAGAACACCCTGAAACGAAATTTGCCAAATGCTGCTGAAGCGACTCCTATTCTGCAGTTGACTTCGTTGTCAAGGTGGCACTTAGACGTAATTGTGCTGCCCAGGTACTTAAATTGCACTACCTGCTTAAGCGAGTCTCCCCTGAGTTTAATGTCAATCTGCGGATTGGCAATTATGTCAAGAGCCATTACTTCGGTCTTTTTGACCTTTATCTTAAGGCCAAATCTTTGTCAAGACTCATCTAGACTCGACATGAGCTGTTGTAGAGCACCTGGGGATTCCACCGCAAAACATAAGTCATCTGCATATAACATCTCAGTGACTATTGCGTGGGACATTTTAGTGCCCGCCTTCAGCCGAGAGGGAGCAGCTGGAGACGAGTGTGTTGAATATGGTCGTCAGTATGCAGAAATTTAATTTTATCCGGATGGCCTGGGCGGATTTGGGTTTGAGATTTTAATATATCTTGGACCTCGTCGGGGGTCACTGAAGTTAAAGGTTTGCCCGGTGGTAGCGCAGCTCTAAGTTTGATTACGCGATCCAACTCCGTTAGGTGGGCTGTATCGACGTGTTCGCGCGATAGCGTACATTGCTGCTCTAGGTTGTCCGCAAGGCATCTGGCTTTATCAGAGTAATATAGGGCTAGTGAAGCACTATTAGGTATTACTAATGGTGGTAGGGATTTGCGGGACTCTGCTTTCAAACTTCGAGCCAAGCGCCAGTAGGTGGTGTGCGATGGCTCGATGTCTTCTAATAGAGCGTTCCACGTGGTTTGGCGTTGTTCCGATACGCGATCTTTGACTTCGAAATGTCGAAGTCGAGTTCGGTTAGATTCTGGCGCTTTTATTGTTTACGTTCTGGCTACGGTGTTATGTATGTATTAGTCAATTAAGTTTTTGTTTATTACTTAAAGAATGAGTAAATTAAGAAAAAATCCTAGTGGTGCAGAAAATAAAAGGAAGGCTAAAGAGAAAGAAGAAAAACATTATAATGTAATAAAGCAAACGAAAAATATGAGCCTTTTTTTCAAATGACGATTCTGAAGTTGCAAAGCCCTCGCAAAATAAACTGTTCATGGTGGACTGTGACCCAGTCAACTGGAATATAAATAACGAAACACAAGAATATAATTATTGCACTGAATGGTTTAATCATGATACGGTATATTTTTCCATTTAGCACCGGATGTTTTTTGACCTAACAAAAAATTTTATTTCGGTAGAGAAAAATCACTAATGAAATAATCAATAATCAGAATTCTCTGATTATTGATTATTTCATTACTGCTACCGAGCCTGGGCTGAAGCTTCGGCGTCTAGTGACGTAAATACCAGCGCATTAAAAAATGAATATAACTCTGCTTCTAGGCGTTATTGCTAAAGCGAAGTTGGAGCGATTTAGCAGAATTGGCGAGAGATTGTCGCGTCTCCCATCGGGAACACGTGCGTTTTGGTCTGTGTTAAAACTGTCTTAGGGAATTTCTATAAGCCATCTTTTCCACCCGATGATTCGTTGGCCCATGCCACGAAGGAGAAAGCCGATCATCTGGGCTCTCTCTTCGCGTCCAACTCGCTCGTTCGCAAAGCACTTCTTTCCTTGGACATTCACAAGTCGAGTGGGCCTGATGGCATCCCTCCGATCGTGTTATAGACATGTGATCCAAAGTTGGCGCTGGTTTTAATGCGTCTTTTCCGGCACTCCTATACTTTAGGCGTAGTCCCGAAATCATGGAAGGCCGCGTTAGCACACCCGATCCCTAAAAAAGGCAACCTCTCGGATCCGTCCAAGATAATTTAGTCTGTTATCAACGGCCAGCTCCTGCGGTACATAGAGGAGCACCGGCTGTTTAGCGACTACCAGTATGGCTTTCGCCGGGGTCGCTCAGCCGGTGATCCCATCGATGTGTAAGGTAGACCACCTTACACATCGATGGGCAGAAGCAGTTGAGAGTAACGGGGAGGCGCTTGCAGCCAGTCTGGACATAGCGAAGGTCTTTGATCGGGTATGGCACAAAGCGCTTCTTTTGAAGTTGCCTTCCTATGGGCTTCCCGAGAAATTATGCAATTGGATCACCAGCTTTTTGGCAGATCGGAGCATCAAGATCGTCGTCGACGGTGCATGCTACGATCCTAAATTTATCAATGCTGGTGTTCCACAAGGCTGCTTACTGTCTCCTAATCTGTTTCTTCTGCATATCAATGACATGTTGCAAATCAGCAACGTCCATTTTTATGCAGACGATAGCACTGTGGATGTCTCGTACACTGGCCGAGCTAACATTTCTCGGGAAAACGTCTACGAGAGCCGGAACAAGCTTGTGTCAGAGCTCGTGACTTTGTTAACCAAAGTCTCACACTGGGGTCGACTAAACCTAGTTTGCGCGTTAACCGCTAAAAAGTACCCATTTGTCGTGACTCCTCATTTCAAGAACACTCCCCTATCTGCCACAGCTAATATCGGAATGCTTGGCGTCGAAATCTCGAACAACGTCCAGTTCCGCGGTTAATTGGAAGGTAAGGCCCAATTGGCCTCAATGAAGCTTGGTGTGCTCAGAAAGGCGAGACAGTACTTCACGGCTGCTCAACGCCTAAACCTCTATAAGGCGCAAATTCGGCCCCACATAGAGTACTGTTCTCACCTCTGGGCGGGAGCCCCCTATTACCAGCTTCTTCTATTTGACCGCATTCAACGAAGGGCGGCTAGGGTTATCGAGGATCAAAGTCTTTCCGATCAGCTTGATCCTTTGGCTCTGCGTAGAGATGTTGGATCACTCTGCATCTTCTACCACATTTATCACTGGGAGTGTTCCGAGGAATTCTTTGGATTGATCTCGGCGGCTGAATTTCACCATCGGACATCGCGCTAAAACCAAAAATTTCATCCACACCACCTCGATGCCCAGCGTTCCACAACAGCGCGATTTTCAAGGCATTTCTTGCCTCGCACAACCACTCTGTGGAACCAACTGCCGCCGGCGGTCTTTTGGCCGTTACGACCTGGGAACCTTCAAGAATAAAGCAAACTCTTTCTTAAAAGGCCGGCAACGCATTTTTGAGCCCTTAGGTTTTGCAGGTGTTCATGGGCGGCGATAATCACTTACCATCAGGTGAGCCTCCTGCAGCTTTGCCCCTTTTCTCCATAAAAAAAACCCAATAAACCTTCTTTTAATGTTGGATTGGCATTTATATTGGTAATTTATAAATTATAGTACATTTCCGTACTATCCTTAGATACGGATAGTATATAGTACGAAATGTATAGTACTGCTTCAACATTACATTTGCATATTTACAAACAGTGTTATCAACTGTACAAAAATAATACTCCAGACTTCTAAAGCAATTCGAAAACCTATTACAGTTGACTAAATTCAAACAACAATTATCTCGATATTTTTTTACATTACCAAGGGAAAATAATTATCTGATAAAATTTACTACTTCATTATAAATGGTCAAGAAAATTAAATATAACATAATCTATTATTTTATATTAATTTAGCAATGAACATGTTAAACTTTAGATTTCTCCCAATTTTTAGCTGGCAAATTTTTTGCATTTTGTTGACAGAGAGGCGAGTGAACTAGGGATGACAAGTAAAAAAAATATCGATATTTATCGTATCGACATTTTTCAAAAAATCCATATTTATCGTATCGACATTTTAAAAACTATCGATAAATATCGAGTGAAAAATATCGGTAAAACGTTAATAGTTTTTTAAGTTTTTTTTTATTATTTATATTTCCAAACCATTCAAAATTCGTGAAAAAGAATAGATATGAAGAAAAAAGTATTTATTAATATTCGACTCAATCAAATACATTTTATTCGAACCAATAATCATCTTATATGGACAATAGGAGCACCCTCTGTTTAATGCGCTCCCCCGTCAAACGGCTCCTATTGTTCGGTACTGTCAGATTCACAGCTGAAACAACTCCTTTTGAAGACGCCGAAGAAGCCTGGCAAATTAGATACCAAAGGGTGGCTTTTGAATTTCACTTCTTTTTAAGGTGTTTTTTTTTTAATTTATTAAGTTGTTATTATATAATATATACAATTGTAAAATATTAATCAGTCAGACGTTTTGGACTCATTGAACGTCGCAGTGTTAAATAAAATCATGCAAACTGACATAAGTATCACGGTCAGAATTTAACTAGTTGATCAACTTTTCATGAGACTGAAGTTAGCCGACGTCTTATAATATTAGAAATATTTACAACGATAAATTTTAAGAGAAAATATATAAAAAAATTGTACCGAGTGTTTTAAAATTTCGGCATTTGCAACTTTTTTCCCTTTTTTTAATTATTTCAAAAAAAATTATCTCAAAATTGTTAATTGTTTGTTAACATCAGGATCTCATTACCAGGCCATATAATCTTTATTAAAAAAAAAAGTATTATCGTGCACGCATCTAAACACTAAATCGTTAAAAAATATATATCGAAATTGATACAAATTCGATAGTCGAAAATAAATATCGATATATCGGGAATAAAAGTATCGACGATATATATCGATATTTTTTGCACTTAATAATCAACGAAGCATAGATAAGACATATATACTGGTATAGGTATAAGACAAATATACTGGCAACGAATTGCGAAGGTTCAAATTTAAGTGTAGAGCTCAAAGTTCAAATTTTTGAATTTTTTTCCTTCAAATTGGATTGAAGCTTTAAAAAGATTGCAGGTAGGACAATTTATTTTGGTTTTAAAGTTATCATGATGAAGATATGTTACCGTACTGATCCATTAAATTACATATTTTATTTCTATTCTATAGTTCGTAAAGATATTTCGTGCAAATATTTGTTTGGGTGTGATAATTATTTCGTTATACAAAAAAAATGAATAATCTATGTCTATATATAAAAGATTTGCACCGGTAATCTATATATATATATATAACATTTCCACCTATAATTGAGTCATCAGCATCACGATTTCTCTGGAACCATAAGGCGTAGAGACTTGAAATTTGATAAGAATAAGAATTCGGAATTTACGAAATTCCACAAAACGTTTGTCGGATCAGCTAGTTTGTTATAAAGGTGTTATTATTTATGTGCATCTTATTATTTTGGAAATAAAAGAAATTTTTAAAAAAAATTATAGCATAAGCTTGAAATGAAAATATATTTAAGTAATAACAATGACATTAATAATTATTTGGATGCACCTATTTAGTGATTTAAATGTTCTAGGATGCTGTTAACCAGACACTTGGTAAATACTGCAAAGCTTTTTACACCTAGTACCAGGACTATGGCAATGCAAACTGCACCGTTAGTTGATTTGTCTGTTGACAATGATGGTATAGCTATCTTAACTATGAATCGACCACCAGTAAATAGTTTGAACTTAGAACTGTTACAAGAAATAGCAAAATCTTTAGATGAAATTGCTAATAATAAAAATAAGGGCATGATTTTAACATCTGTAAGTGTTATATTTTAAATACAATTTTTTATCTTAACATAATAATATGGTTTTAAAATAATTCCATTCTGATAAAGAAACTTCTAAATACCAGAAAAACAGAATGAAGGGCCTTCTCAGTTAAAAATATTTTTATCAACTTCTTCATTGTAAGAGAATTTTATACATATTAAGTGAAACTAGTTTACAGATTTTATCATATTTTAATTATGATTTTCAAATTCTGAAGTTTCGAATCATTTCCAGCATTGGGAATTTCAAAATCAAAATAAAAATGTAATAAAATCCATTAACTAGTTTCATTTAATAGTATTATCAATTTTAAAATAATGAATTAAATACAAATTTAATTAAAAACTGTTCATTGTTCCAATTAAAAATGTATCCATATATCACTATATTATCTGTATTATTAAGATTTTATCAAATTTTCAGTCCTCACCAACAGTGTTTTCAGCTGGATTAGACATAATGGAAATGTATAAGCCAGACTTAAAGAGAGCAGAGGCCTTTTGGACCACATTGCAGGATGTCTGGCTGAAACTATTTGGGTCTAACTTTGTCACTGCAGCTGCAATTAATGTAGGTTGTTATACATTTACTTTTATGATTATGGAGAAATTATATATGATTTTTAGTACCTATATACCATACCTCATTTTTTTACAGACTCATCAGAATCCTTGAAAGGTCTTTAATATTCAGGTTATTAAATAAATTTTGTGATGAGAGAGAAGTAGTACAGAGTTGTCGTGAATGTGACAATTTTCTAATTACTATGTTATTCATATTTAAGGGTCATGCACCAGCGGGTGGGTGCCTCTTATCAATGTCCTGTGAATATAGGGTTATGGTGAGTGGCAAGTACACTATAGGTCTGAATGAGACGGCCCTTGGTATTGTGGCACCAACCTGGTTTATGGATACCATGTGTCACACCATTCCAATAAGGCAAGCTGAATATGCACTGACTACTGCCAGAATGTTTACAGTTGATGAAGCTTTACAGGTAAGCTGAGTATTTACTTAAAATTCCTTTGCTTCAATCATCATTGGGGTCATCATTGGGATCATGATGGATAGGTGTTTAGTAATGTTCTTTTTATACTGTAAAAGTTGAAGATTTTTCTTTCATATCCTAAGGTGTATTGCATATACAACTGCGTATACTAGTGCATGCATTCTACGGATATTTTTAAAATATCTCTCAGAAAAGAGTCACCAAATTTGCTGCGGTGTCATGATTTCTCACAAATGCAGCTAGTATTCAGTTATCGCAAAAATACTAATTTAAATTTAACTCTTGTATGCCCGCTGGCCTTCACGGTCCGTAGCCTCGGTCAAATATTATACCAATTTTGTGTGGCAACATACTATAACGACGGAACTGTCGCTTTCAAACTATAATACTTTGCGGCTTGCACCATTAGAACGTTTAAACTCTTCGTTTTTAACCAATGTGTCTTCAAACGTATTAATGCTACAACTTGAGCATATTCCTTCACGCGATGACATCCTTTGCGGCGGGTTGCTAAATAGGCAACAAAATGCAGCCAAAAGGGCATTCGACCGATACCTATCAGAATCGAACCGAACTCGACTTCGACGCCTTCAGTTAGAACTCAAAGACTGCGTATCGAAACATCGCAAAACCACGTTGGACACTACTAGAAGACAATAAACCATCGCACACCGCCTACTGGCGGTTAGCCCGTAGTTTGAAAGCAGAGCCTCACGAATCCCTACCGCCATTAATAATGCCTAATAGCGCTTCACCAGCCCTAGATGACTCCGAAAAGGCCGAATGCCTTGGGGACAACCCAGAGCAGCAATGTACGCCATCGCGCGATCCCAAAGATACAACCCACCTAACGGAGTTGGACCGCGAAATCGAACTTAGCGATAACACTTAACGCGTACACTAGGTACACCCGAGTTCCAGGGCGGTTCTCACTGCCCCCAGCCACCGACTAACCAAGCACTGTCAACGGCTTATTGGGGTTACGGTTCGAACCGAAACTCGATAGCCCGTAGGCGACAGTCCGAAGCTAACTAGCACATGTGCGGCCCTATCTACTCAAACCCGTGTGTTCTCGCTAGGTCACCGGTTCTGCGTTAGGTGAAGCTTTAATAGTCTTAGGACTGAATGCATTAACATCAGTTAATACAAGAAACAAGAGCTGCATTTAACTTTGAACCATTTGCTGGTCTGTCAGGAGTAGTTATTAGTTCAAGTACTTCGTGGTGGTCCAAGAACATTATGGCTCTTCCTTTAAGTGGGTTGGCTATTAAAAAGACAATTCCTATAGCGATTGAACTAATGGATTGCCACAATAAACTTGTCATCACGAATGTTACTCGTTTTCTGCCGGTTAAACCACGTTATTTAAAATAAAGATATTTGAAAGAAATTGTCTCCATGAACATTTCTCCACACGAGAAGTCATTGACTGGTTCAAGTTTAAACGTCTAGAAATTACTTTTCTCAGTGACATAACTATCTATACACTTCTCTAAAACATTGCGGTTTTGCATAACCATTACGCGAAATGTGAAAAAGAAGCTTTACTCACGCTTTGTTATTTCTATCTTTTGGAAGTTAAAAATTCATTATGAACTTCACAATCCTCAATCTTCATCGTCTTAATGTACTACGAATTTGTTTCTACTTCATGAACACATATTATTAAAAATTTATAATATTTAAAATTTTGGATAGGCTTTGTGTAGTAGCCAATATAAAAAAGTCAACATCGCTACACTATTCGAATTGAAATATTATGGACAATTATTTTTTAATTTTATGTCGATTATAAAACGATTAAATTTAATTTAAATTATTGTCAACTAAACATTTAGTTGTCTTATAATGTTTAGAAACATAGTTTCAACATTTATTTACTGATTTGTTAGGTTCGTGATTGCACATTTTATATATCATAGTGCCTTGTTTGACCTAGATTATTAGTGGATTAGGTAAGGTTCAAAATAAGTAGTAAATAAATTGATCTGACACAGAGTACCCCAACTGTACGTGGTCTTTTGGTCCCTAACCCAAGAGTGAATATTAAAATGCGAAGTTATGGCGAAGCGCATGGAAGATTCTAATTACGAACTTTATAATTAAGTAATAAATTTTTAATAGTTCTTATTTTTTTTACATAAGACAATTCAAGATGAAGATTTTAAATTTTGTAATTTTATTAACTAAAAATAATGAAATATAAATAAACATATCACTTCATTATTAAGTTTGACTTTTCCATGTGCTTCGCCAAAACTCTCGCTCGCTATGCCGCCCCTGAGTGTCGCTTCACTCACTCGACCTTCGCTCCGCTACGGATCTCTTATACATACAGGGAGGCTTTTCTAAGTGTATGCATTTTTTTAATTAAATTCTAGACATAAATAATCTATACAGATAAATAAATTTTGAGTGTCTGTAACATTAAAATAACCGCTTTTTACTAAATGCATATGGACGTATAGACGGTACATATACCAAAATAATATTTTTTAAAAATTTTGTCTGTCCGTGTGTGTTTGTTTGTTCCGGCTAATCTCTGAAACGGCTGGACCGATTTGGACGGGACTTTCACTGGCAGATAGCTGATGTAATAAGGAGTAACGTAGGCTACCTTTATTTTAGATTTTTTTTATTTTAAATTCCACGCGGACGAAATCGTGGGCACAGCTAGTACTAATCACTCGTAATTAATTAATTACATTAATTTTAACTTATCTCAAAAGTGCGTGGATTATGGGCAACTCGTTTATTTTACGCGCGATAATTCATAACTAACACACGCACACAAGTTCATTTCAAAAGTGTACGACGATTTTATGAATGACTATCGCATTGTCAACAAGTTCTGTTTTTTAGGGAATAATAGAATGGCAATTTTTTTTTGAAAAGAAAAAGTTTGTTTTTATTTCAATATATGATCATACTACCGAGTCTGAACCTCCTGTGCGAATTTGGGCGCCTTTAGATAAGCCACCCTGTATAATATTTCATTATTAACATTTCTCCATCGATTAAAATTTTTTTCAAGCTTGAAAAACGAGACGAAATGTTATAAATTTTTACACGAGTTTGATTGATTTTACAATTGTCTATTCTCATTTAATTGTCTTGTCCTACCTCTATTCAAATTTTATACATATATATATATATTGTAAAACTTTTTTTTTTTTCATTATTTGCCATTTCATGAAAATTGTGTTTTAGCTTGAAACATCACTCTAAGTTTATAACAATTTGTAAATTTGTTGTAAACAGGTTGGTCTTATCGATGAAGCTGCTACTGATAAAGCGGACACCATAGAGAAATGTAAGAATTTCATAAAGAAATTCGATAAAATCCCTCCACTAGCGAGGTCATTGACCAAGCAACAAATTCGAGAGCGCCCTTTAGTGAGACTACAGAAAAACCGTGAACAAGACCTTGCCGTGTTCCTTGCTTACCTCAAAAACCCAAAAGTTCAACAGAGCCTAGAAATGTACACGCAAGCATTGAAGCAGAAAGCTGCGAAATAAGGGTGGGTGGGTATTCATGCATTTAAATTTAGTCTTATTGTTGCTCGTTTTTCATTTTATTCAACATTATTGAATGTAACGTATTTAATTTGCATCATGTATCATTGTATCATTTAATTTTTGTTGTTGCTTTATAATTTGTAAATACATATTAAGCAATTATAATAGAATATATTTAGCTATATTATTACTCTATATTGCCTATACTGTTGTTTCTTTTTGTTATATGAATTGCTTTAATTTGTTACAATTAATAAAGTACCTATTTATTAATAAATTTTATGTTACTTATTTAGTTAACATTTATCCCATATAATTTTACTTCTATATCTTTTTTATTTGCCAAACTAGGTTTTAGCGAATTGCTTGCAGTTGAGTTATATAAAATAGACTGTAGATAAAAGATTACATAATAGATTTCGTATTTGGATAATATAGAATTTTATTGCAACAAAGAACGAAATTTTTCATAGGCGAATATTTTTTGTCTAGTTAAAATGTACAAAAACTAGCTCCAAGAGCCCAGGGCCGCCAAACGTTACTTATTTTCTGAGTAACAAAATATATCGTACAGAGTAGTGTTAGAGTATACTCTGAAGGTATGCATACCTGCTAGCTTGGACCGGCGGCCAATTCACAGGTACCAGGTGCTAAAGGTACATAAAAACATCGCTCACATTTCTTAAATTCGGAGTGCTGACTTTTATATATATTTTACAAAATTTTATTAGAAATTTAAAATCAATATTGCCAGACAGTCTTCGCCGGCGGTAATTTCCGCCAGACGCTTTAAAGTTTACGAAAAAATAACGTAAGTTTACAGTCTGAGTCTTGATTTTTATATATGATACTTTTTTTAAGAAGTGGCCAGCCCTTGACTGCCATCCCACCTGGTGGTAAGTGGCGATGCAGCCTTTGATGGTAAGCGCGCTAGCTCAGTAAAAACCTCATTTAGAAACTATTTCAACACTATTTGCACGCAGCCAGACAAATTGGAAGGGGCCAAATATCCCCCACAAATATTTAAAATCTCGCCGTGAGTATGAACGCGCACATAATGTTTCCGCGGTTTTATATCACGGCCCATTACATTTATGTTTTATTTCTGTCTTGTTGAATTTTTGAATAATGATTAAACCATATTTTAATGCTCAACAAATTATAAATTTCAGTATGATAGAAATTGTTAATTTATGTATGAAATCTATTAATTCACCCATACTTTTTATTTATTTAATGAAACAAACTGTTCACATCACTTATTATGTACCTACTGTATATTGAAATAGCATCAATTAACAGTCATAGTTGTTATGTCAGAAATCACAAACGTACTTTTTATTTAAAACATTTAAACCACCAATTCGTTACGGAACGATACGGTTAAAAGTATGTTCACAATGGGAACATTCTTAATTTCATCTCGTTTTAATGAAAGACGAATTTAATTAATTTTTAGGCCTAATAGTACCTAATCTCCTCATACCGGCTTGTGTTATAAACAACACTTCTTATTCTGCTAATACAAAAGAAGGTTCTTAAGATCATATTGTAGGAATCAGATCGAATCCGATAAAAAAATATAACACACGCAATTTCAGGACACATTTTTACACAACGTTCTCTAGTCCCAAACTAAGCAACGCTTGTACTATGGGTAAGTGACTAGATAACTGATAAACATAATTTTGTAAATAAATAAACACCCAGACACTGGAAAAACACTATTTTCTCACACAATATTTTTCCAGTAGTGGGGATCGAACCCACACCCTCTGGCGGAAGAGTCAGGGTCACTGCCCACTACGCCAATCGGGTCGTCAATTCAGTCACAAGTTGTTAGACTGAAATCTTTGTCCATAGGCGGATGGCTACACGGATCGTACGAGGGTACAGAACGCTCCACTTTCTTTCCACACGGGCTTTCCACCTTTTTACATACTGGAGGAAATGGACGCGAGGGTGTACCACCGAATTCGCTCCCTTCGACAGAGTAATGGTAGCGAGCCGGAAGAGACGCTCGAGTCTATCAAACAACAGGAACGACAATCTGCTTTCTTAATCTGACATGCTCGGCTCAGCCAAGGACAATACGCACATAAACGCGTTGTGGAAGCTATCCTGCCATCCTTCGAAGCCTAGATGCAGCGACGGGAAGACAGGCTCATCTACAGACTTACACATAACCACTGGGCATGGATGCTTAGGTGATTATCTGTGTAAAATCGGACGTTAGCACTCTACTAATTATATTATGTTTATAATAAACAATATTTTCTTTGTTTTATTTGACAATAATAACCACTTACCTCTATACTAAAATTGACTTGATTTTGTGCATGGAAATAGCCATGTTGGTGAGTGACAGGTTACTTTTAATATTTTACTGCACAGCCACCGTTGGGTAATGTAATTCATGGCCTTGAATATTCGACCAATTGATATCTATTAGTGAACGACTATTAGTTAAGTAATCAAGCTCTCTAGAGTGTATCTTTTCCGCGTTTAGTGCATCTTTTCCGATACATACTTTTCTAACTAAGGCAAAGGTTTTAATCGATTCGTTTTTGTATGTTGTTAAAAATTTGGTTTTTGAACAAATTAGTTGCACATTTCTTATCTTGCTTAAAACATTGGGCTATTTATCCAGTAGATTACCTTCACGGTAAATGTATATCATTATATCCTACTTTACTATTGGTGTCGTTAAAAATCTTCCTTGAAAAATCGTGACCCTCCTACAATGTATAATAGATTTCATTAACTATTGTTCTCAAAATGAAACGAATAAATTAAACCTCTCTTAAACATTGCGGTTTAGAAAACGCATTATGCGAAATGTAAATAAAAAGCTTTTTAACAAAAAAAAGAACAGACTTCAAAAAATCAAAAGCTCAAAAATTATAATAGGACTAAATCTAATACAATCAAATCTTGAAAATCCAACCTATATAACCTAATCTACCTAACCTTTCACAAAATTTAACAATTCTTGGAGTGCCAAGCCGAGTATCTTTGATGACTATAAAATCATTCTCTTAACTTGACACTTAACTGTTACACACTTTGTTTGGTGTGTTAGAAATCTAAAATATTTGTTTAAACTAATCCTATTCATATTTACTAACAAAACTAATAATTTTGTAAAAGACATTGATTTTATTAATTAGACATTTAAAAAGGAGTAGCCCATTTCATGAACGTGACTAATGTCCTTCCTTTGAAAAGTTGTTGTATTGTCACGTTACTCAAAATCATTACCATTATTCTATTAAATAGTAATAATACTCAATGATCATTTAGTTCTGCTTTCTAAAATTATATAAGTAAAAGTTATATATTTTGGCAAATTTTAACAATCTAATAGTGAACTATTTTAAATCATTGGAGAATTTAAAAGTACAACTGAGCGCGTGGGACAAGAAGGCCAGGGTAGGATTTGGGGTGCCAAACTTAATGAGGGTCATGTTGGTTACCTCACTAGTTACGAAAGGTGTAGCTTAAATACGTCACTTCATACTCGCCAGTCTTCTGTGAGGTCGTGGTACTTCCCCAACGAGCCTGCCCATTCGTGCAACAGTCGAGGCTGCTACCTGGCCCTACCACCGTAGTAGTATCCTAGTATGCCCGCTTTACTTTACAAAAAATCGACATGTTTTTGTGCATGAAAGTAGCCTTGTCGGTGAGTGACATGTTGCTTTTAATATTTGACTGCACATTCACCGTTGGGTAACGTAATTCATGGCTCGACCAATTGATGTTTAATTTATTTATTTGCCCTATCTGAAGCCACGGTCAACAGCTTGTTGGGAACAGTTTTATTGATTAGCTCCTGCAATCATTATGAAGTGCACAAACTGAAATGGGTGAATCTTGACACATTTTTATAGAAGGCAAAAAGACACATCGTATACCACATATAATTAAGTTGAAAGTTAGAAACACTTGTAAAATATTACTTTAATATTTTAAGTCATACATTTAAAAAATCATATTAATAAATCATTTGCAGTTCGCACAATGCAACATAAGGAAATATTCTTTTCACAATGGTTGTCTGGAAGAAATCGCTTTCTGAGCGATGAGACCGCCTATTGTACTTCCTTTTATATTCATTTGTAATTTGCTTTTTATATATTTTTATTTTTGGTGTACAATAAAGTATAAATAAATAAATAAAATAAATAATGTTCTAGAGATCACACAGATAATATTTTGTAACACCCTTCGTATATTAAATATTTAAATGCTAAGGAAATGTTTTCTTTTAATTTAATTTTATTTTTATATTTGTGAAGATTCGATAACTGCAAAGTATAAAAGAAATTGTTACCTAATCTTAGTCTGGATACTATATACCAAATTAATATACAATTAGTTTTGCCTTAAATGGGGCCACATAGATGGAAGACATTTGTGTCGAAAATGACAACACTCTTACTGTTATGTTTATTCAACTGCATAGGGATCCTAGTCGGCATAGCCTGAAATGTAAAACAATCTCGTTTCACATTTCAGGCTATGCCGACTGTATTCTCAGCTGGTCTGGATATCATGGAGATGTACAAACCGGACATAAATAGGGCCGAGAAGTTCTGGTCGACGTTGCATGACCTTTGGATCAAACTGTTCGCGTCCGATTTCGTTACAGCGGCTGCGATCAATGTGAATCTAGGGCGCTCGTTAACATACGCCGACAACGAAACCAGTTTAAACGAATTTATACCAGCTTTAAACTATATCAATTGTACGGCTCTACCCGTACGCTGTACACTAAACTATATAAAAGCTTCTTTCAAGTGCTTGTAGTGCAAGGGTCACTTTTTTTTAAGGGTTCAAAAAAGTAAAAGCACAAAAGCGTGCACCGTGTAGTGCCGTGATGGAAGTGAAATTTCATAAAACAAAAAACGATAACTATTAATTACACAAAGCTTAGTACCATATGACGACAATGGAAACGCGTTACGGCGATCACGCCTTTTTTATAGCATCTGATTTTTAAATATTTACGCTGTATTGTACGTGTGTATGTATTTCAGTCAGCTCGTGTGACGCTCAAAAATAGAGCTTTTTGTTTATCCAGACTTTTTCGAATGGGTCAACACTGTTTTATGATCAATCCCCAGTATCGTTCAGCGTCGCGACTACTGGTATACCAATCTTGCTGAACTTTTTCAGAAGTGGCATCGACTTTATCCGAAACAGGGCATCTAGGCGACCTGCATCTTTGAAATCAAACAGGAACACAATTGAAAAATTGCGAGAAATCATTTTCATTTTTTTTTTACTTTTTTTGTGTTATATTTAATGGTACTAAAAGCAGCCAGATGCGAACGATATATCCAAAGAGATTTTACTACAACGTTGTACATACAAAATAGGAAAAGATTTTCTTTCTTCTATTATGCATAAAATGCTGTAAAATACGACTGGCGATTTTCTTCTTTATTTCGGAATAAGCTAAACATAATAACAGCTAAATTAGTTTATTATGCTTATTTTCACAGCATAATGTCCTATGGTGTCTTAGTTTGGGGTTCCGCATCCGGTTTAGACACAATATTTGTATTACAAAATCAGGCTATACGGGCTGTCAATGGCTTAGGTCCACGTGAGTCACTACGGCATATATTTAAGGAAATAAACGTTTTAACGCTCCCGTCGCTTTACATACTTGAGAACATCATGTATGTACGTAATAATATCCACCTATTTACGAAAAAACAATCCACTTCGCGTCGGGGCCGTGGTGACGACTCGGGCGGTGGTCGGCTCTGGAAGTACCGAGGTTCAGATTGGCTAAAACCAGAAAGTCGTTTCTTGGTAGATGCATCAACTTTTATAATAAAATAAGTGACATCCACAAACAACTAAGTATAAACAATTTGAAAAAAGCTACCTTAATGGCAAGTGCCTACTATAATGTCCAAGAATACATTGAGGACAAGGATGTGTGAAAATGACTCTTGCTCTGCTCTTGCAAGACCCCTGGCTGCTGCTGATTTTATACCTAAATAAGTTTGTATAAATGCATTAAAAAAAATAACAAAAAGAACAATACCGCAGTGTTTCTTGCCGGTTCTTCTCTGTGCAGGTCTAGTTTAGTGAACCGGTGGTAGATTTTTTGTTGAAGTTCAATAAGAGCTTAAGTTAAGCCTATATTGAATAAAGATACTTTGACTTTGAATATAATTAATTACATGGAAATGGCAGTATCGTTTGTTGTGGCGTTTAAGGGCCCCGCCATTTTTGTTCAATAATGGACATTTTCCGGCTAATGATGATATTATAAGAGTTTGGCGGTATTAATTTTTATGCGAAATAAAAAGACACAAAAACATTTTCATTAATATAAAATTAATTATTTAAAAAAAAAGTAATCTACCGTTTACAATAAAAAGGGGCGATTTCAGTTTCAAAAAGGTTATTTTGTGTTTTAATTGAAACATAGTTTGAAAAACTATTTCTAGAAATTCGGCTCGGTGTGAAAATTCACAATTTCGCCAACAGCCTCATCGCTACTTGAGTAGCTGACGCTATAAGCTCCGATGTAGGAGAAAACATCTATGGCTATGTATTTCTGATATAAATAGACTAAATAAATAAATGCTGCGCTTCCTCCGCAACTAATATGTCATTATTCTTTGTACCAGACCGTTACAATCCCAAATGGCCATCGTAATTCTCTAAATTTGAATGTGAAAGAATTTCCGTAGTGCAATCTAAACGACCAATCGTATTAAAGAATTCGCATAGTTCCCTTCGAATAAAGATTGCCTTTCCTTAGGGTCACGCACCAGCCGGTGGCTGTCTGCTAGCCCTGTCTTGCGAGTACAGGGGTCATAGGGTTAAACGAAGCTGCTGTCGGCATTATTGCTACCCCCTGGACCCTGGCCACGATGTACCACACAATACCCATTAAAACAACAGAGAGGGCACTCACGACTGCAAAGCTATTCACAGTGGACGAGGCTTCAAAGGTAGGTTGTATGTCGGAAAGTCCCACGTCAAACAACTTGTAACCTAATTTGAAATATTAGGGTCTTACTTAGTTCCCTAATTATGCTTTTTATATAGAAAATAATCAAAGAATTTTGTTAATGAAAAGTATATTTTATATAGGTATTGGCCATTATCGTCCATTCTCTTTTGTCATTTTAATAGAAGTTCCAAGTTTAAGGAAAATACAAACTTCGACGCTATTATGTTGTAGCTGACTCGCGTTACGAAAGCTGCAGCAAAGTCAGACGTATTATCATATTAATCTGTTTTCATTATGGCTGTGGGCAGTAGAAGCGTAACCTGCCGTTATTCTACAAGGTTGTTGCGCTTTTTTGACATACTAGCTGGTAATGGACGCGTTGCTAACTCGCCTCTGTAAATTAATTTTACTATAACCTTCACGCGAGCCTCTATTGGTTTTCGCTTTAACTCCTTAGACTATTAGAGCTTCATCGAACCCAGATCATGTGGAATTTTGATGTACTACGAGTTCTGATACGACTTATACGTTGGGTAGAGCCACGCATGCTCTTGCGTGCATTACGGAGGAATTGTCATGTGTTGGCCATCGGGGTTCGGTGCGACGTTGCTTGATGGCGTTTAACTATGTTAATTCTTGAAGGGGTAGGTAAGGAATACCTTGGAACCCTTGGCGGGTATACCTTTTGTACGTGCTGTGTTTGTTTAATGTGGGTGTTATCTGTGCATAGTTTTCGGCTTCGCGACAAGGGCAATTCTCAATCGAATGAACGGTATGGCAGCGCATAAAATAGGAACATACAAACATGGATTTTATGTGTTACATAGTCAATAGTAATAAAAACACCTCCACTTTCTGCTGCGTAACTCGACATTTTTCTCATATTAATCGATGGTTCAATCGACAGGTTGGATTGATCGACAAAACTGTATCAGACAAGCACAACGCTATCGAATCGTGCAAACAATTCATTAGAAAATTCGACAAAATACCGTTTGAAGCGAGGGCGCTTACCAAACAAAGGGTACGGGATGCAACACTGAAAGTGTCGCTAGATAATCGTCAAAAGGATTTAAACCAGTTTTTAGATATGATCAAAAACCCCAAAGTACAAAAAGGCATTGAGGTTTACTTAGAAAGATTAAAAAATAAAAAGAAGTGATTTTAATGTATGCGGACTATTAGAAATTATTTAATAAAAATAAAAATTTAAGTAAGAGATGGTATTTTATTTGTTCATTTCATTTCTTGTAATTAATATTTATAAATATACTTGATAGATATTATCTTAATAGACGTAAATAAAAATGCGAATGAAAAAAATTTGTTTATCATATTAAATGTAGGTTAAGAAAAAGGAAAAGCGTAACAAATATTAACTACGCATAAAAGTACGAAAGGAAGCAACTTTGATTTTTTTTATTTGTTATTAATAGTCTTCGCAAAGCAGAGCAGCTGCCTCGGGGTCAACGGCCTCTGACATATTCATTTGCATATCCGCCCAGGCTTCTCTTTGATTGTCGATGAAGTAATTAATTTCTAATATTCTATCTCTGTTTCGTTTGATTTCATTACTGAAAAATATTAAAATTTAAGAACACGCGAACATTTATTATATTATTAGATATATTTTAACATTTATTATTTTATAATAATTTATTATTTTATAATAACAAATTAAAAACCAAATGCTCTCCACTTCTTTATTACAAAAGTGGCATAATAAAACAAATGACACAACTTGAAATTTAGGAAATCAAAATCAATTCTAGTAGATGGGCCCTGGCTCTCCAGGAATCTCTCCTCTGAATTTATTAAAGCTTATTTCCTGCCAGCAAGTTTTGTCCGAATACGAAGAAGAATCATGTTAAAATTTTTAAGATGGTTGTGCGGACGATATAAGAAATAACTTATTACTGCGCGTTATTATTGTAATTCGTAAACTAATTTAGTTTTAGATGTTTTCATCCTTAATATGATCGGACTGTTTTGATTCAAGCCACGCAATAAAATGGGCGAACATCGTTTTAATAGTCAAGGCAATATTAATTAAAATGGATATGAATGAGAAGATGGAACGAGCAAGATATTTTACTGTACACGTTTACTATCGGCATAAACCAATAAACGTTTGCGTAAAACCTCAAAAATAACTGAAAACTAAAAAAGAACTATACAATGGTACATCGTCGTCTTCGTCCTATGTATCAGTAACGTTTATTTAGTACTAGCGGCCCGCCCCGGCTTCGCACGGGTATTTAACAAAATTTTTAAAACTAAAAATTATCATACACACAAAATGTTCCGAATATTTCGTCTTTGGTGAATAATTTTATGAAATTTCTTCATCTTTTAATGAAATACCCTTGAAATTACGTCATGAAGATCGAAAGACCGCTGACCAGATAATGGTTACGCTTTAATTACGGGACATTCGGGGTTACACGTAAAAGTGACAAATAAGTCTGGTGTCCCATAGCTTCGGACATAAATCATCCCATCTTTGGTTTGTTGACCGATATTTGATGAGCCAATGTCTTAAAGATGGCAACTCATTTGCAACCCTACAGGTGTTACAAATGTCCGTGGGCGGCGGTTATTACTTAACATCAGGTGAACCGCCAGCTCGTTTGCCACTCTATCACATTAAAAAAAAATCATGTTTTATTATCTTTATTCAATATAGAAGTATTACACTTACAAATTGTCAAAAACACTACTACTGTCAACATTATCTATAAAAACGGCCAAAAAATTATGTCTGTTTTATGGGAGCCCCACTTATTTATATTTTTTGGCATTTTTTGTTATAGCGGCAATGATGAATTGTTATGGCGGTGAATGATTATTTGTAAAAAGATTTTTTATTGGTTGTGGCGGCTCCTCAATATTAGGGGGACTAACTTTTCCAGAAGCACAGCACATACCATTTGGTTCATCGACCCATTTTTGGCAGAACACTTAGAGCAGATTTTATTCGTGGCTACGATTTGGACGGAAGACTGTTGAGCAAAATGCATGAAAGCTGATCTGTTACTGTGAGCTAAAACTCGATCACGAACTCTAGTCGTTGACGTTTGTTATCTTTCTCTCTAATCTCGTATATGTTGGGAACGCTCAGACCTCGATTCCCTAGTGTGAATTTGTATATTTACATTATTATACTCTTCAAGCCACTGCAAACACTCTATTTGACTCTCTCCGACTTGTAAGACGATATTCAGTTTCCGGTAAAGATTCCTCATTATGACGTATTTTTAATGTCCTCGCCTCGGAACCATTTCTAGAAAGATGAAATCTTGATCTTTTGGGCATTTTAAAATGATGAAAAAATTAAACTTCCTCAGTATTTAATAATCTGCTAACTGTTGAACAGGAATTACCAGTATAAATGTGATTGAAAACTTATAAGAACTACTAAGTCAGTCACTAAGCTGTTTGGATAGTTAAATTACAATATACTAACATTTTTAAACTTGCAATACCTAAGGAATGGAATGTCCGAATTTAATAATTCAAAAAGTTTTATAAAGATATTGAAACAGTCTTAAATATGAAGTAATTTATTTTTATAAGGATTAATACCGAGATACAAATAAACAGCCTTTGTTAGCGGCGGCATTTAAATCAAAATTTTAAAATAAAAGAACACTTATTGTGGCATAACTATAATAGTTAGACATATGCTGTCGCAACACTTTTTGTAGATAATGATGTGGTCTGCAAAGTCGTAGTACATTACTTTATTCTGTCATCAATAGTTTTCGCAGCGCACGCGATGTAAAGATTATTTTAGGTAATTTTTGTACACCTTGAGTAACATTATTGGAGTTTTAGTAAGGATCCCTAATTTTTTGAAAATATTATATAGCCTATGTCAAGCAGGGATAATGTAGCTTCTCAACAGTGAAAGAATTTTTCAAATCGGTTTAGTAGTTTCGGAGCCTATTCGATACATACAAACAATCAAATCTTTCCTCTTTATATAATAGAGAAGACAATCCGAAGAGCTATATATATAAGTGGATTTACTTACATAAATAATGAAATTAAAACAAGTCAACTCACTCATTAGTCCCGGATACGAGCTGATCTCGCCAATTGGTGGCGCGCGTCGTAAGAAGATCTTCGCGTGCGTCGATAAAGCGCATGTGGTTGTCCGACGACTGCGCAACGAGATTCATCATCGCGTCGCGTTCCATCATGACCTTGTCAAGAAATTAATAATAATAATATTCATAATATTTATTTTATATATGCAATATATATCTATATGTTTATTTTTTTTATCTATAAACCCAACCAGACGAGAAAACAAAGGAATATCCCCAACATAATAACAATCATTTATTCGCATAAACATGGTACATAATATAGTGGTGAATAAATTTGTTACAATTGCTCACACGTTTGCCAGATGCGGCATGCGAAAACCAATGTATATAAACTACAGGAATAGAAGTTAATGACAGAATAAAAACTTATTACATGAATAAAATTTTATTTTTCTATCATGCTATTAAGTAATTAATTACCTATTTTGAAAATAATTAATACTAAAGAAATAAATAAGTCCATAAGCAATAGTACCGGTCACTAATAACGCCGAGGAGATTGTAAGATACAATTGCTATAGTTGCATTTTAATTTAAAAATGTTATTAACTTAACTAACAACATGTGACGATATCGGGGAAATAACCAGCCTACAGATCTAAAGTGCACGCGAGTGGTCTGATTACTTTATATTCAATATTTATTTCAAAGGCTTAGTAATGTGGAAACATTTTAATTATTTCCTATCAGCACTTTTTTCGAATCATAAAGTTGTTGATGTGTTTGATCTTGTATAATGTGTTTGATTTTCAAAAAACCATAATGTGTCATTAAACTCATCCGCGCCTGTTTTCGAATGTTGTGGGAATTTGAATTTTTCAATCCACAACTCATTTCGGACGTTTCAAATCGAACTCATTCCGGATGATTCTGTAACTACTTTCAGTCCGTAAACTATTTATTGTGATAGGCTGGTAGGGCCATGCATCAGTTTTCACTGTTGCACAAATGGGTAGGTCTATCCGGGGAAATACCAAGTCCACCACCTCACCCAAGACCGGCGTGAAGTGGAAGTGTTACTTTAAATTATATTTTTTTTGTATATAAATGAACAAAAACTTTCGGCGCTGCGGGATTCAAACCTGCATCTTCTGGTTTCGTGTCCAGAGCTTCATCAAATAAGCTAAGCGGCCGAAGACCTCACGGAGCGAGAATCTCAACATCTATCTACGTTCTTCCTATTGCATTGCCTCTGCGGATCGTCTGGTGAATGAGGTAAGTGGATCTTTATAAAAAGTTGGCGACGCATGTGCAACCCCTACGGGTGTTGCAAATGTCCATGGGTGGCGTTTAACACTTAACTTCAGGTGAAGCGCCGGCTCGCTTACGCTACTTGCAGGGTTCGTGCGTTTTGGCCCTTACAACGTACCTCGAACAGCTCCGGCGGCGCGTCACCAAGCAACACCTTGTTGCCGACCAGTTTGGAGAGGGCGTCGCTCTGTTTGCTAGACCACACCACCTCGCTCTCGCGCCAGGAGCCGAACGCGCCGCGCGACACCTCCAGCAACTTGTTTATCATCTCCGTCAGGTTCACCGCGAACTGAGTACGCGACTCCTGTGGGCCGATCACGAAATTTCCACGGCTATCGAGTGGTAAAGGTAATGTAATCGTAACGTATCAATTTTGTATGAAAATTGGAGCAGCTCTCCCGTGAGCTTAATACGAATTAAAAGTTGAATGCGCGAATGAAATTTAAGTTTACGTTACGGCTTATAGTAAAGTATTGATAGTAATCAGCAGCACGAACGTTCATTTAACGTTATCAAGAGTTACCTCAAGAAATCAACAGAAAAATTCTCACTGGAGTTTTTGAAGTGACAAAATTTACGTCGTGGCTTTGTAAATTATTTTACAGGAGATAAAAAATAACATAAAATATAATATACTTAAGTTATTGATCTTGCAACGTGAACATAAAACGATAAAGGTCTGGCCATGCGTAAGCATCTCTAGTTAGTCTGTGGGTCTAGCGTTGTGCGTGCACCACGCAAAGACTACTGGATAGATTGCAATTAATTCTTCTAAGTTTACATTAGCAAACAAAACATTTAAGTTACAACTGAGACCATTTTTTAAAATAACAATATCCGCAACTGTAGATAAAAGTAAAAGTAAAACACTATAAAACACATACATACATTTAAAATTTGGTAACATTTACTTACCTCGCACTGTTCATACAATTGCATTTCTATAGTCATTAGATTCTTCCAAAGCTCGAACAACGCGTCGTTGAAGGATTCCCCAAGGTCCAAAACGTTCGGTTCTAGTTCCTCCAGTGTTGCTTGCTTCGCCGTAAACTTCGCTATGAGCTCGTTCATCTGGTTGACGAATCGCACTTTCTTCTCCTCGAATCGTTTCACTACACTGAAAGTAAACATTATATGTGAAACTACAATTTAAATTCGTATTTAAAAACAATCATTCAAAACTATTTTTTGCATGGCAGACGTTGCAGTCGTTTACTATGTTTCGTTTTATCACTAACTTACTCTTTACTTTTATTAACACTGACTTCCAGTGCGTTATCTACTAGATCTTTGAACAGCTTTATTTCGAACTGCCTCTCGTTGTAGGCCTGTTGGGCGTACTCGACTAGACCAGCCATGGTTTCAACATACTGCTCCTTATACCTAAAGTAACAAAAGTACATTTAGAATTTTTTTATAGTGGTAATCCCTACACTTAAGATTAAACATTAAAATTTATAGAAAAAGTACGAAAACATTGTCGCCGTTGTGGTAATCGAACCCACGTCTTCGGAATTCGTGGCCTTACACTTTAGCCACCAAGCTAAACGGCTGATTGCCACACCGACGAAAATCTTAACGTCTTCATATCATATCTACATTGTTTTTTAGCATTTGAAGCAATGCTTGGCGCATCCATTGTTATATCCTTTCCAGCATACAAACAATTTCGAATATCGTTTTACGTTTCATTGCTTTGCTTGCATATATTATTTCATTGGTATTGGATCTTGGGATCCGGAGATACGAGGAAACTCCTGAAAATCAACTCTAAAATGAATACAGAGACAGATATTTGAAATCGGTTTTGTTTTTCGTTAATAAAAATATGGACTTGTATATACCCAATTTTCACAGGCAAAAGCACTGTGGGAATCGAAAGCACGGCACCAGTTGATCAAACCGAAGGGTGGTAGGGAAAGTCAAAGAGTTGTTCGCTGCTGCACGAATGGTCAGATCCTTCCAGGTAAGTACCACGATCTCAAAGAAGACCGGCGTACCGTGGAAGTGTTATTCTTCTGCGTTTCGTCTGGTGAGTGAGGTAGCTGGAGCAAACTTTTTTAATAGGCGGCAACGCATCTGCAACCCTACGGGTGTTGCAAATGTCCATGGGCAGTAGTTATCACCACCCGCGAACCGCCAGCTCTTCCATAAAAAAAGAACCCAATAGCTTAGAAAATGCCTGACGGACTCACCCCTTAACATATAGATCGACTTATATATGTCTATATGTATGTGCGTGTACAAAACAAACAGTTTTAAAAACAAAAAACATACTGCTCATAAAAATTCGTCAGTTCTCCGCCTATCTTAAGCAGTAGTGATCCATCGGGGTCCTTTTCAAACATAGACTCGAACAGTTCTGGCCCGCTCAAATACTCCACGAAGGACAGCGCGTAAAACTCAACCTTTGCTTCGTATTCTTCTTTTGCCAACCTCTCTTTTTCCGCTTTCTCATCGGACTCGTCTAATTTCCGCAATAACCCTCTGACCAAATAAAAATATTTTAAAGGGCACTGCCTGAAACTATAAACTATTAAAGTATCTATTGCTTTTGGTGTGGTCTAAATACATTAATGCAGCTTTATAATAATACTTTTTAACGGTGGTAGGGCCATGCAGTAGCCTCGGCTGTTGCACGAACGGGCAGGCCCGTCCGGATAAGCGCCACGACCTCACAGAAGACCAGCGTAAAGTGGAAGTACGACAAATACTTTCGCGTTTCGTCTGGTGAGTGAGGTAGCCGGAGCCCAATTTTCAAAAGGTTGTCAACGCATCTGTAACCCACGGGTGTAGCAGATGTCCATGGGCGGCGGTATTCACTTAACATCAGGTGACCCGTCTGCTCGTTTGGCAACTTCTGGCAAAAAAAAAATACTGCACCGTCGTACATGCATAAATTGCCCTGATATAAAGACCAAAGTTGGAACAAATTACAGCTGCCACAAAAATTTGTCCTGATTAAAATAGAAGTATCAACCCCGGGACCCACTGCCCGGTGATCAAAATATAGGCGTTAATATTGTGGGTCACCTTTGTCGCTCTGTGAAATTTCAAGCATTAAGTTATTAAAGAAAAGTTGCACCAACCTAAAAAGTGCTCTTCCATTTTCTCTTTCTTCTTCAGTGATGATTTTATAGTCCAAATATGTTACTTTAACTAATGCCGACTTAAGGAACTGGTACGCCATCGGGTCATCACAACACGGATTACCTTTAAAGCTCACGGATCGAAGGAAACGGAACCTTCTCAAGTATGCCATCTACATAAGATAAATGTGTAAAAAAAAAGAAAGAATGTTCTAAAATCTTATGAATTAGTAATTTCTTACGTATTAATTAAACTAATTTCGGATTGTTTAAAATTTTGGTTGCTTAAAAGATTTGGCACGATAAAAAAATATGTCAACGTGTCAGACGTATTGAAAATGATTTTGCCCTCTTCATGAAATGAGCGCAATTTTTCAAAATCTTCTATAATATGCAACGAAAACACTTGCCCCTAATGTTAATAGAAATATATCGTTATGGTTTTAATTACATTGCATACCTCTTTGTAATCTTCGATTAAGTTATCACCAATACTAAAAACGAGTAGCTTAGTTAACTTCTCCATATTTTCTAATTTTCTTATTTTATTATGAAAAAGAGTTAGTACTTCCAAGTTGACTAAAGCATCCAGATTTTCTATTTTTTCAATTTTATTAAATGATAAATCTAATTCATTTAGACCCGTCAACTCGTCCAAATTTTCTATGTATTCTATCAAATTATGAGCTAATGTTAATTTTGTAAGTGACCGTAGCATCCAGAGATGATTAATCCTCAAAATATTCTGAAACTCGAGGCGAACTATTTTTGCTTCTTCCAAATGAACGCCTTCTTCTGCGAATAATCTACCTGCTTCATCTTTTGGACCTGCAATTATTTGTTATATAATGTTCTCTTTAAAAATTGACTACATTTTTTGAGGATTTTATAAAAATTTAGGATCGCTACGTTTCTCTAGCGTACACACTGATATGAACGAATATTCAAATAAACGTAGTGGTTAGGTTAGGGGTTAATTATCTTTGTGAATATTCCTATATTTGTTGATATTCGCATTCGTATTCGCAAGACATGATACGAGTAATTGGCTAGTTGTATTTGACAAACAACTCCTTCACAATTTACAAATGATATATCTAAATAAAATTTAACTTCTTTTACACGAAAACAAAATAATTATATGAATTATTTATTATTTTATTATGTTAAAACCATTCAGAGAAGAAATTCACGTAGCGTTCTTGGCACCGTGTCACGTGGGATAGATTTATTATTTAGTCTTATATTCTCGTCCTTTTAATTATATAAATAATAAAAAAATCGTTAAAGTAAATTTTTAAATTCTTTTTAATTCGTTCAATTTTATATACCTTTAGCTTTTAGGTGATTTCGCATAACGCTAGTGTTACTTTCTTTGTGTCAGTATTGCATTGCACATTTTCAGCGTCATACAATGTGAGATGGACTAAAACTAAACTTTTTATATCAATTTTAAATATGAGTTACTGTGACAAAGACAATAATACTAATCTAACTTAACTAATCTTATCGAAATGAACTTAGGAGTTGTTTGTTTAAACGTACCCGACTTGAAATATCATGTGTGTCTAACATTAAGCGCGCGATTTATTTAGAATTGAACGTTCGAATTTCCGAATATTGGACTTAAATATTCACAGTCGTGAATGTGTGATATCCAACATTCGCTAAATCACTAGTACACACAAATAACAATTGTGGCATATTTGTGCCAGTTTTTTATTTGTAATGGATTGTATTGTTTACTTAGTTGGTTAGTAGCTTATTTGTTCAAGCGTTGGTTTATACATGTTACTACCACTACAAATTTCGTTGTTAAAGAATTAATGTAAATCTTAAGCTGTATAAAATTTCAACAAGGATTTAATTACCATATTCCAATATACATCGTGTAAGCATAGCATTATCAATAACACCTGGCTCAATATCGGGATGAATTATTAGACTATTTAATGATTTTTTTTCACCCATGCTATACAATTATATTTATGTTATATTCAATTATAATATAGTAAAGAATTTATTCCTTACTTTCTCAGACAATATTGTGTTACGTAGCAACCAAACGGTTTATTCAAGACTATAGATAATAGTGCCACTTTATATTATAATAAAGTGTCAGGTCTGAATTATTTTCATGGATTGAAAAATTATAATTTTTGAATAGATTATTACTTATTTTTTGAATAGATTATTTAACATGACAATATTGGTATTCAAATATTTTTGCAAAATGTTATGGCATTGAACATTGGCGATTGAACAACTTTGTTTGTTTTCGAGGCTGATTTCTGATTGTAGTTTAGTTTCATGTAAATCCGAAAACTTTATCGCAAGACGCGTCGTCAGCAGGGTCAGGACGACCCGTGAACTCAGGCTCATTAAATCGTGGCTGGTGCACGGCAACACTATGACAACGTCCGCTCCACTGGTATCTACGCAACCCGTGTTAACGAAGGATGGACAATTTGGTTGGACCTTTTAAAGGAAAGTAACAATATAGCTACGGCAAATGATAGCTTACGCTAATTAAAATACGAATACTATTAGTATACGAAAAGTAAATTATTATCATAAACTTTATAAAAATAAGCAATTCTTGAATATAATCTTCAATATTTCAACGTTTCGTTATTAATTACAAAATGAACGAACGATCGTATGTAGACTCTTAATATATAACAATAACGACATGACGTAAGCGATTCTAAAGCGACCTGTTACATGGGAATATCGTTGAAGGCTGCAAATTGAGGGCCACGCGTTGTCCGATGACCGAGCCTTGTGAAAGTGAATGTCATATGATTCGCGTTAAGAGCATTGACCAATGATGATTTAATAAAGACGACGCTTGTCCATAATGCGAAGCTTTAACCAGGTTTATGTGGGTGGGGACCCCCTTTAGAGAAATTGTTCAGCATTCCTCATATCTCAGGCTTTATCGACGCAAGTAATAAAGTCACCGGGCTAAAAGTAACTAGGCCTAGCCAAAAAAAATTAAAAACTATGAATAAATATATTTTATCTTTATTCTTTTACCTATTAATAATCTGTGGTGGAGTGAGTCTTTGCTTTTGACATTTACGTTTTTACAGATTATTTTACAATTGCCCTAATAAAACTGACAAGTGAAATCGCAGAACTTGTTGTGATAAATATTCGATTAATCTAATATAAAATGTCTTTTTTCGGAGTAGGAAATCCTTTTGGCACGCCGGTTGGCCAGAAAATAGGTTTGTTGCACTAATAACTTTCAATTATATATATTTACTAAATACTTTCAATTATTATACTTTCGTAATAATATGTACTAGGTGTATATTTTCTATTCTTTTGTTGCGTAAATAAAATATCACAAATTATAATAAGCTTTTCAAACAAACTTTTCCAATTAATATAAATGGTGATGAAGTCGCTCGTAAAATACCTACGATTATAATTTTTTTTAATTTCATTGTTATCGCTAAGTGATGTTAATAACTACGACCCTTTGTATTTACGGTGTAATTGACTTTTCAGAACAAGCTACCGATGGATCGCTCCCATCTGAAAATTGGGCGCTTAACATGGAAATATGTGATATTGTGAACACTAGTGCTGATGGACCAAAAGATGCTATTAAAGCTATTAGAAAAAGACTGACACAGAGTGCTGGTAGGAACTATACCGTGGTGATGTACACTCTTACTGTATTGGAAACATGTGTGAAGAATTGTGGAAAATCCTTTCATATTTTGGTCTGCAACAAAGAATTCATTTCAGATTTGGTAAGCTCTTTATAATGCATATCTCAGTAGAATACGACAAAGTCATCCTTCTTTTCTAGTTTTCTTCTTTTTTCCTCTATATTCATATTGCACTACAGTTATAGTTCTTACTTATTATCAGAAGTTTTTTTTTTTCTCAATACCAAAAATAATTATTTCTGACAGTAATTTAAACAATCACTATTTTTCACATTTCTTTTCGTGAAGTTATAATTGATACTGTATATAAACCATATTAATGAACTAATTATTATATAATTACTTGTCATTTACTTTTGCAATTAAAATTTTGAGACATAATTTGTCATTAAAATTTTGTGTGAAAGCAACATCTATTAATATGACAATATTTATTATAATTGTTAAGGTATGCAAGGTTGAAATACTGACTTTAAAAGTATAACAGTAAAAGCTGTGCTTGAGAACTGTCATAATGAATACCTGTGTAGTTTATCTGATTATAGGTCATTCACTTCGCATGTTCCATGTCATTACTGCATCAACATATTAATAATCTAATCTGTATTGCTTGTATATTCGTAAAACAATTTTATGGGCGTAATTGAAGGTATGCTTTGTTGTAAGTTAATAAATTTAATTAAGAATAACATAAATAGAAAATCCTATTCATAATTGTTTAGCATAATTTATTCTTATCTTTTGTAAGTAAGGCTATGCTAATGTTGATTATGTTATCATTAAAGATTCATGTTAGAAAAGTATAGTTTTTTGCCTATAATTTTTTGAAGGTGAATGTCATCGATGATTGGCTACTCATTTGATTGTATTGCATAAAAATTTTAAATGTATATTGCCTTCCACTTTTTGAAGTGTATTGAATTGTTCTATTTTATATATGTATATATACTAGCGAACCTAACAGATGTTCTGTAAACAGAACTAAATTCCGAAAACAACTTATAAATACAAAAATTAAAAAAAATGTGGACCGAATTGAGAATCTAAACCATTCTCGAATCAACCTGAAGACACACAAAATTTCATTAAAATCCAGCCAAGTATATTGAGTCGTAATAGAGCAGTGAACGGGCTTCACCTTTAATCAATATACTTGAGCAATCTGAGTTAGGTGCCTGGTGCCACCATCAATGAAATTGTTAATTTTTTGTGCTGACTTTATCACCTGCTCAGCGGTGAAGGAAAACATTGTGAGGAAAGCTGCATATTTTCGAATTAAGAACAAAAAAATATATTTAGAAGATATGTGAAGTTCGCCAATCCGCAGTGAGCCATGTGGTGGACTACGCCGTGATACCCTACACTACAATAACTACATTTATATTTTTCTAGGTAAAACTCATTGGTCCAAAAACGATCCTCCAACAGTTGTGCAGGAAAACTTTTGACTTCTTATATTTTCCTACATTCTATTTCATATTTTTTTATTAAGAAAAATAAAGGGTATAGAAACATAAATGAGCCTTATATTATTAGATAGTATTTATCAATTGTTCTTTATTGTTGCCTATTACACTAACATATGCAACTGAGTTCTTCTGCACATTACATTTATTACTCAGTCTTTAGTTTTCTTCTGTGTTGTAAGGATATTTTACAAATATAAATTTGACGTGGACAAACACCCAGATGCGAAACAACTATCTGTGGGTCACACAAATAGTTGGCCCGCGTGGGAATCGAACCCACTACCACCGACGCCGAAGCCAATACCTTGGCAACTGTGCCACGGAGTCATCAATTTTGAAGATACTTATATAGATTCTCTCCTGAACTTTGATTTTAATGTGGTAGGGCCATGCATGAAGTTCTGCTGTTGCACAAATGAGCAGGCTCGGCTTAAAGAAGACTCATTTGGTATAGAAGTATTAATTATATATATTTTTTGGAACTAGAACCTATTTCATTAATTGATGGTAACAAATTAATATCTGCCTTTGCCTGCGCTTGCCATCTGACATAAAAAAATATTGGCTGTTCATTTTCTTAATATGCTTTTATCTAATTTTACTGCTTATTCCATATTTGTTGACGAAATTTATAATTAGCCATAGAATGTTTTTAATTATGTTCAATTTAAATTTAATTTCATGATGCTTATAAATGCCTAAAAAGTTTTAATGCAAAAATGAATATTATTAGTATTTAATTTAACTTCTGAAATTATGTTTATACCATTTCGAAATTGTTACAGTGAAAAATGGCCCGAAGTTTTATGATAAAAAATATTCCTTAGTATTTTAATGAGAAACTGAGTTAAGTATTAAAATAATATACATGTAAAAGTTTGCACTGGGTAAAGCAGTTTCTTTTTTGAATTCTTTATTTGTATTTCTTGTCTCTTTATTGTTTATTTTATTCTATCAAATCAATTTTGAAATACTTTCATTGAAAAATTTAGTTTCTTTGTACATTGGTTGGGATACATTTTCTCATCGTACGTAAGTTATAGCGACGAATTTATAAAATGAAAGAAACTTAAAATATCTTTTCATTGTCTATTTATTAATACCTTTTTGTCTTCATTCTAAATGCTTCTACATTTATTGAATTAGAGCAAATTACAATGAATAAGCTCAGTGTCCGGGCGCTCGCCTTTAATTACATCTTTTTACTCGAGCAACCTGAGTTCGATCCCCGGTGCCAGCACCAATGAAATTGTTAATTTTAAGTGCTTACTTATCACGTGCTCGGCGGTGAAGGAAAACATCGTGAGGAAACCTGCATATTTTCGAAATAACAATATATAGAAATATTTCGAAAAGATGTGAAGTCCGCCAATCCGCAGTGCCGCGGGCCGCGTAGTGGACTATGCCCTGATACCCTCTGTACAGAGTAGGCCTTTGCCCAGCAGTGGGGCATTTATAGGCTGTTACTTTACTTTTTAAAATGAAATGCTTAAAAAAGTCCGTGGTTTTAATAATGTTTGAAGCTATATACAGCATGGTGTTATAACCGCGACTTAAATGAACAACTTTCTATTGTTACTTGCCAATAATCATTAAAAAAAATTGTGCATGTGATCTAATTTTTTTTTTCAAAGATTATTTTAAATGTTTCAAACATTATGGACACCTTAAGAAATTCGTCCCTTACCGTCTCAATACAATAACCTATTCACGAGCACTTAAACTTTTCGTTGAAACGCATAATTACTAAACCGTTTACCAATATGGTGACCACTCTTAACGGGAAAAACAAACAATGTTTGATTTGTTATTTCTTGTCAAAATAAAATATTAATATTTTTTTTTGTATTATGGAATGCTCAATTAACAATATGTCAAAGTATGTAAAAATCATCAATCATCTTCGTCTAAAAATCACTCTGTATAAAAAATTATTGTCGTCAGTACGGCATTGATGACGAAACTTTATTTCATATAATACCCATTTTATTTTATTGACAAGTTGATAAGACACTTTACACTTTAGTGTTTTAAACGACATCCCAACGAGATCCATAGTATTTTTGGTTAAGTTCCTATCTGAACTTGTATGAAAAAAAAAATACCAAAAATATAAACATGTTTCATCTTAACGTATATAAAAGCTATCGACCAAATCTATCATCAAATCTTTTTACTAGTAAATCGATTAACGAATGCGATAGTGATATTGTTCGATAAGGTTGTCGGGAATAACTAATCAAAAATGTGATGTATTTTTCCCCTGCTAAGTTTAGATGTGTCAAAATCAATTCTATGCTTTGAAGTACGTAAAAAATGTATAGTAATATAATAATAATATAAACTGCCTTATGCACCGATGAGTCATCTTGATACAGGTTCGCTAATAAATATCTTAAAAATTAGTTGAATTATTTATAAAGTATACACGTATGTATACCAAAAACATAAAACGTGCAAATTACAAATTAATGTAAATGGAAGTACAATAGTCGGTCTTAACACTCATAAAGCGATTTCTTCCAGACAACCATTTTCATATTGTGTCACGTAACTAACTAGTTTTCTTTGGATTATAAGAAAAGTTCAATTAAAATGCACTTTAATTTGATAAATATGTAGTGTTCTATGAAGTTCTTTTTCACTCATATGTACATATGTATGTACTTAAATCAAAGTTGATTTTGAGTGACGATGTATTCACTCAAAGTTATCTTGGGTTCCAGTTTCTCGGCTTGTTAAAAAAAAAACTTTGAAATTATTAACCATAACCTGTTGTTCATATATTATATCAATAACTAGCGACCCGCCTCGGCTTCGCACGAGTGCAATTTATTAAGCATGTAAACCTTCCTCTTGGATCACTATCTAGTAAAAAAACCGCATAAATATCCTTTGCGTAGTTTTATAGATCTAAGCATACATAGGGACAGACAGACAGCGGAACGACTTTGTTTTATACTATGTTGTGAAGTTATGATAATTATAAGTGAGGCGTGAAACTTTGGAATCAGTATAATTTTGATAGGTTCATAGAACGGAACAAGACATTACGTACTCTTGTGTACGCTTATATGCCATTTGTTTTGAGTGTTTATTACGTTTTGCTTACAGGGCGTTGGCCAGATTTACAATGAGCTTCGATCCAAAGGGGTCGAGTTCCCCATGACGGATCTAGACGCGATGGCGCCCATATTTACACCGCAGAGGGTACGTGTGACATTTCCCCGCCATCCGTTAATTACAAGTTTGTTAAATATACGATGATACGCGCGACATGACATTGATTTGACATTAATAAACTAAAGCGACATTACGAAATAAAGTACCACATTGTGTTACGTACTTTTTTTTGTTTAAAAAATAACGGAACTTATTATACGAGACCCATATTTGTATGTCAATGTCCCGCGTATCAACATATATTTAACAGACTGCCATTATTATATTTAGAAGTATGTTTTCTTACTTTTTTTTTCTACGCATATGATTATATAGTATAAACATATATTTTTATCTATACTTTACTATAATCTGAAATGTTAATTCTTATTTATATTCCTTATATTAACAATTTATTTTCTTTTATATTAATATATTGCAATTAATACATCCCTTGCTGCACCTACCATAAACTTTCACTATATCCTGGTTTGACTGGTAGAGAAGGCCTTTGGGCATTAAGGCCGCCCTTTGTTACCTTTTTGATTAAGGCTAGCAATAAAGCATCAATAAATAAAAAATATCGCTTAAAGACGAGAACTGAACGGGAGAGTAACAGAATACGTTGTTCCGCAGAGCGTGCCCGACGGCCCGGAGCAAGTTGTGGGCTCCCCTCAAAGAGCGGCGCCCCCTCAACACTCCCCGGGCCTTCAAACCCAGGAGCCCGTCACTTCTACGGTAAACAATAATACTTTGTTGTACAATGTTTAACAACGAACAGCCTTTGCATTCCTCGAAGGTCGGTAGCTTTGTAAAATCGAGTATTTTGTTGTGCAACGTTTGGAACAGCCTTTATATTCCTGACCTGCATCTGCCGGGCTTTTACTAAATACTAACTGATGAGTATCCAAGCGTCCTCTTCAGTTTCTTCGATCAAGTATGTCTTCGTCACGATTTTAATATTTTTTTGAAAAGATAAATAGATTTGACAGTCAATATTTGTCTCTCTGGCGTATCTTTGAAGTAACTATACAATAACTGAACGCTGTACTGGAAAAACATTGATGGAGACATCATCAATAGAGGAATTTAATTTCTCACACCCAAAAGACCACAGAACGTCGCTTGGAGGTATACGTACGCACGCACACGCATACATGTGCACCCGTCACACAAACACGTTTTGCGTTTCGTCCATCGAATGAGATAACCCTGATGTTGCTAATGCCATGCTGTCATCGCAAAAGGCATCATGGTTCACGTCTGTCCTCTTTTAGGTAACGCTGTCGGATAGCCAGACGAGCAAGCTGCGCGCAGACTTGTCCGTGGTCGAAGGCAACATGACCGTGATGAACGACATGCTCAACGAGCTCACCACTCAGCCGCACACGCAACACCACGACAGCGATATCGAGCTGCTTAATGTAAGCCGTCGAACCTTCTCGATTGTTCTGTGCCCGTTTCTTTAGTTTTTTCATTCAATTCATTCCCCTCGTTCAACTGCAATTGAGATCCCTACTTCCTTGCTTATTTAATATCATAAACGTGGAAGTTTGCATGTATGGATGTTAGGTAATCTTTCACACAAAAACTGCTGAATGGATTTTAATGAAACTACAATAATATAGCTTATACATCAGGGTATTGTGAAATGTGCAAAATATAACGATATGTGTCAAGTAAGTAGGAAAATATTCTGCCATCTTCGAGCTATTCTGGTGTATAATAAAAAACTCATTAATATTCGTTAATACTCGTTAATATACTCGTTATTAATACTCGTTAATACCCTTCGACCGCGCGGGCGAAGCCGCGGTTGACAGTATAATTAACATAATGATTGGTGGTTCCTACCTTTGACCATATCTCATATTAAGAGGGAGTTTCCAACAAAGAGAGCTCGATGTTTACCTCAATTCGTATTGAATGAAGGCTGAATCTTTTATGGTATCCCGTTTAATAGGCCAGAAAACTCGTTAATAGATATTACAAGTGATCGTAATGTTAACATAAATTTAACGTGGTCCAACAACCAGATCTGAAACAAACGTCTGTACAAAAATAGTCGTCCCGCGTGGGAATCGAACCCACGACCCCCGGCGCGGAGGGCGTTACCTTGGCAACTGCGTCACGGAATCATCGAATATGGCTTTAAGCACCATTAAAACCAAACGCTGAAATGAATGGCAGGAGTTGGCGGACACGTTGCGCGCGATGCAGAGCCGCGTGGCCGAGCTGGTGGCGCGGCTGGCGGGCGACTCGCCGCTCACCGCCGACCTGCTGCACGCCAACGACCGCCTCAACAACCTGCTCCTGCGCCACTCGCGCTTCCTCAACAACAGGTTTCTATCTCCCCCTTTCGTTCTTTCTCCCTATGTCTATCTCCTCTCTCTCTCTTTCTCTCTGCGGTGCTAGAGACAACGCCAACGACCGCCTCAACAACCTGCTCCTGCGCCACTCGCGCTTCCTCAACAACAGGTTTCTATCTCCCCCTTTCGTTCTTTCTCCCTATGTCTATCTCCTCTCTCTCTCTTTCTCTCTGCGGTGCTAGAGACAACGCCAACGACCGCCTCAACAACCTGCTCCTGCGCCACTCGCGCTTCCTCAACAACAGGTTTCTATCTCCCCCTTTCGTTCTTTCTCCCTATGTCTCTCTCTCTCTCTCTCTCTTTCTCTCTGCGGTGCTAGAGACAACGCCAACGACCGCCTCAACAACCTGCTCCTGCGCCACTCGCGCTTCCTCAACAACAGGTTTCTATCTCCCCCTTTCGTTCTTTCTCCCTATGTCTATCTCCTCTTTCTCTCTTTCTCTCTGCGGTGCTAGAGACAACGCCAACGACCGCCTCAACAACCTGCTCCTGCGCCACTCGCGCTTCCTCAACAACAGGTTTCTATCTCCCCCTTTCGTTCTTTCTCCCTATGTCTATCTCCTCTCTCTCTCTCTTTCTCTCTGCGGTGCTAGAGACAACGCCAACGACCGCCTCAACAACCTGCTCCTGCGCCACTCGCGCTTCCTCAACAACAGGTTTCTATCTCCCCCTTTCGTTCTTTCTCCCTATGTCTCTCTCCTTTCTCTTGCGGTGCTAGAGACAACGCCAACGACCGCCTCAACAACCTGCTCCTGCGCCACTCGCGCTTCCTCAACAACAGGTTTCTATCTCCCCCTTTCGTTCTTTCTCCCTATGTCTATCTCCTCTCTCTCTCTCTCTTTCTCTCTGCGGTGCTAGAGACAACGCCAACGACCGCCTCAACAACCTGCTCCTGCGCCACTCGCGCTTCCTCAACAACAGGTTTCTATCTCCCCCTTTCGTTCTTTCTCCCTATGTCTATCTCCTCTCTCTCTCTTTCTCTCTGCGGTGCTAGAGACAACGCCAACGACCGCCTCAACAACCTGCTCCTGCGCCACTCGCGCTTCCTCAACAACAGGTTTCTATCTCCCCCTTTCGTTCTTTCTCCCTATGTCTATCTCCTCTCTCTCTCTCTTTCTCTCTGCGGTGCTAGAGACAACGCCAACGAACCGCCTCAACAACCTGCTCCTGCGCCACTCGCGCTTCCTCAACAACAGGTTTCTATCTCCCCCTTTCGTTCTTTCTCCCTATGTCTATCTCCTCTCTCTCTCTCTCTTTCTCTCTGCGGTGCTAGAGACAACGCCAACGACCGCCTCAACAACCTGCTCCTGCGCCACTCGCGCTTCCTCAACAACAGGTTTCTATCTCCCCCTTTCGTTCTTTCTCCCTATGTCTATCTCCTCTCTCTCTCTCTCTTTCTCTCTGCGGTGCTAGAGACAACGCCAACGACCGCCTCAACAACCTGCTCCTGCGCCACTCGCGCTTCCTCAACAACAGGTTTCTATCTCCCCTCTCGTTCTTTCTCCCTCTATCTCCTCTCTCTCTCTCTCTTTCTCTCTGCGGTGCTAGAGACAACGCCAACGACCGCCTCAACAACCTGCTCCTGCGCCACTCGCGCTTCCTCAACAACAGGTTTCTATCTCCCCTCTCCATTCTCGTTCTTTCTTCATATATCTATCTTTTCTCTCTCTCTCTCTCTCGTTATTCATCAGTCATCCAATACTAATGATAAGAGGATGTATTTTAATGGCTTACAACGCATTACAAAATTTGATGTTCAAAATGGCGACCTTCATGTCCGATGCTAGATCCAACGCCAACGACCGCCTCAACATTTTTATTATAATTTATGATTGATTTTAAAATGAAACAACCGTTTTTGTTCGTGGCAGGATGACGAAGGAAGTCTTATATATTGAATACCACAGACAATGCAATAAGTAAAGACATCATAATTTTACACATCATAATCATAGATAATAGTTGGTTTATTTAATGTTTTTCTAGTTAATTTCAACACCCCAACTACAGAAAATAAACCAATACTTTTAACTTTACAATCATTACAACTATCATTATTTTATTTTATTTAAAATTGCAACTAATTCTCTAACTGATACATCCCCATACCATCCATACATTTAAGGTGTTTGATAGGACACAAAGCTTTAGTTAAAATATCAGCTGGCATGGCCGTTGTAGGAATATATTTTAAGTTTACAATTTTATTATTAATAACATCTTTTATGAAATGATATCTTATGTCTATGTGTTTACTCTTTCTGTGACTTACATAATTATTGATTAGCTTTTGAGCACTTTGACTGTCATTATATAAATTTACAGTACACAAATCACCAGTTAGCTCATACAATAAGGACCTTAAATATATTGACTCTTTACTGGCCTCTGCAATAGCCATATACTCAGCTTCCATGCTAGACAAAGCCACTGTTCTTTGCTTTCTACTTTCCCAAGAAATTGCTGAACCGGACATTAGAAAACAAAAACCTGTATAAGACCTACGATCTATTGTATTGCTACCCCAATCCGCATCAACAAATCCTTCTATTTGACCTTCCATTTTTGTATACTTTAAACAATACTTTCTAGTTTTCTTAAGATACTTTAATACTCTCTTTGCATAGTTCCAGTGATTACTTGTATAACACTTGTTAAATTGACTTAAGTAACTTATACAAAATGCTATGTCTGGTCTAGTTAGTACTGACAAATACATTAAACCTCCAATCAACTGTTGATATGGAATATCATTACTACAAGATTCACCCTTTTCAATATCTAATTTACTTTCCATAGGAGTACTTACAATCTTACAATTTGTCATATTAAATTTCTGCAATAAATAATCAATATATTGTTCCTGGTCTAAAGTTACACTATTAGATTTTTTATCAATTTGAACCCTCATACCTAGACATTGTTGAACCTGCCCTAAATTTTTAATTTTAAATTCAGAACTTAACACAGTAATTAACTTTTCAGTTTCAATTTCACAATTTGAATAAACAAAGAAATCATCAACATATACAGCAATAATTACTTTTACATCTTTATGTAATTTTGTGAATACACATGGTTCCAATCGACTCTTATTAAACCCCATTTCACATAGACATTGATCAACTCTTTCATACCATGATCGAGAAGACTGTTTCAGCCCATATATTGCCTATTTTAATTTTACAATCTTTTTCTTATCCCAAAAAATATCTGGCTGTATCATATAAATGTCTTCTTTGAGGTGTCCATTTAAAAAAGCTGTCTTAACATCTAGATGTGTTACATTTAAATTTAATTGAACTGACAGAGCAAACAATAATTTCAAAGTAGAGTGTCTGACCATAGGGGAAAAAGTTTCTTCATAGTCCACACCGGGCTTTTGGGAAAAGCCTTTTGCCACTAGACGGGCTCTATACCGAACACTGTTATCACTATGCACTTTCTTTTTGAAAACCCACTTGCACCTCACTAAAGTCTTATCTGAAGGTAATTCGTCCACAGAATCCCAAGCATCATTGTCCTTGAATGCTTGTAGTTCCTCTTCCATCGCCTCAATCCACTTATCTTTGTCCGGACTAGACATGGCTTCTTGGACGGTAACAGGATCCTGGGTAACTTCCGAACTTGACTTTATGCATATGTTTGTAAAGCCATAACGCTCTGGTTTCCTTCTCATACGCTGAGTAGGAAATGATTCTATCTGCTCATCTGCTTCTGTGGTTTGCTGTAATGTAGAATTCAAATCAGTCAATGCATTAAAATAATCAGATGTTGCAGAAATATTTAGATTATCAGCACTAGGAGATTCATCTTGTTTGTTAGCATCTTCCTTAATAATCTCAACATGATTGCCTGACTTATCTGCTTGAATTATGTCCCCAACTGAAACTGTAACACTATCATTTTTCATTTCAGTTATTTCATGGACTACTACATCTCGACTTGTTGTGATACTACGCTTGATAGGATTATACACCCTGTAACCCTTCACATTTTCAGCAAAACCAACAAGGATATGTTCCTTCGACTTAGAATCCCACTTAAGCCGTTTCTCCTTCGGGATGTGCACCATTACTTTACTACCAAATATACGTATGTGGCTTAAATCTGGTTTTCGATTTGTCCAGCATTCATATGGCGTTTTATTATCTAAGCCTGAAGCAACAGACCGATTTCTTAGATAGACTGCCGTATTTGTGGCCTCCGCCCAAAACTTCTTATCTAATTGTGCATCAAATAATAAACAGCGGGCTCTCTCTACTATCGTTCTGTTGATACGTTCACTAACGCCATTCTGTTCCGGAGTATACGCATTTGTTTTTTGATGAACAATGCCCTCATTCTTTAAAAAACTTTCAAATTCATTGCCACAAAATTCTAGACCATTGTCAGTCCTAAACAATTTTATTTTTCTACTCTGTTGCTTTTCTACTAATGCTTTAAATTCTTTAAAGTACTTGAATACCTCACTTTTAGCTTTAAGAAAGTAAACAAAAGCCATGCGTGTACAGTCATCAACAAAGACAACAAAGTACCTTGATCCTCCTATTGAGCTGGTCTCCATAGGTCCACAAACATCAGCGTGGAATAGGTCCAATGGATTGCTGCTCCTTGCTGGTGCATGAGGAAAGGGTAATCGCGACTGCTTCCCTTCACAACAAATTGTGCAAGTACTCTTGTCAATCTTTGATTTATCCGAGTATGATATACCAGTGACTGCTCCATCTCGCATTTTATTCAAATCATTTACATTAATATGTCCCATCCTCCTGTGCCAGGTCACTTCACTCACAGTTGCAGCTGATGTAAACAAACACTGTTGTTTATCTAGTCTCAACTTGTAAACACCATCTACTTGTATTGCAATTGCCACCAATTCTTTCTTTATATTGTAAACACAGCAACAATTGTCCTTGAACTCAACACTATTGCCATTTTTTATCAATTGACTAATTGAAATCAAATTTGTAGTGAGATCAGGTACACACAGAACATCTTTCAAGGTAATCTCATATTTGCAATTTGGAGTGACTGTCATAATTTCCACTTCACCGGTGCATAGGACTGGCATAATACTTTCATTTGCTGCTATAATTTCTTTAATCTTTAGCGAATATGATGCATTATTTATAATATTTAAATCCGGCGTCATGTGCGCACTCGCACCACTGTCTAAATAAAAATCTTGTTTACTAAAGTTTCCGTTAAGGAAAACAGCCGAAAAAGCATTCGTCTTCTTTACGACTTGTTGCTGATCATTCATTTTACACTGTGACTTGTAATGACCATATTGACGACAACGGTAACACTTAATATTCATTTTTTCTTTGTTATTGTTCATATTCGAGCCGGCCATAGATGACGTACGGCGGCCATGTTGGGTTGAATTGTCATTTCGGCCAGTAGTGCCAACTTTAGAATACTGTTGACGACTCTTCTGCCCTCTACTTAAAAAGGCGCCACCGGCGTCATTATTTTCGTTACTACCTTCAAGATCAAGCAATTTTGCTTTCATGACATCTGCAGTAATGGCGATTCCCGAATGTTCGATGGCCATAATCATAGGAAAATATTTTTCGGGTAATCCCGCCAATAGCAAACTTCCAATCCACTCATCGTCGATTTTAAAACCGGTACCAGATAATCTTTGTGCAGTTTCAATGATTTGCGTAACATAAATTGTCATCGAATCACAGTTTTCGAGACGTATTGAAATTAAATTCCGCAACAAGGTAATTCTTCTAGAGAATCCGGAGTCATCAAACATCGACTTTAGTTTTCTCCATAAATTCACGGCACTGGTAGCTTCTTTAATATGCACGTACAATGATGGATCTATTGTTAAAACCAATCTGGCTTTCGCTTTTTCATCATTATCTTCATCCACGGCTAAAACGCATTTTGATAATCCTTCCAAAACCAACATGTTTTCTATCGCAAAAGCCCACTCGTTGTAGTTTTCTCGGCCTTTTAGCTTTGGAACAGAAGCAAGTAAAGAATTTGAAGCTATTTCTGTTGATTTAATCCTCTGCCTTGAAGCTCACAAAAAAACGTTTCTTTTTATCACTACAGCCTACGCCTATTCTAGCTAAATATCTAACTTTCACAAAGAAACTGTAGATACTAAAACTGATCTAGAAATCTATAGGACATCCTGGGCCCATAACCTATTATAATTTATGATTGATTTTAAAATGAAACAACCGTTTTTGTTCGTGGCAGGATGACGAAGGAAGTCTTATATATTGAATACCACAGACAATGCAATAAGTAAAGACATCATAATTTTACACATCATAATCATAGATAATAGTTGGTTTATTTAATGTTTTTCTAGTTAATTTCAACAATTTTGATGCCGAGCCACTCGCGCTTCCTCAACAAAAAGTTTCTATCTCCCCCTCCTCTCTCGTTTTTTCTCCCTATAACTATCGCTTCTAATAATAGTACACGCAGTCTGATGTAGAAAATATCTTTTTCTGGCGACCGTGCTAACGATATTGAAGCTACATTTGTCAAATGCAAACAAAAATAAAGAATAAAGAACCTTCATGTGCTACGCTAGAGCCACACTCCTGGTATTTTTAATCCGGTCAGATGAAAATTATTATCAAGACTTCAGACTTTTCGCGATGGATATTTATGTCGGAACACCATTAGTCTGTAGATTATATAAATATCGATCGGGGATAGAGCTCTCTAGACTACGTGCCATGGCGGTCGCATTGGCGACGCAAAAGAGGGTATTATTTTTATCAGACTAGTTCCATCAAGGAAGCTTCCATGTGACCTTTCAGAGATGTAAAGCGTGGGACACCTCGATGGCCCGTAGGCGACATGCCATAATTAACGCACGCATGAGTACATGCGCGGCCCTACCCGCTGAGGAGGGCCTCAAACCCGTGGGTTCTGGCTAGCCCACCGGTTCTGCGTTCGATGAAGCTCTTCAGTTATACAAAAACAAAAAAAAGCGTGGGACGATTTTGATGGTTGCGACTCCAATCGAAACATATCAATCTTCCCAATGTCCCCAATTGGTTACTAGAGAAACTGGACATGGGTAAGAAATGGTTCCGTTTCAGGAACGCGGCTACGGGCGGCGCCACGCCGTCCGCCATCTTGGGCGCTGCGATGGGCGTGCCAGTTGGCGCCGATTCCCGTGAGTACACGTCAACTACACACTACACATATAGCAGCGATGCAACGGAAGTGACGTTAACGGAAACAGAAACAGATATAGAAATGAGATCTTGTCGGAAACGAAAACGGAATTTTGAATTCTATGAAGAGAATATTCGTTTTTATCAAATTAATATTTAATATTGAGCGTTAGGTTGCAGTAAGTTATATTTTATGAAAGGTAGTTTGGTCAGTTCTATACTTAGCAAGTTTCCCGGAGAGTTCTTCATAAATATGATCCTGAAGCGTCTTTATTTCTGTTTATATTCCCGCTATATAAGTTACGGAAACAGAAGGGGAGGTCTGGTGCATCGCCGGCAAACTTGATATCTCAGTGCTCGGGCGCTTTTATTTCAACATACTCGAGGAGCCAGAATTCTAATCCTGATGCTTTCGCGAAAGATCACCCGTTCAAGGCCATGAAATTTCTTTTTTTTTTATGAATTTCAAAATATTTGTGATATTTTTTCGAATCAGAGTCAATATAAACTAATTGAATTTGTTATTGCTCATACCATTAAAAGAAACGAACGGTTCAACCCCGCTCTAAATCTGCTTCTAATCAGCTCTTTTCCGTTTCCAGCAGCCAAGAAAACTGACGACGATGCCCTGATTGACCTCAGCGATGACGTGCCCGACGTCAGTAAACTATGTAAGTTCGTCTTTCATTCATTCCAAATGCTGTCTCGAAACCTTTAATTGTGGTAGGACCACGCAACGGTTCGCTGTTACGCGAATGGGCAGGCCCGTCCCGGGTTGGTACCACTATCTCAAAGGAGACCGGCGTGAAGTAGAAATGTAGCACTTCTGCGTATCGTCCGGTGATTGAGGTAGCCGGGGCCCACGTTACTGTAATCTGGAAACATCTGCAACCCTACGTTCGTTGCAATTTTCCATGGGCGGCCGTTATCATTTAACATCATATGAACCGCTAGCTTATATGTCGCCTTCTCACATTAAAAAAAAAACTGCCAAAAATGTCTTATATTACCATATTTACCGCTACTTTCAAATTCTACTCGTGACTCGAAACAACATGAAAATGTCAGCCATTGATGAAATCGTAACCCGGGCCCAAATCCATATTCTATAAAAAATATTAAGGTGAAAAGGTGGCAAGTGAGCAGTTGGTGCACCTGATGTTAAGGGATAACCGCCGCCCGTGGATTCGTTGGGTTCGTTGCCAGCCTTTTATAAAGTGGGCCCCGGCTACCTCACTTACCAGACGAAACGCAGAAGTGCTACACGTCCACTTCACGTCTGTCTTCAGTGAGGTTGTGGTATTTTCCCGAACAGAATGGCCTACCCATTCGTGAAACAGCGAAGATTGCTGCGTGGCCCTAATACAGCTTTATCTTATATTTCTTTACTCTTTACCTTAATACACGCTTAATTTTAGGGTTCCGTAATTAAAGGGTAAAACGGGACTCTATCCTACGACGCAGCTGTCTCTCTGTTAGTCTGTCTGTCACCAGGCTGTATCTCATTAACCGTGATAGTTAGACGGTTTAAATTAACGGAGATGATGTATTTCTGTTGGCGCTATAATAACAAATACTAAAACGGAATAAAAAATATTTATGTGTGGCTCCCATACAACAGACATGATTTTTTTCCCCGTTTTGATAGATAACCGTACGGAACCGTCCGTGCGCGATTCCGACTCGCACTTGGCCGGTTTTTTATATCCCGTATTGCCCAATCAAAATAAGCCCGTTCGCTTACAGCTGTGGGTGACGGCCCAGTGGGCAAGTCGCCGGGAAGTGCAAAGGACGAGTTCGACATGTTCGCGCAATCGCGCAACGTCTCCTACGAGACCACAAAAACCGGGTACTTATTATCCATTTGATTGAAATACATATTTTAGGACGCATTTTCACACAACATTCTCTAGTTCCAAACTAAGTAACGCTTGTGGGTACTAGATGGCTGATAAACATATTCAAACATACTTTTCTTTTGTAAATTAATACATATTACGTCCAGACAAGGGAAAAACGCTACGGTCACACAATATATTTCCTGTAGTGAGGATCGAACCCACACGATACAGGTTCACTATCCACTAATCGAAGTATACATTTATACCTTTCTCCTCATTTGATAATTAATTTCGTATTATTCAAGCGATCCTTTACTATTTATTTATTTGCCATTACACAAGTAAAATAAATATATATATATATATATATATATATAAAAAGATTATATACATGCAGCGCCGTTCATGATAGAATTGAAACATCCTAAAGAACATAAAAATCACAAAGATTAATATTAATTACATAACATGTGGGACGCATTATTATTGCATGTATATGTTACTTTCTCTATCTTTAAGTTAATATCTTTCTTCCCTCTGTAACGTTTTATTGGATGAGTTGTGTAATTATGGGATTATTTAATAAAAGACAAGCTGGCAGTTAAGAAGTTGTATTCATGCCTTCTGTTTAATGTTATAATCCCTGGACTAGCTCAGATACAATATATTTTAAAAAATATAACAATAATAATGAGTTGGGCGCCTTGTCTGTTAGGAACCGACTGTTGTAATAATTACAACTAAGTATCTCAGGGAGTCGTGAGTACATAGGACCTACACATTACTTTGTGCGACCATAAAAGGTTAAATAATTAAATTAATTTGAGATGGTAAAACTTATGCAATTCAAATTAAAAAACAAAGTCCAATCAGGTAGTTATTTAAAATCTATGTCACCGCAGACACCAGCCCTATGTGCACAGGTCAGCGTTGAGCTCAGAACCAGTAGATAAAGTCAGGCCAAGTGTAGTGTGTACAGCCACACTGGGGGGGGGGGGGGGGGGGGGTATGTAGGAGACCTCCTGCCAACAAACACTACATTGTAGAACTAACAAAGGCAGGGATTTGAATCCACCTACAATTATAAGATGTGAAACACTTACCTTCATGTGATATTTCTAAATACATTCTCAGTGTAAGTCTTTTACAACTTTAGTAGGAAACCAGTGAAAATAACAAAGGATCTTACCACGAGGGATAACAAATCCAGCACAGAGTTTCCCAGACAGCAATCACAAATAATACGACCAGGAACGTGTTCTGATTTCAACCTCTAGCCATGCACTGTAAAAAAGCGAATTGATAAGAAAACGAAATACGTAAACAAAACAACCACTGGCATGAACGAAACCAAGCAATTACTTACCAGTCGAAGATAATGGATCCACAAAAATTAATTTATCCAATGTCAATTCGAACCGGCGGCAATCTCAAATGACAAGTACGACCAAATGAAGTTAACTTTTATATTCGTCCTTTCGAACAGGCAAAGGTTCATATGACATGCAGCCTAGTCTTTAGAAAAACGACAATTTCGACAAAGTGATGAAATCACACGTTACACCTCTCATGTAACGAAATGTACCTAAACGTGACGACACCCTTGGAACTTCACTCAAAATGCTTTTCCAATCATGGAATCGCCGCTTAAAAAGTTTATCTTCAAAAATAAACAAAGCAAACGTTCAGATTTTTAACTATTCTATTAATTAGTTAATTAAAATTATTCAAGAAATATCAATTATTACAACATGCAAGCAATTTTTTGCTTTATCCAATGTCGTACAGGTCTCTTCGAACTTTAACTTAACCTAGCCTAAAATGTTTTCTCAGTGGCAGCAGCTACGCAGACAACTCTGAGGAGCTGGGCAGCGGTGGATTGGCGGCCGCGGTCGGCCAGCGCCCCCTACAAGCTCCGCTGGTACTAATATCCACGTGACTCGCGTCGATCCCATTTTGAATTTGAATATGGAACAGCCTGGCAGTTTTCTTTTTTTTTTTTTAAATAAAGCAGTTTTCTTTTTCCAACCTTCCGAACTGTTTTTAGTTTTTTTTTTGTTAGTGGCTGGTTGTATATTTTTATGTTATTTTGTCCAAGTATCGTTTATAATGCATGCGAGAAGATTTTTTTAATTCCTTTTTTGATCCAATTTTATTTACCCCTTCTTAGATTTAATGGTAAACGTTTTCGACAGCTTTTTTTTTTTTTTTTTTGTTTGTTTTTTTTTTTTTTTCATTTTTGTTAGGCACTATTTAATTCGAACGACGCTAACCGGAATTTATTTATCATATCTTTCATAGGTTTTTTTTATTTTATTGAATAAGTCAATCATGTAAGCTTGTTGCTAAATACATTTTAACATATCTGTACGTTAGTTTTAAAAATAAAAACATTTTATGTAATCAACAGCCGATATGCATCGGATTTGACAATCGACGCTTTGGTTAATTCCAGTTGTAATACTACTTCTTATCTATACACTCCATAAACTATGCTATAAAAATATATACTCACTTTGGTTACGCACTACGCTCACCAGTGTTTCCGCAATCAAAATTGTGGAAGTAGCAGTCAAATCGATTTTGGCAAACAAAAACGAGTTTTATTCCATTCATGCAAAAATAATACCCCATTTCCATTGCTTTAATGTGCTACTTATAAACACTAATCATTCAACCAGGCACTTATCACGTAAATGATAGGATGCTTCTCTATAACTTAGTCATCACATTGACGTAGCGGTTCGTAACTTATCAAAGATCCAAGTGTTCCGGTCAAAAATTCAATTACCGCAATCACAATCTTGAAGATTAAATTTGCTGTATTTCGAAATATTTTAAGCGCGTTCTGTAAATAATCACATTAACAAAATGTACGTAGATACCGCGTAAAATGTTTAATTAACAACTTCTTCGCTTGGCCATTTCGATTCATGTTTGTCTACTATTACCAGCTAAGCGAAATACCTAAAGACAATACCTACTTCCCTAACATCAAAGAGAATTTGGAGACACATTTACATCGAGATATTCACACTATCAATGTTCAATGTTCACAGGCGGCTTCGGAGGCCAGTGGGACCCAGGAGAGCGTCACCAGTAGCGACTTCGACAAATTCCTGGCCGAGAGGGCGGCCGCGGCCGAAAACCTGCCCAATGTCAACGACGACAGAGGTCAGAATTCCCCGCAGCAAACACCCAGGCACAGGCAGATAAAAAAGGAGGAGCAAGATTCCATGTTCGCCCTCTGATGTGCTTGAAGCAATCGAATGCGTGTAGGCCTGTCACATTTGAAAGTATTATAATTTTGAATTCTCTTGAAGACTATCATAACCTCAAAACGCGGGAGCTAAACATATGTTTTTTTTCCGGCTTCAAATGAAATATAGATAATTTATGATTATGTGCATTTACATATTTTTTTTGTTTTTAATGAAATGTCAAATGAAATTCCTTTAGGACAGGCCTACACATATTTTCCCCCCGCGGTTTTGTTATAGATGTTAAAGTTCTAAAAAATAACGCGTCTTGTTCTTTGCATCGATTTGTGTATTTATTAAGTGTTAAGTAACGCGCCGTTATTAGTCATAATGTATTTGGTACTAGTAATAATCACATACTATGATCATAACGCCATCGTGCCTGGCTTTTTATACACGTATTTGAAATATTTTGAGCTGACAGTTCGAAAATCGAATTGGATCATACTTTTGATTTAAGTAAGAAGACAACATTTGACTTTAAGTATTTAATGATCCACTAGATTTTGCGTTAGTAATAAAAATGTTAAAAGAAAGAACGAATTGCTAGATCACATGTTTAAACTCAATGACACATCAATTGCAATCAAATTTAAAGGAATTTTGAGTTTTAAAAAGCCACAATAGTAAATGGCCATCGTCTTATAAATTAATATTAATTTTTATTCACTGTATATTATTGTAAGGTGCAATATAATATTTAATACAACAAAAGATTCAGGTTAAAGTCTACAAATAGGGACACATCCATTTTTCATTGAAAAATATTTTTTAAACGATAAGGAAACGTAACCAAAATTTGAATTGCCCAGTAAAAATCATCGGTAACGCCTAGTTACACTAAGAAATTCCGCCGTGACGTAAAAATATTCGGATGAATGTTGTAGTAAACAACATTCATGCGAATATTTTTACTTTTTTGGAGAATATAGTGCTATAGATAAAAACAATTTACTTTTAAATTTGGTTCAATATTGTTTATTTCAAAACGAACGTTAGGTGTAAATTTTTGAAGTAAAACTTCTTTAGGCGCTACTAGGGAGTAACTCAGATTTTTTCTGACGGAAGTAACGTCATAATTGTATGTCATATTTTAAAAATATGACATATACTTTTGACGTTACTAAATATTAGAGATGGGTCGTATCGCTTTTTCTGAGAACCGTATCTGAATCAGATTTCGATTTCAAATATCAGATTTCGAAACTATGTATTTTAATATCTAGATATTTTACGTTCGCGTATCCACCTTATTTTCATTAAAAAAAAAATGAGTGACAATATTTTTGTGTAAGAAATATTACATTCAAAATAATATAGGGCGGAAGAATTTAAAATATACACACAAGACACATAAGCCTTGGCCTGACGTTCACCAATGCAGCACGGAATTATTAAATTATATTTCTCTTTTTCGATTTGTGTATTTTTATTCTTTTCAAAAATGTGAAAAATTGAACTCCTAAAAATTTTTCTTCCTTAATTTAGGAAGAAAATTCCTAAGTTGGCATCCCTTACTACGTACGTGCTTAAGTATCAATGCACTCCAGGTCAAGGCTAAACAAAATTTAAAGACATCGTTAATACCATGATTCGTATTTAAATGAAACAGAGTTTTTTTCCTTGCTTTTAAAATTCAAAATTGCTTAACTTATTCATAAAATCTGTTTGAAAATCTGATATTGTGCATTGTTTGCCGTACCCCTCTAACTAGTGTAATATTTGTATCTTACGCTCTTTGTCGCTCGCTCTTTGATCTTACGGCTCAAGGCTAATGCTAAATACAAGAATTAAAAGATATCGTAATCGTTGATACCATGCTTAGTATTTAAATGAAACGGATCTTATTGGCATGCTGTTAAGATTTAAAATTACTTAACTTATTCATAAAATCTGTTTAAAAATCTGATATTGTGGCCGTACTGCTCTAACTAGTGAATATTTGTATCTCACGCGCTTTGTCTAAAAATCTGATATTGTGGCAATAATTTAAATGAAACGGATCTTATTTGCATAATGTTAAGATTCAAAATTACTGAACTTATTCATAAAATCTGTTTAAAAATCTGATATTGTTGCCGTACTGCTCTAACTAGTGAATATTTGTATCTCACGCGTTTTGTCTAAAAATCTGATATTGTGGCAAACGCGTATGATATCGCGATTCGTGTTGGTATAGCGAGTGAGCGAGTATTCGGTACATCAGATTTCGGAAATATCAGATATTGTAAAATACATAGATTTTGAACGAGCCAATAAGCGATTTTCAGATATTGTACCATTATATAGTTTTCATATCTGATACGATTTGTATCGCCCATTTAATCATTTCAGTGATATATGCCATCAACGCCAAATAAGTTTTACTTCAATTGCGCGTAAAGGTTACACGCACACACTTTTTTATATATTGAGGAGCGACGTCATGATTCATTTTCTTTTTTCTGAAAATCTAAATGTCGGCGACAATTATTACATCGTCATTGGTTTTTTTTTTTGTTTATCCATCGATGACATCTAATTTTCTAAGTGTTTATAAAGATATTTTATACTACAGATATGTTGTTCACGCTTAAAGAAAGAGGCAACAAATAAGTTACACAATAACAAATAAGTACGGGAACGAGAAAGACTGGTGCACATCGTGATTTTTACACTTATGTTAAAGTGATAGACACTTGCCGTTCTCTTTTTTCTTGTTGCTTTAAATACGCTTTCCTTTTGATACCATTCGAATCGAACGTAAGGTGTAAATGTGTGCTGTCACTCTGTTTGGAAATGGGAACACCGGTGAATACAAAATCACCGTTCAAAACATCTAAAGTATAACATCTATAGTATAAAATATCATAGAGTTCAGCTAATTAGTTTTTCTTTTCACCAGTGATTTTTACTTGTTAATTCTACATTCGGAAATGTTTCTTTATAGTTTAAAATATTTGTCAATAAAAAAAGGATGTGTCTGTGATTCCAGACTTACCAAGATTCTTTTATTTAATAACCCTTTGATCGATCAATGATTGAGTTTTAACTATTTTACATGGTTTATGATAAAAACTTTTTACATTTATTATTATTATAATGTATATAAAATCTAATTTGTCTTACACTTCATATTTTTGTAAATTACAATATTTATAATTTTATCAATAATAATAATTTAATCGTTTGTAACAATCATGATACTGTTTCATGATTGATAATTTCCCTTCAAGCTTATTCGATCACTTCAACTTAAAATAATTCAATTTGCAATCGGTTAAGTTCTGTAGCGGCTGCAACCAAGCACTTTCATTGACCATGTATTATTAATATAGGTTAAGTTCAAATAAACGTTAACGCATTAACCGTCTAGACCTGAAGCGAAATTGGGAACATTTATTGAGAATTGGTGTTATAAGCCCACAAAAGTGTAATTTGAAATTATTGTGTAGCGTTCCGAGCGCGACCCCGTAGATGTGATGTGATAATGTATTGTTTGATATTGTTATATATATTCCACTTGATCAACTTTTGAGAATTGGCAATCAATTGTCGAAAATACATACATGTATGTATGATATAATTTCAAACGATTATTTCTAATATTTTGTGAAATTTGTTGATAATTGAGATTTTGTACTCGATTCTCCTATGGCGTTTGAGATTGCCAGCATTTCCTAAACGTACAGTACACTTAAGATGCATCGGAGATAAACATTTATTTTACGTTATTTATGTAGTTTTTAGTGTGACCTAATACAACCCATATATCATGTTACCTTGTAGTCCTCACTGCATAAAACAAAGCCGCCAACTTACTTATTACTTAAACACTAATGATAGGCAAATGGATCGTGATTTTTTTCTATTCTAACTCTCACGATTTGACTTCATTCGTTCTTGCTCCGTGATATAAAACATGCTCCTTTTCATAAAATATATCACGATTCATAGGCCACACATTAACAACTTGCCCATTCCACTTTTTTCTCGATTAAACTGTATTTCGGTGTAATGTGATAATTTATTAAGAACAAGCTTAATGTTAATTATTTAAAAGAGTTATTTTTATGTTTTATTTGTTATTTAAGATAATAAATACAAATTATCATATAACTTATCCGTTTTTTATTTTTCACCACCTCTATCTGTACATGGTTTAACTGATATAACATGTTACCAAAACCTACACGAAGTAGGAATACTTCGAGATTATAATTTTTAATTTTAGTGTCATTGTAGTTAAGGCGAAACTTAATTGTCACAAAATTTCGCTGCTCAGTTTTCATATTATATTCATCTAAAAAAAATATTTGAGAAAGTGCGGAAATTAGCCGTAAAGGCAGCATGGCATTTAATGACGCTACATTTAACACAAGTAATTGTTTGTCATGGTGAACGAGATATTATAACATAATAGAAATAATAAAAAGCAAAACATTCAAATTTAAATGTTTATTTATCAATTTCTGTATCTACAACAGATACACAAAACATAGTAACGGCAATTCCAATGTATTGTATTTACAAATATATACTTGATCAGTGTTTATACAGCAAAACGTTTTAGAATATTTCCATCACTAGACAAAATAGTATTTCCGAATGACAGTTAAAAAGCACCTTTCAACAATTATTATGCCTTAATTAAAAAAATAAAAACAAGTACAAAAATAGGTCGAATTATTACAATAATTAATAAGTCTGCTCCTTAAAGTAAATCTTGTGATGAGTAATAATAGAGAAAAGAAAACGATATTGTTCAATCTCATCCGAACATGCACTAGGGTAATGTGGGAATTTGAAACGCCATTATGATACAGAAATTATAAATACACTATTACACATACATAATTACGTCACTGTTTTCTCTTAATAAAACATGCTTTGAATAAATTACTTCACCGAAACAAGAGATCCGAAGGATTGGACATTACGAAAAGAGTATTAAAATGAATATCAGCGAAACAGGAGAACATTTGACATTCGATTTGAATAGAAAGCTGTTAAAGAATAACAGATGAAAAAACTCATAATAGTCTGAGAAAACGAAACCGCACACGACGCGATAGAAAAACAAATACAACCTCGACGCGACTATGACAATACAAGTGGCCTAGCAGACGAAATGCAGTAATGAATGTAAGATTAAGTGTAAAATTAATAATTATAAACTATACAAGAACTATTCTACGAAAGTCTCATGGGAGTGTTGCTTATAACTCATCGCGGGCAGGTGCCTCGTCATCTTCGTCGTCTTCGCTCTGCAAAAGAAAATATGAAAAGAACTTTAGTAACAAATATCGATCGACATTCCGACAGATTTGGTATGATCCTTCTATTAAAACATCTACAAACACGGTGTAGATTATTATATCAGTTTAAGGTGTATGTTGATTGTAAATGTTATACAGGGACACAATAAAAAGAGAAATTAAAATCCACATTTATGTTGTTACAACTGTGCAACAAAGAATTCCCCCCTAAAATATTGAATCCAAGAGAAAAAGTGAAAATAAATTTACTTTTTCCTTTACAACCATAATCATTTAAATAAAACAAGAATTCTTATTAAGCGCCATTCATATAAGATGTTTAATATATTTTTAGAATATAGATGGTGACACTCACTACACTGGGTACTGGCTCTGCTCCCTCACCATTGGTCTCTACGAACTTGGTGAGACCGGCCAGCGTTCTTTCGCCATTGTACTCGCGAACCTGTTAAATTTTCAATTAAATTTGTTAAAAATAAATGTTTATACACGAGAATTCATCCATTGGGGTTAAAATCCCTCCAGAATAACATCCGAAATTACAATTTTGCTGAAATTCATTGTGTTAATTCATAATTTCACCTCTTTATGTCAAAGTAAAAGGTAAAATTTAATATTCAGGAGCAACATGTGCAATGCAAGATCAGACAATCTTAACTCAGTTGTTATTAAGGTACATTTGAAGCATGTAGTGCAATCAACAATATATAAATACCTGGTTGTCCTTAGTGTACAGTTTGATGGTCGGGAATGAGGTAATCTTTGTGTGTTCCAGCTCATTGGCGGTGGCATCCATTTTGGCGATGACGACATCTTCGTCGTTGGCAAAGTGTTCTCCCAGCTTGTCATAGATTGGCACTAGCTGCTTGCAATGACCGCACCTGGATAATGAAAAATTGTAAAGATTTTTATAATGTTCATTTAAATAAATCCTTATTCAATAAGTGCTAAAAAAACTATACAACTAATCCTTATACGAAGTAGCATAATCAAAACTAAAAAATTTGAATCTTCTTTTGAATTACCTAACGAAACAAAAATTTTTACAAATAGTGTAAAAATTTTTATATCTGCCTTAAATCTACTTTATTTACAGTCTCATATACAAAAGACTTGACAAAATGTATGCTTGATACGACAGAAAATCGCCAAAGATGGTATGGACACATTAACAGAAGCGCAGCGAAGATCATGTCGTACGATTAGCCTTAAATCTGGCCGCATCAAAGAGAGGCAGAGGCCGCCCGCCAATGACCTGGTGGTCCAGTATTGCAAGAGTCCTAAAGAAAGCCCAATTGCCTGAAGCGACAACACAAAACCGTTTGTCTTGGCGAGGTTAGGAGGTGGAGACCCGACCCCAAATAACGGGATCAGGGACGGAAGAAGCTTGATATGACACATGCTTTTCATCTTGTTGGTTAATGTGACTTAAAACCTAATATTATTCAACTACCAAGGGCAACAAAACAACAAAACGGCAAATACATAAGACAAATGACATATGATGTCAAAAATGAAATTCTGGTTCCAAACAAAAATATCAAATAAACCAATATAGGATCCGAATGCATAAGTGAGTCTGAAGGATGGGAGAGGATTTTGTTTTCTATATAACTAAAATGATTTTTATGGATGTTGCATACGAACTTTAACCTAACGTTATAAGACGCGGAATCCAGTAAATCAAAGTCAAGACGGTTTAATGAATCAACGGACGGTTTAAATAAAAACAAAATCTAATTAAAGACCATAACCAGTGTGAAAAGTCATCTAAATTATTTAGCATCAATTTCATATAATACAAAGAATTTCGTACAGCGTGCGAAAAATATATGTAAATGCTAAAATCAACAAAAATACAATGGGAACTTGCGTTACCACTTAAAGCAACGCAATTAAACAGTTATCAAATTAAAAATAAAACAGTATACTAATTATTACACTATTTTCACAAATTTAATTGTGTTAAACTAAAACTATTACATTTATTATTCCAGAAAGAACGGATTTAAAAGTGGTGTTTGCAAAAATACATGTAATGAAACTATTATAACAAGTATGCTGTTCATGGATATCAAGTAATAATAGTAGACTCTTGTGGAACGGGTAGTTTTAAAAATCTAAAATTAAAATTGAAAAAAAAAAGAAAGATCGCTTTTTAAATGCGAAAAACAACATTTTCAAGGTGAACAGCCGAGTGTGTTGCAATGGCAAACAGAGTTGTTAAGCTGGAACAAGCTTTGGGATCTTGCGCAATATTTAACCATCTGTCGCTAGGCAAACATGACGAAAACGGTGAAAGATATTAACATAATACGCCGATATTCAGTTTACGAGTCATTGGACAGGCGGATGGCATTTATTCGCGGCTCACTGAATGCGTCGTAACGAGAGCGTCTTCAGGACACACTTGAGCAAATAGCTCGAGATAACGTGGCATAATTCATACCAACGTCTGTGTATAAGATTACGTGGCGCAATTAATAACGCATGACATTTATATGGGACACTTGATCGTGACTAAATTTATTGGACACGAAAAGTAAATAAAATGGAAGGATTATTAAACGCACCCGAGACGTATTGTTCTCATAAAGAAAATCAATAACGCGTTATACCGTGTCATTGCGAGGCAAGTTTAAAGAATCGATTCATCCCAATATTTGTTTTAGCTATATACGTAGGTACAGTATGGTTTTATACAGCCCACGTATGCAAATAAAAATATTGAAGTTATCGACTTAGAAATTGAGTAAGCTATCCTATTGCCTGATATATAGGCCGCACTAAACTTAATTGACTTTGACTTAAAAAGTAGGTATATTCCCATTTCGAACTATTGAGCGATCAGGCTCTACTCACTTCAACTTAATTTAGGGACACATGGATATGTACTGACGACCATTTGTCAAAAAGTCTTGCAAGTGACACTCATTTTATGCATGCAAGAAAGGATGTTCAAACTGAAATCAACTTGTATAAGAACAAAAAATCGTTTAACAGTTCTCGAGCTACACATTTTCCTCGACATTCTTTGATAAAGTTGGGACGATTCATCACTAAACTGGTATAATTTTCGTGTTGGCTGGTTAGGTTAGGCCACCGTATTTACCTGCCTACAAAAAAAAGTCAGTACCATACTCTCTTGGAGACAGTTTGTTCGAGCGGAGATAAAAGACGCCGCTCGATACGTATCACAGATACCTACACATATCCTCTGTAACGAGGGGGGCGTTTGCAGTGGGACATTCATATGTTGTTCAAAGTCAAAGTATCTTTATTCAATATAGGCTTAACTTAAGCTCTTATTGAACGTCAACAAAGAAGAACCGGCAAGAAACTCTGCAGTCTTGTTCTTTTCGTTATTTTTTTTTGATGCAATTATACAAACTTATTTAGGTATAAAATCAGCAGCAGCCAGCGGTCTTGCAAGTGCAGAGCAAGAGTCATTTCCACACATCCTTGTCCTCAATGTATTCTTGGACATCATAGTAGGCCGTTGACATTATGGTATCTTTTACAAATTGTTTATACTTAGTTGTTTGTGGATGTCACCTATTTTATTATAAAAGTTGATGCATCTTACCAAGAAACGACTTTCCGGTTTTAGCCAATCTAAACCTTGGTACTTCCAGAGTGTCACCACAGCACCGACGCGATGTGGATTGTTTTTTTCGTAAATAGGTGGATATTATTACGTACATACATGATGTTCTCAAGTATGTAAAGCGACGGGAGCGTTACGTTTATTTGCTTAAATATATGCCGTCACGTGGATCCAAGCCATTGATAGCCCGTATAGCCTGCTTTTGTAATACAAATATTGTGTGTCTAAACCGGATTCGGAACCCCAAAGTAAGACACCATAAGACATTATGCTGTGAAAATAAGCATAATAAACTAATATAGCTGTTTCCTCGTTAGTTAGCTGGCTTATTTTGCGTATGGCAAAGACGGCAGCGCTCAATTTCTTAGCTAACTTATCTACACGAAATCCCCATTGCAACTTGCGAGTCAACGCTTATTCCAAGAAATGCTGTTGGATCCCCAAGTTACTTTGCCTTTTTCTTCGCTTTACGTACCACGGGGCGTAGAACTCGACTAGCACCTTCTTGTTGCTGTCGAACACCACCTCGTCGAAGTTGGTCGCGACCAGCACCTTCACCGGCTTGGCGGCCCAGTCGGCGGGCAGGTCCTCGCTGAGCAGGTGCTGTTTCAGCGTTCCCGCGAAGAAAGACTGCACGAACTCCTAAACGGCGAATGGTAAAAGCGAGGGATATAATTAATAAAAAAAAAATTACTCAAGTTCCACTTTTTGTTTCTATATTTTCGATTGTTCATGTTTTTACAACTTAATTTTGGCACTAAAAAAAGATATCGTTTTATTTTAAAAAATTACACAGATATGTTTACCTAAACAGCGAATGGTTCCGGTTAAAATTGAAGTATTAAATAGATCACTGCACAGTATAAAACGATGTCGTCCCGGTGTCTGTCTGTCCCTATGTATGTTTGGAGTTTTAAAACTACGCAACGGATCTTAATGCGGTTTTTTTTTACTAGATAGAGTGATTCAAGAGGAAGGTTTATATGTATGCGGGTCGCTAGTAAGTTAGTCCCAAACTAAACAACGCTTGTACTATGGGTACTAGAAAACTAATAAACATACTTAAACATACTTTTTTTGTAAACTTATTATATATACATAAACAACCAGGCACTGGGAATAAATACACTGTTTATCACACAATATTTTTTTACTAGTGTGGATCGAATCCACACCCTCTGGCGCAAGAGGCAGGGTCACTACTGCCAATCGGGTCGTCATATTAACACGAAAGACGCGACTAAAGACGGTCGCGTTCAATGATTGCATTGTTTAAGAATTGTTAAAGCGAAACAGTCGCTTCTCGGACCTTAGTTGGAAGGGGAAAAGCCGGAGTCCACGTTAGCGGCTCACTGAAGTGGTATTTTGCGGTAATTATTATTGACATTATACCAAGGACGGTGGGGTTTCAAAGGAACTGTTACCGGATGGGCAAGTTTTCAAGAAACTGCCTCCTGCCTCAAACCATATCTTACATTTAAAATCAGTCTCAGCCAATGGCTTCTAAAATCCACATTCTATTCGGTTAGGGATTTATTAAGCTACAAAGAGAAGTAATCAGGCTTGTTAATTTGACTTTGATAATATTTGCATGCTATTTGTAATGGCTGAACTTGAAATTCAAACACCGTCCAAGCTATACAACACTAAATCGTCATCTTTTTTTTATTCTTTGTTGTTATATTTGCACGCTATGACGTCACAGATTTGTTACTATTCATATGTATTAGTATTCCATTAATGATTAGTTATAATTCCCAAAGAAGTCGAATCAAGAGATTGTAATAAAATCAATAATAAAATTTAAAGGACACTTATGTGCCCAATTCACTCAGAAATAGAAATATTGAATCAGCAAATCAAATATGTAGGGGAGGGATATTACATACAGTTAGAATTAACAAAAATAATTTACTGAAGTTTTACTTTTATTTCTATATTTTCTATTGCTTATGTTTTATAACTTAATTTTGCCACTAAAAAAGATATCGTTTTATTTTAAAAAATGACACAGAAATGAAAAAAAGAAAACCTTATATTATTACAGCTGCTATAATACAGCAATTTAATTACGTCCCGTATCGCGACTAACGTCGAGTTTTAATTCGAAACGCGTGACGGTAGCATAAAAAATGTCGTAATCTTTACAACTTCTCGCTTCGATTTTTCCCACTCTAAACATCGGATCGGACACGCCAATTACTGAAGTCCGCCAATCGGATACGGCGATAAGAATCGATTTGAAACAAAAATCGGAACAAGATTATTTGAAAATAGAACTCTAGTTTTTCTAACCTATTGCCACAGATGTATTTCTTTAGACGTAAACCTAACGTTTTGGCGCGCTCTATTTACAGTCTGATAGATTGTAACACATGGTGTTTATGTTAGAGTCGTTTCGGCTGTACTGTGACGCTTGCATTTGATAAGTTTGTCAGGTGGAATCTTACAAAAAATTATTGAGACATATCGGAAATGAACGTATGCTATTACGTATGCCATACGTAATGCTAGTTAAGTCCTAATTGGTATCTCTGATTGAGGTGGAGAGGTATGATATTACTAATTAAAATTAATTATTACACAGTCGAGATTTTCTGTAAAAATCGTGTCCATAACAAAGTTTACTGTTAAATTACCTCAATGGCGTTGGCGCTGAGTTCAGAGCTCGTTGGCTTGTATTTGGCCATGTCCTGTTCCAGGGCAATGAGGCGAGCTGACGGCACTTCGTCCTTCTTCATGCCGAAGAACTCCAGAATCCTGATAGGGCAATAAATATAAGTTAGATAAATATTTTTGTTCATATTTTTACACAACATTATCTAGTCCCAAACTATTAACATGAAACAGACTTTGCTTAGATGATGCTTACAGGCAAAGTAATTTTATGAATTAAAGACTTATCGAGAACTTATAGAGTAGGCTTTTGCTTAGCAGTGGGACACGTATAGGCTCTTAATTTACTTTTACAATAATATATGATATATTTTATATAATTGTAGTATGTACAAAAACACCTTGCCAATTGTCATTGTGCGATGTGTAACGGTTCGAGTAAAGATCTCCACATTTCGGTCTTTTCACTTTTTACATTGTAATGCTTATAGTTAATTTTATGCAGTATAAAAATAATCGATGGAATATGAACACATTGCCGGATACGTTGAATAATATTTTAACGTCCGATGCTCGTCAACATCCGCTATAGTGCGGCCCTAACCGACGATTAGAACCGTACGGTGAAATAACGTTAGTGTCGTGACATTTGTATCAGCGGCGTTTTGATTGATCATACACTACGATGCCGTTCATTTTAATCTTTGTTTTATATAATCTTACAGAAAATCTGATATATCTTTAGATATTATTTCGAGTGCGATTTGAGTTCTGCCAATAGGGTATGATTGTAAAAACTTCTGCACCCTGACTGGATAACTCATCGACCACCTATTTTTAGTGCCTATACGAAATATATCTGCAATTAATTAAGAACCAAAGATTTAATATTTGCGTTCCAACGTCACAAACTAATCACTCAACGTTCAATATGGAATGACAAATCGAGTCAAGTAAAATTGAAAAGTGAAAATTGCAAAATATTTCATGTGACCTATACTTTTTCATAAGTATAAATATGTATAGTACAAAAGAGTAGAATCAGAATAAATTGATTTCCTTTATATATTTTTTACGTAATTTTACAGTTTTACCTTTGGTGATCGTCCTCGTCCGTGTCAATAGCTACGGCCATGATCCTGTCGCGGTAGTTTTTAGCGACAGGCTTCAACTCGTCAAGGTACTTTTCGAAGTCGCCGTTTTTCTACAAACATATGAAATGTATGACAACACATTCCCAACTCAATAGCTAAGACATAAAGTCTGTATTCGTGCGGCGCCTGTGCAATGCGTAAAGTTCATCGTCAACGGTATCTGCGTGGAGGTCAATGAATCTATTAGGTCAATCACCCTAAAGTTGAGCGTAGTGATGAAGCGGAACCCGAAAGAATTATGAACGTTAGTTTTAATAATATAATTAATACTTTTCAGTATAATTTAATACGTTTTGCAGTGATATTTTATTAAAATTTCATTACAGCTTAATTCTAGTGATTTTAAAAATACGATTAAAACATGTAAAACTTTGAATTAACCTCTTTCACTTAATCAATCCATTATTTCATTTTTAAACATTATGAAAGAGTGAAATTATCAAATAGCAATATATCATCATCAAAATCATGAATTAATGTATATTAAATAACAATACATTAAGAAAGCAGCCAATGTCTCACCTATATTTGTAAGCTTGTAATCTTAATGTATTTAACATGTTAAAACATTATCTATTGACAAAAGTTGAAAGTTTACTTTCACCAATGAGTCAAGTACAATTTACTATGTCTACATATGCACTTACATTTGGAGAGATCTTGTGAACTGAGAACATTGCAATTAAATCAATGATTACCAACTTTCACTTTAATATTAATTGCCGAAAGGAATGTAAATTACTATAAAAGTGTAAAAACCACATATTTTGCATGAAAAATGGTAATGTCAACTATAAAATAAAAATAACAATTAAACAGTGAATATGTAGTGATATAAATAGATTACCTTGGAGAAGAAAAGAAGCAAGTGGTATTTGATTTGTCCACCGAAGATCTTGGATGCTGTCTCATGGGAGAATTCCACAATAACGGGCATGCTTTGCACAAAGACCCATGTTTTAAAGAGGTCTTCATCGAATGCTTCACCTTCATACTTGACACGTGGCTCCTCAAACTGTCAACAAGTATATTATACATATAAATTGTACAACAGTGCTAACATGTATATATGCCATAATAAATGTAATTTCATACTAAATACAATGAGACCCAATATCTTTGTTTAAAATTTTAACTTGAAGGAATAGTAGCCAGGTCAAATCTTATCTTGACCCTAAGATAATTAACTCAGTTAATTGTCCATTTTTTAATTGTGTATTTTGCTTTTCGGAAAATTTTGATACCATACATTTAATACCTACTAAGCAAGCAAGCAACTAAGTAAATATGACCATTGATATGGGCAGACTTATAGACTTATGGGCAGGGGGCAAACTTATGTGTAGACTAGAAGTTCTCTTCAAAAGTGTACACATATGAAAAGTTCAACATTAACAATTTAGCATTTTAAGAGTATTAAAAACAAATGAAAAATGCTTTGTTTTTCACTATTTTTTATTTCACAAATACTATTGAAATTTTAAAATTTAAAGTGACAATAACTTCCATAGTAACTTATAATTAGTAACTGTTTTATCTGACCTTATCTACTCAAGACCTATCCACTAATAGTCAAGAAATAAAAAAATAAATAGTTCGACAAAGCATTTGAAATAACTTGACATATTAAATCCTATAAAAGTTTAAACTATAAATAAAAAGATGAAATATAACCAGCACTTACGTTTTTAAATAAGATAACATCTTCAGGTTGCGCTTCAAGCTCTTCAATGACCTTCTCGTCAGAAACCAGGGCAAATACTTGATCGTCAACAAGCCCAGCAACATTAAGGAAAGCCTTTGCCTTATCAGTTGCCTGGTCAGGGAAGAAACCAAAGATGGCAACGTTGTTGGCAGCAATCAATTCCTTAGCTTGCTCTGCAGATGTGATCTCTGTGGCTGGTGGTCCAGTTTTCTTCTTAAGCCATGCAATAATATCATCAGCTTGCCTTCCACCTATTAAAATGTAATAATTGATAATCATATAAAACAAAAAGTTAAACTTGGTTAAGGTTTTAATTATGAAGGATTATATTTGAAATCAGTTGTGCTATATATTCACAAAAAAATGGAACAGTAATATTGGCTAATATTAAATATAATTAATGGTAGGCAACAATTAAAAGATTACAAATGCATTTACACTATCAAAAAAAACATTGAAATTAATTAATAAACCTAAATTGCAAGAAAAATGATGCAAGCATGAAAAGTTTATAAAACATTGTTTAGAGAACTAATTGTACTGGCCATTAAACCTGATAACAAATGAGTGAGTAATTATTGTAATTACTGATAACATTACCTGTGTAATCAATAGGGCTGCCTTTTTTAAAGAACTTCAATGTTGGGTATCCCCTTACACCATAGCTTTCGGCGAGTTCCTGCTCTTGTGTGGCATCAACTTTAGCGAGTTTGATAGGCGATTCCTCTTCGTTCAACGTCGTGGCAGCCTTAGCATATTCCGGCGCCAATGATTTACAATGACCGCACCATGGAGCATCTAAATTTAATCAAGCCGGTAAAATTTTTTTTCACAATGTTTCGAGATACAGTTATCGTGACATACGGGAATACAAATAAATTGGATGTTGGAAGAAAGAACAAATTGTGCATACTTACAGAACTCTACCAAAATGAAGTCGTTATTGGAAATAACATTTTCGAAGTTAGCTTTGCTAAGAACTAGAACATTGTCTTCTGTTGGTACTTCGTCTCCGAGGGCTGCGCCCAAAAGGGCTATCGCCACTGTTAATAATGTTACTCGCATCTTAAATTTGCGAATGCTTGATTACAACTAGTCGGTATACTTAGACGAAGTAACTCAACAAAACGCCGAAAATGCCACTTCATTCGCACTCACACCGACTCATTTGACGTGGCAGCGTCGATCGTGTGTTGGCCTGTGATTGGTTGGCATTGTTTTTTTTTTTAATGGTGATATGGTAGATTTTTATCTGTCTCGTACATATCGGGCATTTAATGAATAATATAAACGAAATAATAATGGCCCCCTGTGAATTATGTAAGCTGAACATGCTATAATGTTTAATATTTAATTTTAAAAAATTGTATCGTAGTTTATTTTTATAATAACAATAACATTATCTAATTTACATCCAGGTACAAGTGAGTAATTTTTTTTCTACATAGCATTTATCCTAGCAATTGCCAGGGTCTGCTTTCCTACTTAATCTCCTCTACTTTGCCTTTGATCTTCGACATCCTCATGGGTCAGTCCATTGGCTCTCATATCCTGCTTCACAACGTCCAGCCATCGCTTCCTTGGGCGGCAAGGAGGTCTAGCTCCCGGGACAGGCATATCAAGGCATATCCTTCCGACATATTTTTCTGACCGGCGTGCGACATGGCCATACCATCTCAGCCGCCGCTCTTGGAGCTTATCCGCTACGTCACGAACACCGAGACTGCCTCGAATGAATGTGTTACGTATGCGCACAGCGTGCGTGACACCGCACATCCATCTTAGCATCTTCATCTCCGTGACGTGAAGCTCTTGAGTGTGCCGAGATAGCGCTGGCCAGCACTCACTAACGTACAGAAGTACAGGTCGGATGCTCTTGTACACCTGGCCCTTGAACTTGGGCGGTATCCTGCGCGCTCGCGTCGTGCTAGAGTCCGAACTTTCGCATGCCATATATTCGGTCTTCGCCACATTGAGTTTAAGCCCGCCGTTCTCAAGCGTACCTTCCAGAGATATACTTTTCGCTCCAGTTCCAGCCGGCTCTCGTCAACGAGCGCTATATCATCGGCACACATCATCAGCCATGGAGGCTGGTCCTGTATGTGAGCCGAGAGTAAATTACCTGGGATAATTATTCGCTTTCTATGTAGGTATGTGGTATACTAGTTGTACTTCTGAAACTATTATACGCATCATTTTATATTTCTTTCTTTTATTACTTTTTCTTAGTTCTAAATAAAATATTTTGATTTAAATCTATTTTTATTAGTGATAATACGTGAAAACCTTTTTTTCAAATAAAATACATATTTACTATAAGAAATGAAAAACAATTATATAAATAACCATTTTTTTACTAACGAAAAACAGTACCGACTTCAAATATGTCGCATTGTGATCATTTTGTAATTGATTTTCAGGAGTTCTCTAAGTACCTCCGGAGCCAAATATCCAATACCAATTAATATGGGACCACATGGGAAGCATAGGCTTTCAAATAAATAAAGAATTATGAAAATTGGTACACTCAGTCCAAAGTTCTGATGTAATAAACATAAAAAAAATACAGTCGAATTGAGAACCTCCTCCTTTGGAAGTCGGTTAATAAATAAATATTGGCTTTGTCGGTAACAATAGAAGAAGCACGGCCATTTCCAAGCACGGTTTCCAGCAAGTAGTTGTAATAAAGCAGTCGACCAGACGGTATTTAAAAGCAAGCTCCTGATGATAAAATTGGGCTAAAAGATTGTGTCCGTGCATATACTTATAGTAAAAAACCCATGCCTGAGTGGCAGCCCGGGATAGAAACTTCACTAATGTCGACGATGCCATCCTTATAAAAATATATAATATTTTCCAACCTTGTCCCATTGTATTATATATGTATTATATATTAAATTATAATTATTATTGCATAGACATAGCCCTCAGTTTTTCCAAAGGGATTACCAAAAGACAAACACAAGGGAGGGAATGGTATATAACCTCTCAGCTAGTCTTTCTCTTTCCATGCGGTATCTCCATCGACACTGGACTTATAATAACAAATTAATAATTTTGTATCGTGTCACTTAGGGCCTTCTAATGTGTGGATATTATAGATGTGCAGTCGAGTCCGTGGTTTAAATTTCAAAGAGCAACGTCGACTTCCCACATGGCTTATACGAGGTTGCCACTCGAGAACTTTTCTCCCTATCGGTTATCGGTTCTTCCAGCTGTGAGGCCAGCTCATTGCCACTTCAGCTTACCAATCCTGTGAGCTATGTCGATTATCTTTGTTTTACTGCGGATGTTTGCATTAAGAACTCTATCACGCAGAGAAACGAGTCCGATACCTGTCCTTGCCCCGGTAAGGGCACATATGCGTTGCCATTTTTTCCCCATTAAAAAGGCACTTCTGGCGAAGTATAATATAATGTCTTGTATCTTGTATCTTGTATTAACTGATGTTTTTGCTTTCAGTCCCGAGACTATTAAAGCTTCATCTGACGCAGAACCGGTGGGGTAGCCAGAACCCACGGGCCCTCCGCTGTGCTCATGCGTGCGTTTAACTATGGTACGTCATCTAAGGGCCATCGAGGTCGCGGTTCGGACCGAAACCCCGATGGCCGTCGACTGTGCAATTAGCTAATCGGTGGCTGGGGGCGGTGAGAACCGCCCCGGAACGCGGGTGTACCTTGTGTACGCGTTGTGTTGGTCTCGCCGTGCTCGGAGGCGAGGGCGAACTAGTGTGTTTGTTGTTGCACTAACTGTGGGTGTAGTGTTGTCCGGCGGGACCCCCGGCAGTGGGTCCGGCGTGTCTAAGTCCCCTTCCTCGACCGGGTCGATTAGGACGTTTCGCGGGCGACGCTTGTTGACGTTCGCGTTTTGGTCGGGTTGGTAATTTGCTGCGCTTACCACCAGAGGGTTGGGATGATGTTCGGCTCTATCGAAGAACCGTTTGGTCAGGTCTTTAAAATATTCGCGAATCGTCGGGAGTCTGCAATCGCTGTGCAGGTCGACGTTGCGTTGATACCACTGCGCACCGGTTGCGCGGTGGATGAACTTATTTTGTACTATTTGCAACTTGTACAAGCGTGTGGGCGAAGGTCATGCATGCGTAAGACATAATAGGTCGTATGCAGGTCTTATATAATAATAATTTGTGCCTTAAGGGCATTTTACTTTTAGCGTTAGTTAAATTGTGTAGCCGGCCGGAGACGAACGCGGCTCTATTACGAACGTTATTAATGTGCGTAGTAAATGACATACGCGAGTCGAAAGTGACTCCTAAGTATTTGACCTTTTTCTCCCAGGGGAGCGGTTGGCCATAAAGGGATATTTGCCCCAACTTTCTGCATTGGCGAGGGCCATTATAAAGATATGACGGGTAAGTACTTCGTGTGAAGTGAATCGCCACACTTTTTTCGGGATTTATTTCTATTCTCCATTTGCGGAACCAATCGCCGAGGCGGTCGGCGGCGCTTTGGAGTCGAGTGGTTAGTATTCTAAGGTTGCGGTCCGAATAAAAGAGCGCGGTGTCATCCGCGAAAAGCGCGAGATTGACGCGGGGGTCTTTGGGTATGTCGCTCGTGTAGAGCGTAAAGAGCAAAGGTGAGAGGCAGGAGCCTTGTGGTACGCCGGCCGTGAGGCGGCGGCTTGTGGAGAGGGTGCCTCGACTCGGTATCGAAAGGAGCGATTCAACAAAAAGGCCCGGATGGTGTGTACGAGCCTATCTGGCACTTTGAGTGTGTACAGCTTGTAAAGCAAGCCGTTGTGCCAGACCTTGTCGAATGCTTTTGCGACATCGAAGAAAAGAGCCCCTGTACTAATATGTTTAGGGTGATTTAGGCCTTTTAGGATATGTTCCGTTAGGCGAAATAGTTGATCGGGACAGGAATGTCTAGCTCGATAGCCGAATTGTTCCGCCGGCAGAAGGCCGTTGGAAAAACGTGCTCATTGAGCCTGTTTAATAAAAGCCGCTCGTAGAGCTTCCCCAGGCAACTGAGGAGGCTGATGGGACGATAAGTAGAGGGCTGGTTGGCTGGTTTATTAGGCTTGCGAATGCCGATAACCCTGGCTTCTTTCCAGTCGTCTGGAAAGGAGCAACTGGAGAGTAAAGTATTGTAAATGGTCGCCAGTAAACAGATAAGCGGCCCAGGGAGAGCTTTAAGAATTTTGTTACTAATATTATCTGGGCCCGGGACGGATTTGGGTTTTAAGTTTTTAATAATATCTTGAACCTCTTCGGGGGTCACTGAATTTAAAGGATCGCCTTCCGGTGGAAGCGCAGCCCTAATCTTAATTACACGGTCCACCTCCGTTAGGTGGGCTGTATCGATGTGTTCGCGCGATGGCGTACATTGCTGCTCTAGGTTGTCCGCAAGGCATTCGGCTTTTTCGGAGTCATCTAGGGCTACTGAAGCGCTATTAGGTCTAACTAACGGCGGTAGAGATTCGCGGGGGTCTGCTTTCAGACTGGGGACCAACTGCCAGTAGGCGGTGTGCGATGGCTCGATGTCCTCTAAGAGAGTGTCCCACGTTGTATGTCGGTGTTCCGATACACGGTCTTTGACTTCTAGCTGAAGGCGTCGAAGTAGGGTTCGGTTCGATTCCGATCGGTATCGGTCGAAAGCGCGTTTGGCTGCATTTTTCTGCCTAATTAGGAGTCGCAGTTCGGGCGGAAAGTTAAACCGTCGATCGCCCGACAGTTTAACCGTCCGTTCCGAGTCTGCGACTGTGGAAGTGATGGTTTCTCGGAGACTTGCTATCGCTCGATTTGCGTCATCGAACGTAGCTATCATCTCGGGTAGGTCGACTAAGTCCTGGGGGTCCAAGGCCTTGAGTTTGACCTCAAGACGATGCCAGTCCACTACGGATTGGTCGGAGGGACCGCGCCGGCGTTCTGGCCCAGTTTACACAGGACGGGCCTGTGATCTGAGTCTAGTTCATGGATTGTCTCTATCGACTCGATGTCGAGCGAGACCTCCTTGAGTAACATGATATCTAGGATACTCGGTGTCGCGTGTTGGTAGCTGTCCACCGTAGGATACCTAGTGGGAGTCGCAGGAGCAATTATGCTAAAGTCTAAATTATCGGATAAGCTAAAGAGATGCTTTCCGTTGTTATTTGGGATGCTGTGGATGTCCCATGAGCCGTGTTTGCAGTTTAGATCTCCTGCAATTATCACGGAAGGGCCTAAGTTAAGTAGCGTATCTAGGTCGCTTTTTAATAAGGTTTTGTTCCCCGAGAGGTAGGCTGAGACTAGTACAAGCGGCCTATGGCCGCTGAGCGCTAACCTACACGCGGATGCCTCTATATGGCTTAGCTCTGGAATGTCGAGCGGGCTACAGTGCAAGGACCGTTTGTAATAAATTAAGGTGCCTCCCAGACGATTTGCTAACCGGTCGTGGCGGACTATGTTGTAGTTTGCGATTCTGGGATCGCGTACACTAGGTTTTAAGAATGTCTCTTGCACTAGAAAAATATCTATGTTATAATCGCGAAGGAATTCTGCGATTTCGTCCCTTTGACCCTTTATGCCGTTTGCGTTGAAATACGAAACAACCAGAGCCCGAGGTTTTGTTCTACCTGCGGTTGTACTTCCCATTAAAGTTTTTTATGAGTTCTAAATAACGACGCGGCGGAGCGCGGTTTTATTGCGCGGACTATTAAGTTTATGGTTGGCTTGTAAATGCCCAGAGGGCTTCTACAAGCATTTTATGTTCGCTAATGGCTTTAAATCGCGCGTTGCCAGATGTGGCGGCCGCTGTTTTAGCGGACAATACGGCGAGTTCTTGTCTATTTATGCGGTCTAATAAGGCGCAGATGTTGGCAATTTGGGCGAACGGGTCGTCCTTGTTTTCGGCGAAAACCGACGGTGTCGACTGCACCTGCGGCGTCGGCGCCGTTTGATAGGCGGGAGCAATTGGTCGTGAGGCGACCGGGGGCGCAACTACCTGAGCGGCCACCTGGAGTTTCGCCCAGGCGTTTACGACGGGTACGGGCGCGGGAACGTATTTCACGGGCGCGGGTTTGGGCAAAGTAGATGGGAGCTCTTCTCGCGGGAGTTTTTGGGGCCTTAGCGCAGCCCCTGTAGCTAGCCGGATGGCCGGTGATATGACAGTTAACGCAGTCCGGTGGATCTGCGCAATCTTTTGGCCGCGTACAATCGGGCGTGCCGTGGTCACCGGTGCATTTGACGCACCTAGGGTGAGCGAAACAATTATTAGCCGTGTGGCCATAGTGTTGGCAGTTGTGGCACTGCGCCACAACTCCCGATCTTCGCGGGGGCTCGATCACGAGGTCGCTGAGCCCACAGACCCTCTTCAGGTTGAAGATGGCCTTACCTACCGGGGTAGGGTCAAGTTCAACCATCACCATGTCCATAGGGACACGGGTTCTAGGGTGCCTGAGGCGGCGTACATTATGCACAGGGTATCCCTGAGTGCGGATGTCGGTCTTCGCCTTGTCGACATCCGACTCTTTGGGGACGCCCTTGATTACTACCCGAATTTTCTTTTCTTCGGGCAAAGAGTAGGTGTGGAAACCTATCTTGTTTTCGCGCAAGTACTTAGTTACGCGACGGAAGTCGTCCGTAGTGTCAAGGTATACGCGGATACCCATATGCATGTTTTTCGACCGGGGGTCGCGGATATTGTCGCGTTCAAACCACGAACAAATTTGGTGCCACTTAGCCTTCTCCTGAATGATGATGGGTGGAGGAGGCTTTATTTTTCGCTCGGAGGCGGAGGCGAATTCGGGCATCGGTTTAGCCGCCGCGGCCGCCTTTTTAGCGGGCGTCGCGGTGGGACGGATCGTTGAGGCGGCCTCGCATTCGGGGTCGCTGTCGGCAGCGGGGCGTTTTTTGCCCTTTTTACGCGATTTAACGACGGTGAAGCCGTCGGCGTTCGCGTTTTCAGCGGGGGTCATTTCGACCTCCATGTCCGATCCGCCGTCCGATTGTGAGTCGGGTACGACGGAGCGAAAAGAGGTTGGTTGCGCGGAAGGCGCTACGGGCGAGTTCGCGTTAGCGGATGCCGACGCGACGGGAGCTTCTAAGGTCGCGGAGGGCGACGGGGTAACGGGCGCAGACGGTGCGGGCAATGGCGGCGACGCGAGTTCAGCTAATTGCCTATGCTCGGCTTCATAAGCGAGAAAACGTTCCCACATAGCGGGGCATTCTTTGCGTACGAACTCCTCGAAAAGGGAGCCCATCGCGACGTAAGTGACTTTGGGGCTTGTAGCCCCGCCGGCGTGTGTGAGCTAAATAAGCCTCCCCACCTTGCAGCAGGGAGGAGTGTGCCTAGAAATAACAGCAAATTTGCCTGCGCTTTAGGTGCGCTAGGATGGGTACCTAGCTGTCGCCTATTGCAACAAGCACACAGAGAATAAATGAAACAATGCCGCCTCTGAGGCGAGAAGTGTGTGTAGGATTCTACTTACAAACAGGTACCTGCCTACGAGCACAACACTACACTAACACTAAACTACTGCACTATTTGCACAAGATTGAAATTGCAACCGAGGTTGCGAGTGGCGTCTAATTCGGGTGGCATGTGCCCTCCGTCTTAGAGAGACGTCCGTTCCGTACGAGAGCACGAAGCGAAATGAATATAATGTCTCGTGACCAACGAAGCAAAGTAAATAAGGTGCACCATAAAAATCCTATGCACGGTTTGCTTTCTCACTAAATGCTGGGAACTGTCGTAGACTACTTTGGATATGTGATTTATATCATTTATTACAATGTTCAATTTCTTAATTTTTATCTGAATATTTTGATTCCATCTTTGGCATGAATTGTCTATGTAACATTGAGGTATGAATTTCAACAAGTAAACATTATGCAGTGCAGTGTCGTAAATGTCAAAATACCTCACTCAAACCTCCACGAAAACTGTTTAAAACAGTATAATTCCTAATATAATCATCATTATAAAATTATTCACAATGGTATCGAGAGCTTACAACGAATGATAGAAGATATGGCAAATATAAATTCAAAATGGAAATTTCGCAGGTAAATATATGCACTAGTTCCGTGCGATTTCATTCGAGGGAAACGTTTTTGCTTCGGTCGTAGCGTGATTTATAAAATCTAAAACTTTCCTCAAGCATAGGGCTATCAAATGCAAAAATATTTTTCAAATCCGACTGGTAATTCCAGAGATTAGGGCGTTCAAACATAGCAACAAACTCTTCAGCTTTATTATTTAGTATATGATTCAATATGTTTACATAATGGCATAGTTTTATTTTGAAATTCTAAAATTGCTATAATTATGAAACAAATTGGAAAAGTGAAATGTTTAAATTCACTTAATGCTTGTTTTTTTTTCCTCCTGATTTGATTACTTCACTTGTCATTTGAATCACTGTGATAGTGGCCTTCATAATGTTAGTGAATTTTATTTTAGAATTTTACAATTGGACATGGTCCAAATTTTATTCACTAGAACTATCATATATAGAATACGGAACTCATTTAAAAGTTTACTATACTTGCTTCTTGATTATATCTGTATCTCATATTTTTATAAAATTAGACCAGCTTTCATTTATTCATATTCAAGTAATTTTATTTTAAATTAAAAATGATTGTTTTATATCCAAATGAATAACATGTGATGCTCAATATAATACAATATGAACTGTTAATAAATTTTAGATGCTGGAGTTAACAGTAACCTCTGAGATCTATGAAGAGTATGATTACAAAACCAATATAAAGCCGAGTAAAATAGGAAGTAAGTTTCTAATTTTTTTCTTTTTATATTTTAATGTAATGTGTAAACTCTACATTATGAAATGAGATAAGATGATGTAAAAATAAAACATATATGCCATTTCAGATGTCATATCGGAGTTCCCTTTCAAATTGCCTAGGAGTGTAAAAAAAGTTACTTTTGATTTGGATAATGACTTAGATATTGAAAGACCTTTTAGGCAGTTATTAGAATTGGTAAGTTAATTCATTGTTATCCATTCTTTAGATACCTTTTAAATTCCTTAATATCATCCTGTTCCCATATCAAATGGTTGTGTTTCATAATTTTTTTTAGTTGTTATGAAGCCATTGTGCTAATTCACAATAAATATTGCCCTTAAATTTAATGGAATCCTCCAAGTTAAAACGCAAATAGTTTTTACCTCAGTATTAGAATAAACTAAATAATACAACTGTAAGTGCTGGCTTACCATATACTCCATTGAGTACAATATTTTCCTTTGTGATATAAAATCAATAATCTAATATATAAAATTCTCGTGTCACGGTGTTTGTAATTGAACTCTGAAACATCTCAACCGATTTTCATGAATTTTGTGTGCATATCGGCCAGGGTGGAGAATCGGACAACATCTATTTTTCATCTCCCTAAATGTTAATGGTGGTCCACCCCAAATATTATTTTCTACCCTACAAATTCCTTAGAAATAATTTATACGGCAAGACGACGTTTGCCGGGTCAGCTAGTATTATATATACATAAGAGGCAGATAGGACACTGTTGTGCCTAAACCGAGGCACTCTAATTACGGCAATTGTTTAATTAATTAGTCTGCTTCTGTCTCTTTCTGTGTCAAAAATTTTATATCATCTGTCACATTCACATATGTCAAATATAAGTATGTAATGCTGTATGGAAATGCATCATCTTTATTGTAGCATTGTAGAAAATCGTCAAAGAATTCAGGAATTCCTTTTCTTTCTCCCAATTTTTTAATTTCTCAGATAGTAGTTTAAGGCGCTATACGCAGTGAATTTTTAACTATTTGGGTGGTGAAGTATGAGGAAGCGGGGGAGGGGTAACGCCGCTTAGCGGCGCGCAGCGCGCGAGTTTCGTCGACGCGCCGCTTGACCAAGTCATTCATTGCTTAGTGTTTGTGTAGTGGTGGGCCGTAGGATACTATCGATAGTATCATGGAAGGCTTTCGAAAATGTACATAGATGATCACTATAATATCTTTTATAGACCATGATTGTATTTTACTTTTATATTATAATAGGAATAATAATAAACAAACATATAAAGTATGAGAAAGCAATCAACAATTTTAGAAAATCTTCTTTTTTTATTTAAATGGAAAAGGAATTGATTAAAAATACATCTTAAAGTCAAATAAATTAATAAAGGCAAATTACTTATAATTATTAAAGAAATGGCTCATAAAATTTTTGCAGAAATTACGAATACAACTTTTTTTATTACATTTTTTTATGTATTAGGAATTTTAATTTATCCTTTAAATGTTTAAGATTTATTATATTACTTTCTCAACTAAAGTGAAATTTAAAAAACTATCGATAAAATCTTTATTTGTATCGATAAACAACAGCAATTATAACAAGAATCGAAATTTTGTCACTTTCCACAGACCTCACGTAGCCTGTTGGTCCGAGCGTTATACACAACGGTAAACTATTGCTGGTCTCAAGTACAAACCCTCATTGAGTGGAGTTGTATTTTTTATATTATTTTCACTTTTATTTGTTAGCCAACAAATTATTTTGTTTTTATTTTATAAAATGGCTCAATTTGCGGAAATAAACAAATTAATAAGAAAAATTATAAAACAATTATTTTTCGTGTATAAGGTAAATTCTTCGTTTTAGGGTGAAAACTTAAATATTTTAATAAAAAAATAGATGACGTTAAAAAATTTTAATACTAAAAGTTGGTTTATTTACTGATGATTGTTCTCCAACTGTTTCAACTTTGAACAAATACAATAATATTTCGTTGTAATTATATATGAAAATAAAAAATCAACAAAAATTAAATGGTAATTAAGACATATTTCCAAATAAGGAAATCAACAATAAGTACAACAAAAAATTTAGGGATTTGAACCCAATCCATAAAGAATGATGGTCCTATACACTGTATGTAAAGGACTGATAGACCAATCACGAGATAAGTAATAATCATTATAATTACGCTTTAAATAAATTAATCAACAACTGTTAATACGTATTGATGTATATTTTTTATTATGTGAATATATATTTTTTAGTTTCGTGTTTTCGTAGGTCTAATAAAATTAATACTCAATAATAAATAAATACGAAACATATTTCGTAACGGTGAGCGGGCGATGAGCGGCATAGGTCCATCTAGCAAGGCGCCTCAGCGCTCTCTGTTCAACGTGTAGAATTAGAAGAGAGCCGAAACAACGCCGCGGTAGCGCGATGTTTTGGCCATCGCGTTCGAATTAATTTTAATGAATTAAATTAATATTTACAAATATCTTACATCAATCAACAAATTAAAACGACAATCCCTTTTATAAATATATTCTACACCACTGATATTAATTTCATTAAGATTTGTTGATGTATTACATTCATTTTTGGATTTGAAATTCTCTTTTAGAGGTAGTTTCATGATTATTTCTATCGAGAAAATATATCGAGAACATGTTTTGGAAACAATGTTCCATTAGAATATACGATCAAGATTAACATACATTTTTTTTGCTGCTATAAAATGTGTAGATTTTGCTAAAAAATCTTTTGAAAAACCTATTTTTACTGCATACAGCGCCTTAATTAAGTAAGTTTAATTTCTCAGTTTTTAATGTCTCAGTACGCTATCTGAGACATTAAAAAACTGTCTTACAATAAAAAAAAACATTGAAAAATGTAGTAGTATATCCTAAATTCTGGATCATTGATCATTTTAATTAATTTTATCATATTTACCTTAAGATCTTTACATTTTAAATGTAGTATTTATGACAAAAATTTGCATTATTAATTGCATTTAAATAGTTTTCAAATGTTTAGTAGCTTATGCAGTTTTCTTCTATTTATTATTATAGAGCACAGTTCAAAAACTGAAATAGCATTAGTTGGTCTCCAAGTATGGAGAGGTGCTTTTCTACTTGGTGATTTGCTTATACATCTTGGACTTAAAGGAGAATTAGAAGGTAAAACTATCCTGGAACTTGGTGCTGGCACTGGAATTACGAGTTTTGTTGGTGCTATCTATGCAAAAAAAGTGATATGCACAGGTACAAAAAATTTGAAACAGTTATTTTAAATTTAGTTTATCTACCTTATATATGTTGTAATTCTTTCATATTAACTGTTTACTTTTAATGCTTTACAGAATTCATAGTGACAGGATATTGTGTGATAATTTTTATGTAAAGGATGAAAAAAGGAACAAGAATATCTATCTTCTTATTTGGTTACAGACATTGATTTGGGAGGTATACTGGATTTAATAAAATTAAATGCCAAGTACAATGGTAAATTAATGAAGTCACAATTCAAAGTTATGCCCTTGGATTTTACCGATACAAGATGGAGTCAACAACTTTTACAAGAAATCCGTAATGTTGATATTGTTGTCGCAGCTGATGGTAAGAATATAATAAATATTCTATAAAATGGGCTAAAAACAGGTTGCATTTTTAACTGAATAATTTACCTTGAGTTGGGCAAATTTCGTGGTTATATATTTTAAGTTTATGCACTAATATGCCTTTTCATTTGTTTTTAAACTTGCCCTGGTTTGCGGTCTATAGTGAATTTTTGAATCAATCACCCTACTTAATATGTCGGTTATAATAATATGTAGGCAGGAATTAGACCATGCATATTCAAATTGAGACTCATTTTGAAAATCTATGGATTTTTTCCTGCCTACAAAATTGTGAGTGAGAAATTTTTTAAAAATATCTTTTTTTTCCAGTCATCTACGACGATGACGTCACTGCGGCGTTTATTTCCACCGTGCAAAAGATCATGAATACGAATCCTCCGAAGGTTTTGTACATCGTCATGGAGAAGCGGTACGTGTTCACTATCGAGCACCTAGATGCGGTGGCGCCCTGCTACGAAACATTCCTCGCGCTGCTCGAGAGGGCGAAGACAGATGATGCCCATTCCAATTGGACTGTCGAACAGCTCCCGCTGGATTTCCCGAAATATTTCACATACGAACGCGTGAAAGAACTAGTCTTGTGGAGGGTATCGTCGAGCGTAGTCTAATAGTCTGTGATAGTAGGATATTCAAATGTTTCCAACTATGTTTTTATCTGTTGTCTTTGTAACGTTTATGTATTTGTTTGTTTTGTCCCTGCTAAGGGAAGACTCAGGCGAATTGAAGAGGTATAAATACTTCTACTTTGCGCAGGTCTTCTGAGAAGCTGGTGTTTCGCTGATTTAATTTATGCAACTCCACTATTGCATCACAGAAGTGAATACTATAAAAATGCAGTGAAATGTATCTGCACCAACTGTCATTGTAACAAATTATTTACTTGTTAGAAGTAGAAGTATGTAACTAAATCAAATTAGTAATTGTGAAACATCTTTTCTCCTAACCGCTTTCATTGGTTAACAATCTGTGTGAATGCAGAGTTTATATACTTACCATGTTAAAGGGAGTATCATAATAGACACAGATAAAACAATGGTTTCGTCGTAGTGCAATAAATGACACAATTGTTTCAATAGTTTACAGAAATTCCTTTGCAAACATTCTTTTTTCATAATCTTTAGCTACCCAACTCCGTTAAATACTCCAATGGCGATGACCAGTTTAGGAATTAAAAAGTAAACAAAAAGCATAGATAATGTTATATTAATGAGTCTTGAATTTCGTATGCACCTAATAAAAGAAAAAGGGGCTATAAACAAGAAGTGTTTAATAGTATCCACAGCCCTTTAAAATTTTAATAAATAAACAAAAAATTACCATACCACAACTTCATAATTTTAACATTGTACAATAAAGAGTATAAAATAATAAATATTGAATATCATTTTCCCACCAATATTTGATTATCGTCGACCCTTTCAACACGGTGTTATTACAATTTTTGAGATTTCTTTCCAGGCATCGGCCAAAACTCGTTGTATTTAGTGAGAAAAGTCTTTTTCAGTTCCGAGTTTCTCGCCTGCTGGTCTTTCTCCTTACTGAGGGTTTCGATGCTTTGACCTACGCACAGGTCGCCCGTGAAATGTATTATCACCACTTGCGTATTGAAAGACACATTTTTGTCCGGTGTGTGTTTATTGTAGGTGTACTGGGCCTCCAAATCCATATCCAACGACACGACTTCGCCAGCTGCGAAGTGACCATAAAGATAGAAATAAATCTAAATTAATCCCGTTCATTGCTATGTAACAGTAACAAGACAATTTTTTTATTAACGAAAGACAGAACCGACTTCAAATATCTCGCTCTGTATTCGTTTTATAATTGATTTTCAAGAGTTCCCTTCGTATCCGGAGCCCAAGAGACAAAACCAATAAAATTAATATGGGACTTCATAGGAAGCACAAAATCGGTACACTCGATCGAAAGTTCTGAGGTAACAAACATTTTTAAAAAATACAGTCGAATTGAGAACCTCCTCCGTTTTTGAAGTCGGTTAAAAAGTAAAGTATTACTCAATAAGTGTCCCACTGGCGAGACAATGGGCAAAGACATTCTGTGTACATAGGGTATGAGGACCAAGATCATCACGCGATCCCACTGTGGCCGACTTCATATTATATTTTCAAAATATTTTTTTTGTCATTATTTCGAAAATATGCAGATTGTTTAGCAGGGAGGTTTTCCTCGACCGCTGAGCACGCGTGCTCAGTGTTCTATGTATTTTATTTCATAATACTAGAGCAACCTGAGTTCAAATTCCGGTGCTAGTACCAACGAAATTGTTCAATTTTGAGTGGTGACTTTCACGTTTTATGCAAGAGAAAGGATGGTGGTATTCTTATATATGTACAAGTTTGCGTTTACGGTCCATAGTATACAAAGCTACATCGGGCAAAGAGGTCGAGGAAAAGGTAGACAGAGCCACGCACGTGGACATGCGTGCAAAATAAAGATATTGCCAGCTACAGGTCGACTAGGTCCAACATACGGATTTCAACAAGATATTTATATATACTTGGTTTCGCCAAGCCCGTAGGCATTTAATCATCTAATATTGGTTTATTAAAATCGTACACCTGCATTATAGTCTTCAGAATCGTGGACGGTGGAGTCACCTGTACACTCGAGTCCACAACGATTATCTTTTCAGTATGCCTCTGGTAGCAGTCAGCTTACTGATTGCTTTCTCATTGCCTTTGTTGTTTTGGTCATTTTTGTGTTTGTCTGTATTGCGGAGGAATTTCTTCATCTGTAATAAATATTTTTCGATTTTTTTTTATAATTAGGTAATTCAAACTTGACGTTGCGGTTAACAATTTCAGTAAATGGTGATTGTGTCAGTTTAATCGTCGCTACCCTTAAAGAGCCTCAAAAGAGCGGCATTTTTCAGTGTTTGTGAATTGTGTGAAGAATTTTGTGAATGTCATGTTATAAATATTGCAATATAGATTAGAGAAGAATGTTGCTTTAAAACGTATACACATACGCGATTCTGGCACCAAAATGTAGTAGACACTATACGTAAATATAGTCGTGAAATTTCCAAATTGTTCCGAAGGCAGGGGCGAAATTGAACAGGGAACATAAGGTTATACAAAATATCTTACAGTTTTAGAAATCTTTTTAGGAGCGTCTAGGTAGGTAACTTTTGGCTCTCCAGGGTTGCTGCCAACAACGTGAAGAGTGTTTTTCGGTATATCAAAATCCGAACGGATCGGCGCCTGTGCCTCCAACACGTCTTTGTACCGACCGGGTACAGTTGTCGATTTACTGTTCGTAGGCAAATAAGAGGTTTTATTGGCTCTTTCCTTATGTGATTTTCCAATTGGTGTTTTATTTTTCGCATATTTCTCTCGATCTCGTCTTGATGGTAACTCATCATCGTTTGAAAAACTTTCCTCGGAAGTCGAAGGGAACACTTCATTTAAACTAATCACTTCTACATTGCACTCTTCAAGACTTGACTGACTCCTCGCGTTGGCTATTTGACATAATTGATCGGTCGAATGAATGCTTATAAATGACTTTTGTGCGGACTCCAAAGAGGGGTTCTCATCCGTACTCGAAGTTTTCTTTGTTACAGTTACTGAAAGTTATCAATTCATCACACACAATCTCGTTAAGTGTACGCGAATATGAATTACTTAATAACCTACCAGAATAAATACAGTTCTCCACAGTGCTACCACTATCAGTTGTAACACCTAGAAAGCAAAGTTTTATTCAATTATTTTCAGTCTGATTATGAATATCCTTGCCTATATTATTGAAAATACTTACCTCCATCATCAGTTCTGTCTTTCTTAAACCTTTCTATTGAATCTATTTCAGATAATTTATGTGCATTCTTCGAATATGACATATTTTTACGATAAATTTCAGTATGTACGCGATGTCAAATGTCTTTCCATTTTTCTATTTATCGCATGCCAATGCAGTTCTAATTTTAATATTGTCACTGCGTCCGCTTTATAATACCTCTTCGTTACGGTTCTTTTGTTTCGTATTTTCTCTATCACGAATAATAGTCAAAAAACAATTACCTACACAATTTGCATACCATCTAAGGCAACTATCAGGACACGGCAAACCCGTTAATTTGTTGAGGCCTAAGGGATGGTTTAAGTCGATCGATTGTTAAACGTTCGTTTGGATAACTTTATATTAGGCTTAGCCAGTATAGTGGTAATAAATATTTGGTTGAATAACCCTAAACAACCGAAATTGTTTTACGATAGTATTTCAGTTCAAAATGGCTTTTAGAATCACCTACTTTGCTTGTAGAATAGTACGATTTACAATTTCATCAAAAAATGTGACTGCTGCAATTTTTTTCAGTAAAAAAGTTGATTTAATAAATTATAATTACATTTATGTCTTAGAAAATCTCATAATATATAAATATACATGTAAATAGTACTATTCAGTGTAGATACTTCATACTGATAACGTTATTCATGTTTGCATTTTCTGAGAACATTTAACATAGTAAGTAACATATACAGCGTGTCGTTACCATCGCGACAATAAATGAACACACATAGAGGGGATAACTTTTTAAAGTTGTATTAAACATTTAAATTCTTTAAACATCAATATTTACCGAGTTATTAAATTTTCCAAAACAAAGAATTTTAAAACACCCTACTAAATTTTTTAATAAAGAATAAATTACCTATAAAAGCGTAACGTACTTTACGTTTCATTTGTAAAGGTCACAAAGCATATGAATGGGTTGAATGAATTTAAAAGAGACAAAACATACTGTTAGGAGAGGCTTGTAATACGACGCTGTGGCGCGAGTTGTATAGGATGTTACAAATTTTGTTTCTTTTTTACTGAATTAGTTTGTTTGAAAAATATTTTTTTTAATTATGAATTTTGTTTAACGTTAATATTTTTTTATGATTTTTGGCAAGTAGCGTTAGATCATTTATTGTCGCGATGGTAACGACACGCTGTATTTTTATACCATAAGAAAGTTGAGATTTCAGCGAACAAATAGCCCACCAACTTTTTTTAAAAAGCTGATATTTTGACGCGAGAATTTTCGATTGAAAAAAAATAACAAATTTTTTTGTAAAAGATAAAAATAAAAAATCAAAAACTTGATTATTTAAATATTTCACATAAATTTTGAGTTTATGTGAAAAAAGTGTAAGTACAAAAGTTAGAAAAGACAGAAAGTTATCCTCTATATGTGTGTTCATTTATTGTCGCGATGGTAAAGACACGCTGTATAAAGATATGGTATTCAGATCCACGAAACATTTTTATTAATCTACAGCAATCAGGAAAATTGAAAAAAGAGAACAAAAGCACGTAAATACTAGGAAATTGGAATTAGAGGGACAGCTCGAACATGACATTCCAGATTTCTGTAAGTATTTAAATGTTATTTGTACGCAAACGCCCGGGACTTGTAGCAGTTGCCTCCTGCTGCATGGCCAAGGGCACTGGTGGTATTCATTCAGGAATTGATGATTCAATATATATTTTTGTTTAAATAACAGTTTAGTAAATATTTAAAATAATTGTTATATTTCATTTCATAAGTACAAATCATTACTGAACATTACACAAAATAGAACAGTATATAATAACAAAAACTATTTGAAATTATCATCTGCTATATTGGAATACATAGTATCTATGCGAAAGAACAGCTAATATAACTTACAGTAAAACATTGCATCATGTAAAAACTAACGTTACTATTTGTAACAATCGTAACTTTTCTAATATTTTATTAATAAAACAATATCATTAACCACTGAGACAATTGTGAATAAGGCAATAGGATTTACAGTCTTTTGTTAATGGCAGTATAAATTGTATTTTTTAGACCTGCTGTCCATATAAGAAACACCAATAAAAACATCAATATGCTGTTAATATTAAACAAAGTCTCAACTAACTACACTAATTTAAAAATGGAACCACTTTATTTTGTGAAAATTAAAGATTTTAAATGTTTGCTTTATATTTTACTATATTCATTTGAATTATTTAGTATTTAATCAATTTTCTAATGTTGTGTTTATGCACAGTCTATTAGTTTTCTTTTTCTATTTATTAAGGTAAATAATCTGATTTTGTTAGTCACTGACAATTTTCGTTTTTGAAGAATAAAATCAATTTTACTTAGTTTTTAAAGAGTCATTGAATTCTAGCCACATTATGAAGATCAGTCCCACGATTGAGATATTTATTATAAATCAAAAGCCTGAAAATTTTGGCCTGGTCCCCACAATAAATATAATCAAATATCATTCCATTGTATTGAAGTGGGTTGAATAAAACTGGGAAGAAATTAAATGTATCCTTTAAATTGAAATTAAATAGTTTTGTACACTTTTGTAATGAGCAAAGACGTAGTAAATCTCGTTTTACATGTGATTGTAAAATTTTTGTATATTGTAATTATGAAAGATATAATTCTTTTACTGTCAGTGTGGACTGGCAAACAACTTGAGCAAAAAGTTGCATAGTGGAGGAAAGGTTGCCCATGGCCACACTCGTATTAGCTTGGCCTTTTGATAAGTGACCCAAAAATCGACTACTGGCAATAGGATAAATTTTTTAAAGAAATTTGCCGGTCGCTACATAATGTATGTCGAAGATAATGCATGTGGATTCAGTCAGATAGTGTGACATGTGTGCATCAATATTTTAAAACAGTAAAGATAATTCTAATTTAAAATAGGGTTCTTAATTAAATTATTGCTACAAATAGTTTCATATTTTTGGTCAATACTATAAATTGAGACACCTATAACAGTATACATACAATTCATTATAAAGCATTTTCATACGGAAATATTTTGGAGGTTGGATAACTATTAGTGATAGATTGATTATTGGTATTTATTTAATCGAGGAAAAATAAAATTTATGCACATTTCAATATTTTTAAATTAAGGTCTCTGCATTTCAAGAATCATTAATTATATTATTGCATTTTATACTTGATATTATACAATTGCAGATAGTTTCATACAGAACGGCAAGAATATTCCAGTATCGGATTGAGATAAAATACTGCATTTAAATGGGTGTAAAATTCTCTAAGAACTAGCTTTAAATAAACATTTAAGTAACACAGTGAATACACTTGTCCTAATTCATTTAGAATCTGAAAGCAGATGTCATTAAGCACTGTTAAGACTACCATAGTTATTGGTCAATCAAAAGATTATTGCTCGTGAGTGTAAAGGCTGAAAATAATATCATTTGTTTTAGGACTTTAAAACAAATGTACCAATGTAAGACATTTTTGTTTCAGTTATCTGAACAGTGTTAAAATTAGTTTGAATTTTGATAGTGATATGTATAAAACCAATTTATATGCTCCTTAAAAATGAAAAATGGGATGCCATGTGTATTTAGCAGTTGCAGTACTATTTATATTCATTAGTAAATACTAAAAATAATTGTAGCTTTGCAACTAAACATTTTTTTGGCATATTCGTCATGGTGTTAAAACAACTCAGTTGTGTAATTTTGCAAAAGGTCATGAAATATATTTTTAAAATAATATTTACTAAATTAAGACATCATTATACTATCACCACATGTGTTATTGCATTAATTGCTTGCAATCAAATATTATAATGTCTTGTAACAAAAACTTCGAATTGTAACGTAAATAATAATTTGATCTAATCACTTCATACAACAATTTTAGTAGATATACAATAACATCTCAAGCACAATCTCTTGCACTGGCCAATTTAAAATGAGGCCATAATTTATTCTACTAATTCGTGTTATTATTGTACATCGAACAGACACGCGAGATTCCTAGAATTTTGGTTTACTCGAAAAATACTTTCCAGGTTGCACTTAGAGCCTCAGACGGAGAACAGTCCACAATTTGACGAGTCAAAGACTGAATATTCGCTATACGGAGCTCTTCCGCTCCGATATGGACGACCGTTTGCGACTATGTATCCCGCTTGAGGACATTTTCCGCTTGCTCTCCGGGATATTGGGGCCGGGGCTCGAGGATTTGTTGAAGTTGGCGCTGGTGCTGGCCATTCTGTTCGCGTTCTGAAGATTGGAGGTTTTCCTCCTGACGGACGGCGAAGCCTCGACATTGTTTAGCTTCGCGGTGGCGTTCTGCGGCTTCTGCTCTATGATCACCGGCTGCTGGTACTTACCCACCGCGTTCCAGTGTTCGCGCTGCGCTTTGAGCGAATCGCGCATTTTCTCTTTGGCTTCGGCATTGTCCGCCAACATTTGGTTGAGCATTTGCACGGTCTGGTATAGCGCGACCGGGCTGAGTAGCCCGAAATCGTGCAACGAGCACATGTGCAGTATGAAGTTTCTGTATAGGTTCTTCTCCAGCAGTTCCTTGCCCTTCATCTGCAGGAACATCTGGCACGCCAGTGGTATCTGACAGTCGCCGACGTAGTTGTACTTCATGACGTGGAGGTTCCACATCTTCATCAGTTCCTTCTCACCTTCGTTGACGTCCGTGAACTCGTCAATCATCATCATTGTCTTTTGTTGCAGCCATAGCGGGTCTGTTTCGCTCTCCGAATCTATATCCAACTCATTTGGATATACGGGGAGACAGGTAATTGTATGGTGGTACAGTCTGGAATTAATTAAAGCAATTTTCACTTAAGTTCGTCGCTTATTCAACCAAGTGTTATAGAAAGTCATAAACTGTGTACTATGTCTGAGAAGGTCCATCTGATTTTGTTGGATGAACATGAACAAAAATTTACTGAATCTGTTAAAGAAATCGATAGAACGAATTATTATGATCAATTGGGTAACAAAATTATTGGGCGAAGCAAAAACGTTTCAGAGACGGATAGGAACGCAATGAGAAATGTTCCATTGTGCCAGATTTTTCAGGAACTATAGCAACTCGATTGGGTTCAATAAGGTAAGAGTAACAGCGATTGTGACTGAGGTGCCGTTGCTTTTGCTGAGGTATTAAAGTGCTGAAAATTTTGTTCTCTAGCAGCGCCGAGCAACTGCTCTACTCTGTGTGAGAAATTGGTTTACGAGTATGCGGTTCACTTGATTTTAAGTGATTACCGTCACACGATGGTGGCAACGCATGTGCAAACCTATGGGCGGCGGTTAAAGAAAACGGTTGCCGCCTTCGCCCATCCTCACTCCTTACTATTATTACAAACGCGAAAGTTTGTATGTATGGATGGAGGTTTGTTACTCTTTCACGCAAACACTGCTGAATGGATTTAAATGAAACTTTACAATAATATAGCGTACACATCAGAATAAGACATATATATTTGTCTTCCTGTCTGAATGCCACGCATAGGTAGTCGCGGGCGGCGGCGGGTGGCATATGCAAAAGCGAAGGGAAGCGGGCACGGACCGGTTGTGGCCGGTGAGGTAGGGCCGCTGCGAGTCCGCGTCCGCGTCGTCCAGCTCGAGGAACTCGGCGAGGCTGTGGCGCTTGGCGCGGCGCGGGCGCGGCCGGCACACGAGCACGTGCGTGAGCGAGGCGCGCCGCGTGGGCCCCGCGCGCGGCCCGCCGCCCGCCGCGCGCCCCTGCGCCGCGATCAGGTCGTGCGGCGAGCCCGTGTACGAGCCGTCGTACAGCTCGTTGATCGACACGTCGACGCGCGCGCCCCCCGGGATCGGCTGCGGATTATAGACGTAGCGAACGTAACTCTGTCCGTCAAACTACTGAAACGAATTTAATGAAATTTGGTACACACAGTCTAGAGCCTGAGAAAGGACGTAGGCTATTTTTTTTTTTTTATTGGAAAAAATTGTTGTAAATGGTTGAAAGATATTAATTAAAGGGCTTCAACGCGAGCCAAGCCGCGGGCGAAAACCTAGTAGAACATATACTGGTTTGTTGTTTTCACGAGAATATTATACACTGTGAAATTAAACTATTTTACGGATCTCATCGCGTTCAATTAGATATTTAGATTTTCGCGGGTTCGAAATCAATTTAAAAATCTGATTAAACGCGAAAAAGTCCGTAAAATTATCAGTTTCACAAGATTTGAATATACATTATGCACACAAGAAAAATACAGTAAAAATAGTGTACATACATATAGTAGTAAGTAGTTATTGCTAATGTTGAAATCTCTTCCAGGAGCTATACTTTTTTGGGAAACGTTGTTAGTGTTAATTTTATAGATGCACGACCATATATAAAAGCGACAGTGTTCGTGGTGTTACCATGGCAACCGATTACAACTTATCCGACATTTAACTACAATTCTGTTATCAATTACACTTAATATATATTTTCACAAACAACAATTAACATCGTGGGGGTTTTAGTCGGTGCGAGTCTGACATAACCCGCTCTTGGCCCCGCTGATTATCATCCGTGGACATCTATAACACCTGACCAGTTTGCAGGGGCGAGCCAATCGTTAAAAAAGTGGCCCGTGTTATAACTTTATCGGTTCCCGTATTAGACATTAGCTCCATATTTATGTCAAAATTCTTTCACCCGTAACCAGATCTATCTAAATTAATTACTGCCATTTGTAATTGAATATTTCAAGGATTGGTTATTATTATGAAAACTCCAATAGTAACAATGTGCTGCCTTTATTGATTCGGTATGTACTGATTTTTAAATAGGGCATTTCAGCAAATGTTGCGCATCTATGTCCATGACACATTCAGGCCAATAACTCTTCTATAAGCCTTCCATTGGTTAGATTTCAATGATAACTACATCCATAAAAATCACACATATTTAAAATTGAATTTAACAAAAATTGCCTTAATAACTTTTGTTAATATTGGGTAGCCCTCAGTAATCCTCGAGTTGCTTATTCTCAAGGCGATTTCATTTCTCTATTGATGATATTTGTACAGTCCTATCATCACAAATGTTTAATGGATGAGGTTACTTACAAAATAAGTGAAATTGAACCGCGAGTGACACAACTTAAGATGCTTCAGGAGCGAGTAGAGGGCGCCACAATCAAGCGAGCACCATGGGCAGTGAAGGTCGTCACACGCCTCGGTCTGCTGCCGAGAGTTGTTGTTGTATAAGAACTGGTAGATAATCTGCTGGCGCTTGGAGTCTGAATCCCCATTTTCCGCCTTTGATTTCTCTCCTAGAAAAAATAAGCGCAATATAATTTACTACTAATTTTTACCGTGGTAGCAGAGACACAAAGAACAGAATCTTATGTGGTTCCGTTGTACGTTCATCAAGGTTTTCAACGCGTCTACAAACCCTCGGATGTTGTAGATGTCCATGGGTGGCAGTAATCACTCAACATCAGGTGAACCACCTGTTTGCTTGACAACTTTTGACTAAAAAAAAATAATAGCATTGCGATCAAATCAATAAGATATATTAACTTGAACTAGATAGTACAGAATGGAAGTTATTTGTTTATGTATTAGTAAGAGAAGATTTTAAAGTTTGATACTGCTGAAAGAAGAGCAAGTAAAACAGGAACTGTATATTTAAAAGCAAGAAATGTGACTAAATGTGTGGATGTTTAATTAATTTTGTTTGTATGTTTGTTTGTTAATGTACATTAGTTCATAGAGTACATTAACTTTAATAATTAGATAATAACTTTAATAATAAATAATAGATAAATAAATAGAACACAACAACCTTATAAAAAATGTGTTGTGACTTTTAAAATAAAAATTTGAGAGCTTAAGTTGTTTTATTTATGTGTATATGTAATGAACAAACATTTTAGTAGGAGATTCAAATAGTTATCACAAAACAGACTGAAAATAAGCAAAAGCAACAACAAGCAAGGAAAACTCACCATTTTTGATATCACTTAAGTGACATTTTTGAGTTGTGAGCCTATCTTTACTTGATCCATCTTTTTTTAAACCATTAGTATCACCAGACTGTTGGTACAGTTTTGGTCGATTTACTAGTCCATTAGTTGGTTCTTGACTCCAACTGAGTTTAAGTTTAAGTAGAGGTCTTACTTTAAAGATGTCAAATGGGTTTGACTCTGTCTGCATGTCACTTTCCTAAAAAAATACATGCAGTTTTAATAAATATCATTAATGTACTATCATTGTAAGCCTTATGCCCGGTTTATAAGTAACCAAATGGCTTTGCAACTTAAATAACATTTGAAAAGCCATTTGACAGCTGATTAGTTGACTTCTACCATGATCAGTGTTTCAGAAACCGGTCATATATGTTGCTGTTTACCTTACATAAAAGAATTCAGGTAAGGTAAACAGAGTCAAGTAATGTCCGATTTATGTGGATAATTCAGGGACAAATCTAAGACAACCTTTTTGCACATGATTAATTTCATGTGCAATAAGGTTGTCTTAGATTCACGACCGGCCAAGTGTGAGTCGAAATCGCGCATGAAGGGTTCCATTATAAATTACCCCTGCAGTGATTTTAGTACTTATCAAGTCTCAGTTAAAAATAAACTAAATTTATTACAGACTAACTCTTCATGAAGGTTGAACAAATTAATATAATAGCTGCTTACATTAGGTATGGTTTCCCATTGTGCCATCAATGCTTTATGAGGAGATTTAGTAATAGTAGCACTTCTACTCCCAGGAGTAGCATCATGTAGGACCAAATCATACTCTCCATTTGTAAGAAGGCAACGATTATGTTTGTCATAGACAATCAATTCACTACCATAAAGCTTACTCCATTTGTTTTCTGTTGGTGTTGAATTCAAGTGGTCTGATGAGGATTTCAGTCGTTTTGTCAATGGCTCTAAAAAGAAAAGAATAAAATTACTTTGCAAAGAGCTACAAAGAAATGATTGTATATAATCAAAACTCAAAACTTAGTTGATCATGACATATTTTGGGTTAAGCCAAGTCTGGGTCATTATTTATCTTAAAGGGTTCCTTGACACATACAACATACTTGCCATACTTTAATAAGTAACACTTACTCTATAGTAAAATTGAGAGATAGTGATTGTTGCATTAAAAAATTGTAAAATAAAACACTTATTGATATAGATCACCTAAATATATATATTAGGAGCTGGAACTTTTCATGTCAAAACTTCCTATTTAATTTTTTAATATTTGGTTATTATCAAAACAGAAAATACATTTAAATTACTTTAAGTTGCCTCATACCATCACTATCACCATTGGTAATTTCCGTAGAGCTTGTAGCCCCATTTGTGGTACTGTTTCCTGTTGTCCTTTGTTACTGTAACTCTTAACATAAGCATATAAGACTTAACATTAGGTCCCTGAGAGGGACTAAATGTATCACTGGAGATACTAACTGCAGATGCCATTGCAGGAGGCTCTGAAGTTGAAGGATTTAGAGGAACTGAACAGCTGCCAACCTGAAAGTCGAGATTACAAACTTATTGCAGTTTTGATATAAAATTGAATGTAAAGTTTAATAAAAAAACAATAATTAATTAAAAAAAATATTAATTGGGAGGATGAGTTAAATAAACATGTATTGTAATTAAGTGGCTTTTAATGCATCTATTTTATGCAAAATAAATTTAAAAAGAATTATATGATTTCTAAACAAAGTTTAAACATTTGTGATCATAATATTTTTTTGATAAATGCCCAATTAACGTAGGTTATTAACATTGTAGTGAAAACTTACAGATACTTCAAATATTGCAGATGAGCTTTCTTTTCTTTTCTTATGACATATTTTTAGCAATAGTGTCTCAACTTTTACTTGATAGTCTCTGGGGTCATCCAAACTTTTATCGTAAAACCCTAGAAACGTAAGCGTCATGTAGCCGCCTAAACTGTTTGGCTGTATTTCCGTGCTCTTTTTCAATGTTATTTTCTCTAGTAACGAGTCCACCTTAAAACCAATTCGGCTTTTATTACTTCTTGACATCCTCCTTTTCATATAAGATAACGTCCTATTGAGAAATATCGGCTGTAAAAGTGAGAGGAATTTTTAATGGAACAACTGTAACGTTAGAGAAACATTTACGAAATAGGTTACACATACCGACAACATATTACGCGTCCGTAAGAATCTATATATTTGAGTTGGTTCTGAAAAATTAAAGATTATTTTTGATAATGCACAAATTAACGAATGGTGAACGCTAACTTATCAACCACTGCAATTGAAACTTACTTTCGAAAGCTTGTAAAAATAGTTCATGGTCAGCTTGTAAGTGATCTATTTTAGAATTTTTGTTTGCTTCACTGTCTTTATCACGTTTTTTGGGAGGCATTTTTTGTTATAATCGAATTAATCCTAAAACCGCCAAGTTCATCAGTTCGTTGACTTGACAGCGTCAGGTCAAATACCATAGACGTACAAATACAATGATGCAGTTTTCTGAGTTTTCATTCCTGCGGTCTATGTATAGTATTAGTAACAGAAATGCATTTCACAATCATCTAAGTAATTATGTCGTTTTCAAAAGCCAAAAAGAATATTTGATTTCCTATGAGTAAAGGTGATGTAAATCGTCTGCTATTAATATTTATGTAATATTTAGTAAATCAAAAATAAGCCATAATAGTCACACCAATCCGTCGGATTTTTAAATATACAAAGGAAAAAATAAATTTGTTTATTTTTTGTAGTACTAAATTAAATACCTACTTAAGATTAAATTTTCAAGATGAATAATTTTTTTTATTAACGCGCAGATTTAATTACCTTAACCCAGCTAAACCAAAACTCTAAACCTTGTGTAGCAAAGAGGCAAAGAGAATATAATCACTACGTTTGTGTCAAATTTCATAGACGAATTGTTTGCAAACAAAAATATTATTAAATAACTAAAAACGATCATATAACATGACACAATGAAACGGACATCTGCAGATATTAAATATGCAAAGAAGCAATTAAAATTTTTACAAGATATTGCTCTACGAAGAGGATTACCAGATATTATATTAGAACAATATAATTATATCTGCAACTTTTCTGAAGATGCGACGATTAAAAAATCAAGCACCAAGTTAATAATTGTGATGATAACAGTGTTAATATTTCTCGCATCTTTAACCAATATAGTTTACACTATTTTAAGCGTGAGATGCCTAGTACCGCTTAATTACCTAATGTGGGAAGCAGCGAGGCCTATTGCTGATTGCAACTATTGTGCCGATGTTACGAAACCAATTATATTACGAAATGTTACCCGAGAACAGTTTAAAGTAAACAGTTTATTTTCTGTTTTTTTCTAAAGCTCATGTTAAAAAAAATAACAATGACATTATGATTTTCAGAAATATGCGTACACATCCAAACCAGTTATAGTAAAAAATTCCATCACACATTGGAGAGCTATGAAGGAATTTAATTTTCATATGTTCAAGAGACTTTATGAGAGACTCCCGGGAGTTACGAAACTTTTGAGGAAGGATGCCAGTTTCTCAATTTCAAGTCTGACCTATTTTCTCTTAAAGAAGTTTTTGATATGCCTAATGCACGAGTTATGAATGAACCAGGGCAAAGTCCTTGGTATGTAGGTTGGTAAGTGGTGTAAATCTTATAATAAGAAGTTTAATAAAAGTGAAGTTTTTACTATGACTACAATTTAATATTTATTGACAGGTCTAACTGTCATTCCGTAATAAAAGCTACAATGAGACAATATTATAGCATTCCTGAATTCTTACCAGAAGATGCAGAGTTTCCTGAAACTGAAAATATATTCTTAGGATACCAGATAGGAGCAGTTATGCATGTGAGTATTATATAGTTCATAATTTTAAAAACTCTGATGTAATATTTATAGATTAGGTACCTACTGTATAATTAATACTTATAAAACTTTATATTAATTTTCAGTTAGACTACATTCCTCGGTTAATGTGGCAAGGGCAAATTAAAGGTAATAAAAACTGGTTGGTTGCTCCAGTACCAGAATGTGAACACATTTGTCACAAGTTTCATTATTACATAGAGCCAGGTGATGTTGGTAAGTCATTTCTAAACAAATTTTCATTCAACTGTGAGTTTCTATAAGATATAATATGTTTACTTAAATCTTTAAAAGCTGGTACCTTCAACCAACTAAAATATGTCTACTAGACTGTGAACATATTTCTATTAAGGCACTGTATGCAGTGAATTTTTAATTTTTTTGGTGATGAAGCAGGGGAGTGGAGAAGGGGTTACCCCGTTTAGTGAGGCGCAGCGCGAGTTTCGTCGACGCGCCGCATAACCATTACACATTAGTGGTGGGCCGTAGGATACTATCAATAGTAATCATGGAAGGCTTTCGAAAATGTATACAGATGATCCCTATAATATCTTTTATAGACCATGATTGTATTTTACTTTTATATTATTATAGGAATAGTAATGAACAAACAAATATAAAGTATGAGAAAGCAATCAATAGTTTTAGGAAATCTTCCTATTAATTATTTTAAATTATCAGGAAACAGATTAGAATTAATTAAAAATACATCTTAAGGTCAAATAAATTGATCAAGGCAAATGACATTACTTACAACAAAACAATAAATAAAAGAAAATAAAATTTATCTTCATTTAAAGTAATAGCTCATAAAAATTGTAAGCAATTTCATGGTCTCCACGGCAGAAATTACGAATACAACTTTTTTTTTTACATATTTTCTTAAAATACAAATCTTTAATTTATCCTTTAAATGTTAATGTAAATTCCTCAATGAAATCGATTTAAATTGTAATTTAAAATATTATTCATAAAATTCCTTATCGATAAACGACAACAATTCGAATCAAAATTTTGTCAACTTCCACAGACATCATTTAGCCTATTGGTCCAAACCATGGTAGGTGAACAATTATGGTGGTCCCAAGTTCAAACCTTATTGAGGGGTACATCTTTTTCCAATTTTAATTTGTTAATCAATTAATTATTTTGTTTTTATTTCATAAAATATGGAAAATAAACAGATTAAAGAAAAAATTATAAAACTATTATTTTTCGTGTTCGTAAAAGATTAATTTTCGTTTTAGGGTGAAAAATTAAATATTTTAATAAAAAACAATATACAATAAAAGACTTGTTAAAAACTTGAAATAATGAAAAGTTGGTTTACTATCTGATAGATTGTTTTCCAACTGTTGCATTCTACATTCAACAAAAACAATAATATTTCATTGTAATTATTTATAAAAATTAAAAATCAACAAAAATTAAATGGTAAGTAAAAAAAATATTTACAAAAAAGGAAATCACCAATAAATATAACAAAGTAATGTAGGGATTTGAACCCAATCCCTATAGAATGATGGTCTTTTACACTGCATGTATAGGACTGATAAACCTATCAATTAAAATTCTCTAAAATATCACAAGATAAGATATTGAAATTACATTTTGGTTGTTAATACATACAAATAATTAAAAATACGAAATATGTGAATACACATTTTTTTAGTTTCGTGTTTTCGAAAGATCTAATAAAATTATCTCTCAATAATAAATCAATACGGAACATATTTCGTAACGGTGAGCGGAAGACGAGCGGCATAGCTCCATCTAGCAACGCGCCTCAGCGCTCTGTTCAACGTATGGAAATGGAAGAGAACCGAAACAACGCCGCGGTGGCGCTGTGTTTTGGTCGTCGCGTTCGAATAAATTTTAATTAATGAAATTAATATTTATAAATATCTTACTTCAATCAACAAATTAAGACAACAATCCTTGTTATTAAATTATTCTACACTGATATTAATTTCATTAAAAATTGGTGAAGTATTACATTCATTTTGGATTTGAATTTCCCTTTTAGAGGTAGTTCATGATTTTTTTCTATCGAGAATATGTTTTGAAAACAATGTTCCATTAGAATGTAAGATCAAGATTAACATATATTATTTTTGCTGCTTTAAAATGTATAGATTTTGTTAAAACATCTTTTGAAAAACATATTTTTACTGCCTACAGCGCCTTAAGAAATTGATTCTTTGTCAATAAAAGAATAATATGTTGTGTGGTAATGAAATGTTACTTACTTAGAACTTTATTTTGTAACAGTTTTTTTTTTTATTTCAGCATTGTTAGACACTAGATTATGGTATCATGAAACAAGTATTCCTAAGGGACAGTTTTCTTTGACAGTGCAATCAGAGTATGGTTAAGTTATATATTTATGAAATGATCTTACTATTAGACTAAGATTACAAAGAAGTATTATTATAAACATATCATAATGCCAAATATTTTACCATTTTTTACATTTTAATTTATTGAAAACTATTTAATTGTAATTGTATTGTGCCATTATAATATGTAGTTTGATAAGATATGATAGAATTTTTGATTTTATGTTTTCATTGTAATTAATGAACATCAATAAAGTGATTTTATAAAAATGAAATTTTATTTAGACTGGGATAAGTATAATGAAAACAAATATAGTTTAAATCATTTTTTCATCTATTTCTATGATCAATATCTTTAAATGAAGAATAAGCTGGATTTTATGAATATTTATTGGCAGACATAAATTTAGAGAAACATTTAATTCCAGCAAATTCTTCACTGAAATAATGAAATATTGTAAAGTTCACATAGAGATCAGGTTTAAAACTCATAGAGACAATAGGCTCCTCCGAGTTATTACAATTGCTTACTGATACTGCAGTATGTTTCCAATAAGAATTATTGTAGCCAGCAGTATTATATAGCTCAAAATAAAACCAAATATGCATAAAATGCAAATTTACAATAGCAATAAATAATTTCTTAATTTGACCAGATAGATGCCAATATTTCAATGGACAATTTTAATTGACATGGCATAATGTATCACAAAATAAACAGTACTTAAAACATATAAGCAATACCTTATAACAAAGTAGTATCTTGTTATTAATGTTTTGCTTATACAACTGTCAAAATGATAGAAACCCTAGCAATAAAAATTTAATTAAATACAACATTGTTAAAACTGCCTCAAATGTTTAAATTTTGAGAGTCCGAAATGATAAAAGCAAGGCATGCCAGGGTTCCATTAGTTATTTCTATAATATTGCAACTACCCAAGTAGTATTCATAGAAAGGTAAAATAATTGGGCAGAAGATGGGCAGTTAGTGTAATTAGAAAAACTGCCAAACACCAAGCACAGCATCCTTAATGGCTTCAACATATTGAGCTGGAACCCAGTACACCCAATACCTTGAAGCTTCTGTGGTCCCTAACTGTAGGCCCTGCAAAAATAAAAGATTCATACTTGAGGTAATGAATGAACCATGGTAGCTCAGTTTCCAGGGATTCACATTAAATTGAGTACATTGATTCCAAATACAGAAAATGTGTGTTTAATTATGTCAAAGTAGTATTTGTTATTTTATATTCAGTAAAATGGCAATGAAAGCCAGTTAATAACTCACCATAATATGATATTCTTCATGATCTTTGATCGGTTCTGATGTTATACCTATAAAATAATTTTTTTACTACTTTAAAAATAAGATCATGATTAAACTTAAATAGAAATACATAAAGATTTTTTTTTTTAATTTGCCAAAATATAGATGAAGTTTTTCGCTGCTATAAGAATTTGAACCTGCATCCTTCCAAATACGATGTTTTACCAGTGAGCTAAAAACTAAACCTCTCAATGACGAAAATCTCAATGTTATTTATTTACTTTTTTTTATTACATTTTAAGCAATGCATTGTTCCATCTAATGTCTTTACTTGTTCTAATAATGTTGAGATATTTATTGGTGGTGAGGATAAATCATTAAGTTCATTCATAGAGCATTGGCGCATATGCCAGAGGATGCAGGATCAAATCCTCACCTCGCAGCAGCATCACAAAAACTTTTCTACAAATTAAAAAAACATAGAGATTTTTATTTCATGTAAAATTGAAAGATGATTACTGTCAATACTTGCTTTTAATAGAAGTCATGGCAAGTTTCTCTGTGCGTTCTTTTGTTCCCACCCAAAGCTGGTCTTGTTCTGGTTTAAATGTCAGCCTTACTTTACCGCCATGCTTATTTAACATTCCACTAAGTGGTATTGGAGGTAAAGGTTCCTAAAAAGATAAATTTGGCTCAATTCTTTATGTTAGACATGTTTTTAACATATCTTTTTATGGTTTATACCTTGATGCCTTTTATGCCTGGCATGACATCTGGTGGAATGCCTTTATCAAGGACCTTTCTGTGATTTTTCTGCATGCAAAGTGGTTCTTTATTTGTTTGACTATTTGACTTTTCTTCAACTATTTCCTGAAAGGCAGATTATGATTAAAATTCTATTTAATGCAAATGTTTTACTTACATGTTGTAATTAAAGCCAATGCAATATATTTATTGAACAAAAATTTGTCAGCATTTGTGATATATTTTGTAAACATACCTTTGGTGCACTTTTAACAGCTAGTATATCATCCATTTTGGAACCAACAAGCATAACTTTTCCACCTTTGGCTATTCCAGCTTTCCTCAGCGTCATGTTATCGCGAGCCATTCCTTTTATTATAAGTTTTTGTGCGGATTGGGGAACTCCACATATTCTTTCCAGGTGAGCTTTTAAATCCAATACTGTTGCATCATAAGCAAATGTGATGTCATGTTTAACTTTATTAAAAACTACTGTAAACTCAACCTGTTCCGGAATTTCACAAACAACCGAGTCTTCGGTAGATTCCGAGGTACATGCTGTACTCTCTGCGGGAGCTTCCGCGCCTGTTTTTTCACTATCAGTATTTTGTTTGTTGTTTATAGCAGTCTTTGAAGTACCATTAGATATTGAATTTGGATCACAATTTTCTGTTGTATCACCTTTCCCTGAAGCTAAAAATGAATCGTGAGTTAGCAAAATTCTAGAACAAAAGACCTCGGTATACTGGACCATAAAGATGGCAAAAAGTGCGGCGACAAGAAATAATAATAAATAATATGATAAACCTACCAATATAATCCATATTTTAATACGGCTATTTTTTTTTCTTTAAAAATAAGTAAAGACTGATATAAAATTACGTTGTTTTGAAAAAATAATTAAAAATACTGCCGACTGGCTGACGTGAAGCAACAAATTTTTCGTCAATCGTCACCGGTTATCGATGCGTTCCAAAATAAAGTTATTGACGTACGGTCTTAGACTAAATCTTATTTTTTAATAAAGTATTATTTCAACCTATATATTTACTTTACTTCTTAGAACTAATTACATATTATTCGCTACTGTTATGAACATTTATTGCTATATATATCCAATGTATCCAATTTTTTACTAACGTCCACATAACATTATCTATTTATTTTCAAAACGTTACCATGGCATCGGACATCATAACATTTAACAGTACTTATTGATGGTGATAAATTTTACGCACTGTACTGCATATTTACGTTAAGTTTTTTATGTAGACCATGAGTTTTAATGTCGATGATCCTCTTGCTGGAATTTTGAGCGATGGAAGCGAAGATAGTTTCTTTGATGATGATATTTTAGGAAAAAAGAAAACAGTTAAGAAAAAAAGCACTCCAAACATTGAAAGAAAGAGCACATTATTTAATTTAGATGATTTGACTGCTAAAGAAAAATCGAAAAAAATTGAACCAAATGACATCGCAGCAACTGTAAGTAAACCATATATAAAACCAGATCAGTCTCAAACTAAGACACCTGACAGTTATGTGACCAATTCTTCATTTGCCTTTAAAAATATAGATAATTTTAAAAATATTAACAGTGCCGAAGTTAAAGACGTTCCTTTAAATAAAAAAGCGAAAAACAAGAATTCACCATTTAAAGTGAAAGCTGAGAGAAATAACGAAAAAAAGGATTTTGATTTTTTGGATGAATTAGTGGGACCAAAGAAAGCGGACGCGCCACCTCTTGAACAAGTGAAAGATTCACAATCTCTGTTGGATGATATTTTAGGAAATCCCACTAAAAAAGTTAGTCAAATCAATAAACAAAACCCAAAAAAACAGCAATATAATTTAGATAAAACCAAAGGAATAGCGGATCCAAAGGAAACACTAGCTTTAAAAAAGCCTAAAGATCAATCAGAAACGTTAAATAAAAACGAGCAGATAAAAACCAAAGCGAGCGAAGATTGGTTAGGGATTTTTCAAGATGAAAGTGAGACTTTAGAAGAGGCCGGTACTGAGGTGCCGTCATGGTTGGGAGGAGGTAATAGTGTTAAAAAGAAATCTATGGAAAAGGATAAAAAATCGATTACAACAAAAGAAGTCGAAAATGAAACATTAAACCCAGCTACATTAAAAGATGATGAGAGAACTAAGGAGATCAGTGAAACTGAAAACTACAAAATATTAAAATCCAGTGAAAATTTACAGTACACTAAAAATATTTGTCCTGATCCTGATCAACTACATAAAAACGATAATGATGTCACCATGCAGGGTGCAGCTCTTTATTTACAGCAACAGGAGGCACAGCTAATGGTGGCTATGCAATTAAAGGCTCAAGATGAAAAATTAGCTGCAATGCAATGTAAGATACAAATATACATACATTCATTTATTGTCGCGGTGGTAACGACACGCTATATATATATATGACTATACATGTTTTACCGTTATGTTTTTATATAGAATGAATAGCTGGCCCGCGCATCTTTGTCTGCGCCAATTATACTGGATCCATACGTTTCTACTATCGGATACTTACTCAATCCAGCCGATAAATTAATCTTACACCGCCATCTGTTAGACTCTTGGTTGTTAGGACTCACAGATCTCTTATTGTCATCTAATAAACAAATAATTTGCAATAAAAAATATTGAGATCAATAATTGAGATAAAAACTTGATATCGATTAAGTTGGACCAAATTACAAATGTTTACAAAATTTGATAAAAATTGGTTGAGTACTTACGGAGTTTATCGCTAACATACATCGTGACACGAAATTTTTATATATATAGATAACTCAGTGGCGCAGTTAGCTATTGGCTTGGCATAGGTATTTCTGTGACCCTTTGATTCTGCTAATTTTAGAGCTATTTGTAGAACATATCTTTGCTGCGTCTTTAAATGTGTCCATGCCATCTTAGGCGATATTCTATCATTTTTTCAATGATTGGTGCGACTTTAAAGCTGCCACGTATATATTCATTACGGACTTATTCAAGCCGCATCCGGTATCACACCTTAACCCATGTACTCGTCTTCATTTCGACAAACTAAGCAAACGCGAGTAATTTTAAAAATGTGTAGATAAAACTGTCGTAAAATTTTCGAACCTTCCAAATTACGCGTCCAGACTTCTATCCATTAAGCTAGGCGGTCGATATAAGAGTACTTACTAAGCGAAAATCACCGTTTTATCTACTTTATTTTTAAAGCATTTATAGCAATGCCAGCGTAATTTTATTGAACACCTGAATTTCTTCTATTAGGGATTCAACAACTTGTGCTGTATCGTATTTACTTCATATTTAACGAACCTACATATATTATAATATAAAATACCGTAGGTTACATAATTAGTAACAATCCTATATATTATAATTACGAATCCTGTGCGTGTCAATGACAGTGGTTCATATGAGTGCATTTCCAGTGAAGCAGAAAGAAACACAGCGAGTCCAACGTGAAGCAGCATTGGCCCAACATGCGCAGCTGGACGCTATGCTGCAGAGGCAAGCAAATAATAGAATGCAGATGCAAGCTATTATAAACGCACACCAGGACCGAATTACGCGAAGGATAAAGGTATCATCTTTTACTATCATTGTTTTTAAAATTATGTACTTTATACTTACTTCGCAAGTATTCCCGCTTTAAGTTTGTTGTTCATACAATAATAATGACACCATCCTCCTGCCCTTATACAACCTAGATAGGATCGGCACAACATGTAAATCATGAAGTAAGAGGCTTTGACTAGGTTTTTTACAACCGACTCGACGTCAACCTTTTGAGCCCGCCATAAACGCCCAAATCCGGAATCTGCAGACCACACAAATATTTTTCCCGTGTGGGAATTGAACACATGACCCCCGACATCGATGGCAAAGGCTTAGCAAATGCGCCATCGAGTTATGTAATGAAAATGAAAATACATATTACTTATATTACAGTAATTAGTGTACATCTTTGTGTATATTGTGTAGACACATAAAACATTATAGCTTTCAATATGTGTACAAGATTACATAATAATTTACATTTTGGTTTTTTTTGGTATAAATGTTTCTTTGGAAGTCTTCATAATCAATGTTAAAAAAATTCAGGCACTTTTAGAATCTAACAACACGGAATTGGATGAAGTTAAGGAAACAAGAAATGATGACGAAAGTGCAGAAAAGACAAATGAAGATAGTCCTCTTAATAAAGAAAAGAGGCAGTTATTGCAACTTCTTCAGTCTTTACAAGAAAATCATGACAAGGAAATAGATATATTAGAAACGTCATACAGGTAAAGTAAATAAATCTTTAGATAGGTACTAAATATTTGGAGTATATTGATTTTTCAGATAAAGCAAGAAGCGGTTATAACTACTTTAAAACTTCTATCTAAAGAACTACATATCTCTCGGACACATTGGGTTTCTCTATCTTAGGTAGTTTCGTCAAAATCTTACATACAGTTTTTATCTAGTACATATGAAAATAAGTTTATTTCTATTGGAAAGACGACTTTCAAAACGCTTCAAATAAAAACAGATATATAAATAGGATCGGTATTAGAATGATAAAGTTTAATATGTGTCACATATGAGAGAAGTCCTTGCCTTATCGCTTTAATTTTTGTGGAAACAGGAGACAACTTGCCTTTTTAGAAATGTCCCTAAGCCAAACAGAAGAAAGGATGCGAGATGAGAGCGAAAAGCAAATTAAGTTTTACACGGAGAAAATTAATTGGCTGGAAGAGCACCATCAACTGTATAAAAAATGGACTGAAGAGCACACTACTTCTCTAATCGAACGCCATAATGCTGAGAAGGACATGCTACGTCAGCAGCATTCGGAGAATGTGAAAGGGTTACAGGAACACCATTCGACACTAATGGAGAATATTAAGTGAGTATTACACACATTTCATATCCAGTCGTGATTCGATGAGTCCGTTGCGCAGTTGCTAAAGTGTTGGTCCCGGCGTCGGGGGTCGTGGGTTCGATTGCAACACGAGACAACTATTTTTGTGAACTACAAATAATTGTTTCGGATCTTGGTGTTCTTACAACACAGAATAATGTTATCCTACAGTAAGGGCAGTGTTTTTTAAAAAAAAAATAAGGTATCTTTTATCCAGTCTCGTTCATCGACCGTCAAATGTCGCTTCACGCTTCTATTATCATAGTCTCGAACTTACACGTATTATAAGGAATAATCTTTGTATCACAAGTTTTCATCCAATTTCAATCGTATAACGTATAGGAAAACAGGGAAAATAATTGCCTACGATCTTCTATTCTGTCCGACTGTCTATGAAATTGTAATGGCGTATATTTCGAAACGAATACTCTTTAATTAATATAATAAAA